GTCCAACCCCCTGCTCAGGCAGGAACCCTACACCATTTCAGACAAATGGCTGTCCAGTCCCTTCTTAAAAACTTCCAGTGTTGGAGCATTCACCGCTTCTGGAGGCAGGTTGTTCCATTGGTTAATTGTTCTGTCAGGAAGTTTCTCCTTAGTTCTAAGTTGCTTCTCACCTTGATCAGTTTCCATCCGTTGCTTCTTGTCCTGCCTTCAGGCACTTTGGAGAATAGCTTGACTCTCTCTTCTTTGTGGCAGCCCCTGAGATATTGGAACACTGCTATCATGTCCCCCCTCCTCCTTCTCTTCATTAAACTAGACATACCCAATTCCAGCAACCGTTCCTTATATGTTTTAGCCTCCAGTCCCCTAATCATCTTTGTTGCTCTTCTCTGTACTTTTTCTAGAGTCTCAACATCTTTTTTACATCGCGATGACCAAAACTGGATGCAGTATTTCAAGTGTGGCCTTATCAAGGCATTGTAAAGTGGTATTAATACTTCACGTGATCTTGATTCTATCCCTCTGTTAACGCAGTCCAGCACTGTGTTGGCTTTTTTGGCAGCTGCAGCACACTGCTGGCTCATATTTAAGTGATTGTCCACTAGGACTCCGAGATCCCTCTCACAGTTACTACTATTGAGCAAGGTATCCCCTATACTATACCTGTGCATTTGGTTTTTCTTGCCTAAATGTAGAACCTTACTTTTTTCACCATTGAATTTCATTTTGTTAGATAGCGCCCAGTGTTCAAGTGCTCAGCATGAATCAGTCACCTCGACTGTACTCTTTATGAAGGTATTATAGAGTCATAAAAAGAAAAAGAAAATAGGAGAGGCTAGGACAGGAGGTTCCTTGGCCCAGCTTCCCCTTCCTCCACATCCTTTAATAATAGCAGGAAGTAATGTGTTATACAAATGACCTTGGGATACAGCTGTAAGAGCCACAGCCTCCAGGGGTAGGGAACCTTGGCTCTTTTATGACTTGGGATACAGCTGTAAGAGCCACAGCCTCCAGGGCATGGCTGTGGCTGTGGCATGGCTGGTTCAGGAATTCTGGGTACTGAAGTCCACAAGTCATAAAAGAGCCAAGGTTCCCTACCCCTGAAGGGTGGGGAACTATAGCCCTTTTTTGACCGGTGGACTTCAACTCGCAGAATTCCTGAGCCAGCCATGAATCCAGAATTCTGGGAGTTGAAGCCCACAAGTCATAATGGGCTATAGTTCCCCACCTCTGGCCTAGACAACAGTTTTGACAAAAAAATATATCTCAGTCCACAGAAGGAACGAAGACGTGGGGAGCATCTCCGAAAGGGACTTTCTGGAAAGTAAAAGTAACGGAGGAGTGAATTACTTTTCAAACTTACAAGATTCTGTTACTGCAACTTAAAGTAAAGGCATAATAAAGATTTGTGCTTCTTGTCAAGACTACCTTGAGGGGCTGACACAACAGCAGAGGGTTTTTCCCCCCAAGGCAGATTGCCCTTCCAGTTTCCTGCAGGGCATGCATGAATTACCCACAACCAGTGGGTCAGCAACTCATGCATCCTCTATAAGCTTTCATTTTCTGATACCGTGCCCAAAGTATATTTGCCCTCTTATGCTGGCATGACCCATGCAATCTGGCTTGCATGCCACCACCCTTCAGTTCCTTGCAAACAACTCCGATCCTTGCGGTAAGAATGGCTCTCTCCCTCTGATCACTGGTTGCTACCCTCCACTGCCATTTTTTGGTGTGTTTTTATAAGCTCTCTAATAAGGAAAAGTTTTCTCTTCCCCCCCCCCCCGAGTTTGTTAATGAAGCAATGCACCTGCCTATTGTTACCTATAGAAAAGACATAGACCTCCGTGCCCCTTTATCCATCCCTTCAATTTGTGACTCAGTCCTAATCCCTAAAAGCCCAAAGGATTGAAAGCAATTTTGGATACAGGTTTAGAATTTATCATACTGGATGACTCTGATGCCTTGCATGGGATTTAAGCAGCATCTGGTGGCCACTTGTGTTAAAGCAGTCACTTAGAAAGGAAGAGCTGGAGGTGGGTAAGCAAAATGGCACAGCAAATGGCTAATACTTGGCTAGAAAATCACCAGAGAAAGACCAGGGTCAAAGGTTAGCATAGAAAATTGGGGAAAAATAATTCGGGAGGAAAATAACAGAGAGCCACAGTTTCCTGGCAAGAAAACGTCATGGAGATGTTCAAATTGACTCAAAGGAGTCACTGCCTTTTCCCCCCTACAAAAAAGTGGTACAGGTGAAAAATCAATGTTGATATAAGTCAGGCAATAATATTACCGTCTGTCTGAATTAATTAAAAGTTGTCTTTTGGTTTTTTGCACAATACATCAGCCTGGGGTAGAGTTTCTTTTATAAAGACGCCTACTCTAACTTCATAATCTACATTGGGGAATCTCTCAGGATTGTCAAACAACATTAAGCAGAACTATATTTGTGGGCGTTTAAATGTAGGGTTGAACTGTGTAATCCTTGGTGCTCTCTGAACTTGATTGTTTGCCTGCAGATGTTTCATTACCCAACCAGGTAACATAATTGGTGCTAGTGGGTGTGTTTTTCTCCTTGGTAGTTCCTAGACCAAGCTAAATCCAAAAATGATAAGAGAATTCCTGGAAGCTTGGCACTCAGTCATATCAGTCATCAATGGACACATAGAGTTACACCACATTTACATACCATTCAAGAGATAATAAAAAAGCTAAGAAGGAAACAAGAAGACCAGAACACATCCTCTCCTGCAGCCTATTCTCAGACAAGCAGGGATTAACACCAAACAAACAACCAAGCAGAAAACAATATCCTAATCGAGGAATTACCAGGGAGAAAACCACAGCTCCATCAACACTGGCAGGTCAAGCTATTTATTTATTTATTTATTTATTTATTTATTTATTTATGAGACTTATATACCGCTTTAAGTGCAAGCACTCTCTAAGCGGTGTACACCAGTAAGCAATGTATATATATATTTACATTGCCCCCAACAATCTGGGTCCTCATTTTACCTACCTCGGAAGGATGGAAGGCTGAGTCAACCTTGAGCCGGTGAGATTTGAACCGCTGACCTGCTGAACACAGTCAGCTAAAGTGACCTGCAGTACTGCACTCTAACTGCTGCGCCACCATATAAAACAGCCATTGTAATATAACAACCACACCCACTAGCATTGATTGTACCTGATCAGGTGATAAAACATCTGCAAGCAAACAGCCACGCCCAGAGAACATCAAGGACTCCATAATACTGTAGAATTTGATTCCGGACATGACAACAGCTGCTAGAATGTTTCTCACCAGAAACAACACAAAAGATGCACTTCTGGCAAGAATCTTTAAAACCAAGACCTCTACTGAATGTCTAAACAATTTATAGTCTTATCACTTTGCACATGGATTTGTACTGCAACCAAAGTGTGACTTTGTCTTAACATAACATTAGATCTACCCTGATTCACGGTATGGATAGATTTTCTCAGAGTACTCAAATCAATCAGAAGAGCTGGAAGGGACCATGGAGGTCTCTAGTCCAACGCCCTGCTCAAGGAGGAGACCTTATACAATTTCAGGCAAGCGGCTGTTCAGTCTCTTCTTAAAAGCCTCCAATGATGAAGTTCCAACAACTTTTAATGGTAAGCTTCTTCCACTGGTTAATTGTTCTGTTAGAAAGTTTCTCCTTAATTCCAGGTTGCTTCTCTCCTTGATTAGTTTCCATACTAAGTTTCTTGTCTTGCCTTTTGGTGCTTTGTAAAATACGTTGACCCCCTTCTTTGTGTCAGCCTCTCAAATACTGGAATACTGCTATCATGTCACCCCAATTCCTTTTCTTCCATACCCAGTTCCTGCAACTGTTCTTCATGTTTTAGTCTCCAGGCCTTTAATCATCCTAGTTGCTTTTCTCTGCACTTTTTCCAAAGTCTCAACATCTTTTCTGTAATGTGGTGACCAAAACTGGATGCTCTGCTCCAGGTGTGGTCTAAGGTTTTACAAAGGAGTACTAATACTTCACGTGATTTTGATTCTCTGCCTCTGTTGGATTGTATTAGTTTTCCGCTGCTGCCACACACTGGTGGCTCATATTCAAGTGATTGTCCTAATAACTGTGTGTTCTGGTTATTTTTATAATATTGGCTGCCTTTGCTAATATTGATTTGATTTCAATCAGTTTTAAAATATCATTTTATATGCAGAACACATCTATTTTGAACATTCTTAAACATTTTATATAGCTTTGCAAATCTTTTTTTTTTTTGTACTATTTTTTTCTTTGTTGCAATTTCAAATGTTCAAATAAAGTAAAATGAAAAGGGGTGGGGAAAGATAATCAGAGAACTAATTTCTAAGTCCTATAAAAATTGGTTAAGAAGTCTAAGCATAGCATAATAGCACCCTTTAAATATCTGAAAGGATGCTATGGGGACTAATGCAATTGCTCTAGAGCAGTGTTTCTCAACCTTGACAATTTTAAGGTATGTGGACTTCAACTCCCAGAATTCCACAGCCAGCAATGCTGGCTGTGGAATTCTGGGAGTTGAAGTCCACATGCCTTAAAATTGTCAAGGTTGAGAAACACTGCTCTAGAGGATCTGACATTAATAGATTTTAAATTATACAGGCAAAGCAATTTTGACTGAATATTATTTTTTAAAAAAAAACTCCCAGCAGTGAGAACAATTAGTGGTGGAACCTATTATCCCAATGTGTTCCTATTCTTTGGATGTGTTCATACAAAAACTAGGTAGCCATCTGTTGTTAATTATTTTAAATTAAATTCCTGAGCATAGAACTAAATAAGGGCTAAATGGTACTTTCCATCTATGTGAAACCAGCTCATATATGAAAATCATTTTTTGCAGTTAAGTGCCATAATGTGATAAAATAGACCAGAACTTTTTCAACCTTTTTCAACCACCCACAAGGTTTAGGGACTTCAACTCCCAGAATGCTGGGAGGTTGAAAACTACTGAACTAACAGAATACTAGGAACAGCTTGAAATCATAACTTCAAATCTCATTTATTATTTTCAATGTTTATTCATTACAGGCAATCTGTGAAACACACGAACTATAGAACAGTAAAGATGTTGGCTAGAAAGGATAAGGTTTATAGGCATTAGCTTGGAAAAGGCTGGTCAAACCCCCAGATTAAAATTATCCCTTTGCCCAGTCCTGGAACCCAATAGGCAGACAGGCATACTGCTGGTTTTAAGAAGCTTTTATTGTGAAATATTGGATTTAGAAAAAGTACAAAAATGTCAAATGGGTGCCAGTACAGAATTTCAACACAATATACAAATGTAAATAAGATGAAAAGCTTCACCTCAAAATGGAGATAGACATTCTAACTAAAAAAAACAAAACTGCAATTATTTACAGGCTAAATGTATATAAATAATTCAAGCCCATGGGATTTTTTTCTTGCTTGATGCCAATTATTTTTTTTTTAAAAAAACTGATTTAAATGCAAATCATAGTGTATCATCTTGGGTCTACATAACATCAAGCTCTTTTTCAAAGCCACCCAAATCTCCAGCCTTTGAAACACTACAATTAAAAATAAATAGTTTCTCTTTAGACATAGTAAACTCTTGTAAATGTTCTGAAATGGGATATTCCACAGCTCTGGTACTTAAAAGCCAGACTGTTGGTTTTCTTCCTCTATATAAGGTTCCTATTGCAGCATAAACAGGTTTCAGTGACAATGCCTTGATCAGAAAGTCATTACGTTTCTTGTGAAAAGTTTTGACCAGTTTCTTTTTAAACAAGTCCACCAATGACAGGTAGTCATTTAATCAGAAAAAGTATCAAAATACTCTGAAATGGAAGTCAGCAATTTAAAAAAAAGTCTGAATGATAAAGCAGTTCAACAGGATAGCAAAAGAATATTCTACCCTATCTATATAATCATGTAATATCCGCAAATAGTATTTATAAATTTACAAAGTTCATCTTTAGTATACAAAAAATAAAAAATTCTCAATATTGTAGAAAGCAGCTTTTTTGTGTTCAAATTACAATTATTCAGTAGTCTCTTGGGAACAAACCCTCCTAAAACCGGTAGCTGGAGGCCCCAACACGAAGGCTAGCTGAAGTGCAATCCATGTGATAATAAATTGAGCACCCCTTTATCAACTCGATTTTCCATTTAATAGAAACAAGTTTAGGTTAATAAATTTTAGGTTAATGAAACTATTTTCTGGAATGGCGATGAACTTTTCTAATGTCTTACATCGGGGGTCCCCAATCCCCAAGGCCGCGAACCTCCAACGGTTCACAGCCTGCCAGGAATCAGATCGCACAGGCATAGGATCCAGGCAGTGTGCGAAACTATGACCCCTGGCCTGCGGAAAAATTGCCCTCCACGGAACCGGTCCCTGGCGCCCAAAAACTTGGGGACTGCTCTCATGTATCATTCTCCTACAAAGAATCTTAAAAATATTGAAGTATTATTGGTTTTTGTTTTTAAGCTTTACACATCCAAGTCATGATTTCCAACTTATGTACTTCAGAGTCACTCCTTGCTTACCTGCTGGAGCAGTCTTTTTCAAATCTGGCAACTTTAAAGATGTATAGGCTTCAAATCCCAGGAATTTCCCAGGCAGTACGCTAGTCGCCAAGTGACTTGAAGTCACCAAGTTTGAAGAACACTGTGCTAGAAACCTCTGTGCATTACAGAAAGTTTGGAGAAACATTCCAGGGTGCACTAGTTTGTACAATGCTGAGAGGTCTTTGCCCTGAAGAAATTGAGAGTACTCAACAAATGCCTACAGACATGTATACAATTGATATTCAGTAATGGTGATCCCTATGGTTACTGATCTACCTTCACAGAATCCCAGGCTCTCCCCAAAATGCAGTTGGAGAGCCACGATGTATAAAGTGTGCTGTTCAGTCTCACTTTATCCCTCTAGTGCAAATGGTGCTTCAGCCTGCATTACTGTCCTGTCACTGTAAAGCAGGCATGTCAAACTCGCGACGTCATGTGACGTCGCGCAATGTATCAGGCCGGTTTTGCCATTGCTGGCAATGGGGTGGGTGCAGCTTCCATGTGACCCGTCCGGCCTGCGGGCCGGCAGTTTGACACCCCTGTTGTAAAGACTGAGCCATGGTTACGGGGCCAGCATGGTTTTGTGACTACACAGCGAGTTGTTGTGTTTGTTTGTTAATTCTCAGTGTTAGGCATTCAGATTTCTCCAGGGACATTTCTTTCTGCTCCAAATGTATTGGCCACAGAACTTCTGTGGGACAATGCCTTTAGCAACACAAAGCTTTCAGTGTAGAATTGTTATGTTCTCACTGTAGAACTGTTCAAAACGGCATTACATTTCAATGCAATGTCATTAAAAGAAATACCTGGAGAGTTTTACATTAGCTCAAATATTGTCCCCTCATCATTCAGTCAAGGACACATCACTGAGAATACAATGCAAATCAGCACTGAGATAAAATAAACCATCTATTCATAGAAGCCCTACATTTTAAAAGCTCCCCGCCCCCATTAAGTTAGGCACAGCAAGAGTTAAGACAAATACTCTCTACACAGACACATCTGTTACAGTATCTACAGCCAAAATTCATTGCCTGCCAGTACTTAGGGCCTTCCCTATCATTCTAACCATTTGATCTTTGCATTTGATCCTTCTGTATATACATTTATAAATATATACATACAGGGGAACGCTGAAACATGGTTAAGGAAAAAGAAAAGTATATACAAATACCAACATTCCTATAAATAAACCGTTGGGAGAAAAGGCACTTGCAGGAGGAAGTCTACAGCGTATTTTCAGAAAAAAACACCTTTTGTTCTGGTACTTACAATAGAGAATCTCTTTTTAATCTCTATAACAGGAAATGCAAAACACCAGTTATTACTAAGAATAGAACTATTAAAATCTTTTACATATATTTATAGGTTTAAGCGTCTTGTAATAAAAGCACCATGATTTTAAACCTCAATGCACTCTTATTTGGACTGAAAGACCAAGAAGGGTTGCCAAGTCTCCAGTGCTCTTGCTCGTTTTCAAATTAGCTGCTGCTGCTGCTGCTGCTGGAACGTAGATCAGATTGAAAGTTGTCCTCAGATGTCTTTATCCAGCTCCTACGTGGGTTTTTGCTCTTGTCCAGGCAACCTGCTAAAGTCCAACCGAATGCAATCAGTCTGCACAACAGGAGCACTTGGGGGAGCTGCCCTCTTGAAGGACTGCCTTTATGTATATGTATATATGTTATTGCATGTTGTGATGACCAGGGACAGCACACGTACTGATCACCAGGGACTGGCCAGCTGCCTCCTTTTGTATGGCTGCATGTCTGCATTATATATGTATGCGTGCCTTCTTCAAACTTGTTGAAGTACTTTAGTAATCCAAATAATTTTTAATTTGCAAAAAAACAAAAAACCCACCAAAAACCACCTCTGTAACATTATTCAGTTAGAAAAAGGTATAGGAACTATGCCACCAACTCTGCACGGCAAAAGGTTTGTTTCTATGGCGTTTCCCCAGAGTCGATTTACCTTTCCGAGATTAATAGCCACGCAAACCACCATCTTCTTATGGTGATGTCAGCATATTCCCGCTTTTGTCAAACTTCTTGCCCTTTGACAATGCTGCCACCTGCTTGAGAAGCTCTCTGTTCTTTGCCTGCAAAAATCCAAAATGGCCGGTGCTCCTGGTTATTTTGTACAACGTGCATTATTCTACATTGCTACGTGAAGATTTTTAAAAATTAAAAATATTACAAAGGCTGCAAAAATACCAGTGCAGTTAATACTCCATTTATATCAGGGGTCTTCAAACTTGGCCCTTTTATGACTTGGGGACTTCAACTCCCAGAATTCCTCAGCCAGTATCTACATTAGGGGTGTCAAACTGCTGGCCCGTGGGCCGGATGCATCAATGCGAAACCGCGCCCACCCCATTGCCGGCAATGGCAAAAAAAGTCGCAATACGTCACGTCACGATACGTCACGTGAGGTTGCGAGTTTGACACCCCGGATCTACATGAAGCTGCTGGGAGAAGACGTCCAATGGTCTGGGATGATGTTTACAAACCATCTAACAAAACTCAAGGGAAATCACTGAGAAATAACCCAGAAATAAACCTACTACCTGTTTTAACATTACTTTGGTGTGAAATGTCAGAATCCAACCAGCTTTAGGGAAGTCTGTGACATACAACGCAGGAGGAGGGTCATGTTAGTTTATGGCAGCCCAAAATCAGGGAGGGGTCTGGTAGTGTGGTGGAATCTGGCATCTAGTTGCAGGAGGGAGGAGTGAAGGGACAAATCAACACTGAGTCACTGGTGTGCAGGAAGAGGCCCAGGGAAGGTCTTCCCAGCATCCATATCAGGGGTCTTCAAACATGGCCCTTTTCTGACTTGTGGACTTCAACTCCCAGAATTCCTCAGCCAGCATGCCTGGCTGAGGAATTCTGGGAGTTGAAGCCCACATGTCATAAAAGGGCCACGTTTGAAGACCCCTGATTTATATGATAGTGATGCAGAGTATGCTTTAGTCTGGTAAGATTTGACTAAAGGAGAACAGCAATAAAGAAGCTACTAATTCATTATGTCGTTCTTGGTTTCCCCTACCCTGGACAGGTAACGCCTTTTCAGATTAACACTCTTCATTATTTACCTCATACTATTAATCAATATCATTAAATGATTATAAAACCATTTAATCAAGCTTTTGTGAACTGTAGCTCACTTCATCAGATGCCAACTCTTTTTTTTTTTTTAAAAAAATAACATTTATGAAATCAGAAAAGGTGCCACCTGATTCCTCCTGATTTTGGGTAATACAGTGCAACTGGTTCAAAATCTAGGCCTCTTGGCTCTCATTCATGGACATTCTCAGCTATTACTGAATACCATTTACCTGTAGTTGTTCTACAGTGTCCTTATGAGCTCTTTCCATACTGTTCATCTTGGTTCTTAAATTCGACTCTTGGTACTGAAAATCCGCCTTCAGCTCAGTCAGCTGAGAAAAAGAATTGATTTATCTCTTTAAAAATACTGTCCGTGGTTACTTCAATGCTCTCACTCTCAAATATCAAAAACATGCAATTCTAGGTAAATGTTTAAAGATAAAGAACCCAATTTTCTTCAGCTGGTTTAAAAGCCAGAAAAAAGAACATCATGCAGCATTAAGTAATTTATCTGTATATGTAAAAGAAGCTGAGTTTTTCTGTAAAATACAATGCAGTGATTTAGAATTTTGTCCATGTCTTCTGAATTATAACCAAAATGCACTGTCCTTTGAATTGTTTTAGAAACAATTTAAAAATAAATAAATAAAGGCCTTTTTCTAATTTACCTGAAAATTTAACCTTGTCATAAAAGTCTGAGCCATCATGAAGTAGTAAGTATACATTTAAATTCTTAAGCAAAAAAAAAAGAAAGAGGAATACTATAAAATTACAGAACTGATATTCTCCTAATTGCTTAAACTTTCTAATGCAGTGGTTCTCAACCTTTTTAATGCCGCGACTCCCAACCAGTCGTAAGTCGAGGACTACTCAACCAGTCGTAAGTCGAGGATTACTCGACTGGTGCAGCACCGTTTGCAGAATGGGACTTTTGGAGGGCTCAGCAGGGCAGAGACAGCCTGGACAATTCCTATTGGCTTTTGAAAGCCAATAGAATTAGACTCTATTCAAGAGAATCTATTCTATTGGCTTTCAAAAGCTAATAAAATAAAAGGGAGTAGCACAGCTAAGGAAAAGGGGAAAAAAATGGCGGGCTGCATTGTTTGGCGACCCTTGTGAAATGGTCGTTCGACCCCAAATGGGGTCCCGACCCACAGGTTGAGAACCACTGTTCTAATGAGATTCTTTGGCTTAATTTCTAAAATATTTCAGGCTTTTTAATGTTTCCAAGCTAAACTGTCATCCTTTTATGATTCAGACAAAATTTTTTCCTGAATTAATCCAGTACATTTGTCATTTACCCAGTTGATTACTAATTTAGGGCATCTTCCCTCTGAATCCTATTTCTTTTCCAAAAAGAAGATTCTTGGTTCTCAAGTTTGATGGAAGATAGGAAATTACACACACACCCCATTTCCTTTCTGATATAACATTCTTGTTGAAAACGTTTGAAATTTTTTTCTTGGCACACCATGCCATATATTGTACATTTGCTTTAGATAATATTGCTGGCTGCAGCAATAATTATTTTTTTCTTAAAACGTCTTGTGTCCTGTTGATTTTTGCAACAGATGCAACTCAAGACTATTTTAATATATTGAGGAATTAAAAACTTGAGGAATATTAACCCTTTATCATTCTAAATTTGAAGAAACTAGAATTGTTATACAGTACTTATTGTAGACATGTTATAGAATTCATCACTTAAGTATGCGTGTCTTAATAATCAAGCTGACCGTATAACAAACTTAAATGCGGCAATGGGGTAAAGTTCTTTTCCAAGATGAAATACCGTAAATGCCGGTGTATAAGACGACTTCCGCGAGCGCTGAAATCGGCGCCAAAGACGGGGGTCGTCTTATACGCCGAGTCGTCTTATACGCCGGAAATACTGGTAGTTTCCGGCGTATAAGATGACGTTCTAGGAATGCGGCCCGGCTATAAAGACAGGGGTCGTCTTATACGCCGGGTCGCCTAATACGCCGGCATATACGGTACTGTATATTAAAGTAATTTTCTGGACAACTTTCAAAACCACTCCCCATGTTATAATGTGCAGCCTTATTTATAGATTTTCTTAGAGGCACTCAGACTCATTTGCATCATTTTACATTATATGAATAATTACATAAATTGACTCCAATGACATTAATTTACATAAAATGTCTTAAATTACTTGGGAAACAATGGAGTCTGTTTTCTGAGATCATGTCCAGATGCAGCTATTATCTGTTGATTTGCAAGTCCATGGAGGGAGGGTCTGGAGATTTAACTGTATTTTTAAATATTTGACAAACATAAATCTTAGATACAAATGGAATACTTCTACAGTAGCTACTGAAATGACTAAGCCATTCACCTTTTTATCCTTCTCCAGTATAGTCTGATCTCTTTGTTGCAAAAGACGTTTCAGTGACATCACTTCTTCTTTCAACTGACTTATTAGGACAAAGTTGTCGGTACCTCCGCTGTCTGCTGACTGATTTATAGAGCTACTGTAAAAATAAATAGCATCAAATGTAACTAAAGGCAGAAACAAACTGCATCCCAAGTATACATGTTTATCTGTTTAATACAGGTAATCCTTGACTTGATAACCATTCGCTTAATCACCATTCAAAGTTACAACGGCACTGAAAAAAGTCACTTATAACCATTTGTCATACTTATGACCATTGCAGCATCCTCAGTTACCTGATTAAACAGAATAACAGAGTTGGAAGGGACCTTAGAGGTCTTCTAGTCCAACCTCCTGATCAGGCAGGAAACCCTATATGATTTCAGACAAATGGCTGTCCAATCTTTTCTTAAAAACTTCCAGTGTTGGAGCATTCACAACTTCTGGAGGCAAGTCGTTCCACGGATTAATTGTTCTAACAGTCAGCAAATTTCTCCTGAGTTCTAGGTTGGTCCTCTTTTTGATTAGTTTCCATCCATTGCTTCTTGTCCTGCCTTTACGTCCTTTGGAGAATAGGTTGACTCTCTCTTCTTTATGGCAATCCTTTAAATATTGGAAGATTGCTATCATATCACCCCTAGTTCTTCTTTTTATGAACGTAGACATACCCAATTCCAGCAGCCGTTCCTTATATGTTTTAGCCTCCAGTCCCCTAATCATCATCTTTGTTGCTCTTCTCTGTACTCTTTCTAGAGTCTCAACATCTTTTTTACATCGTGGCAACCAAAAACATTGGGTACTTGGCAACTGCCATGTTTGTACAATGGTTGTGTGTCCGGGGATCCTGGGATTGTCATCTGCAACCTTTCTAGGAAGCTTCTGACCAGCAAAGTTAACAGAGGGAAGCCAGATCCGCTTAACAAACATACAATTCACTTAACAACTCTACTGATTTGCTTAAGAATATTGGCAAAAAGGTCACAAAGTGGGGCATGACTCACTGAGCACCTGCCTTGCTTAGCAACAGAAATTTTGGGCTCAGTTGTGGTCATAAGTGAAGCACTACCTATGATATATCTATGCATTGCCCGTCATCTCTTCCATTGTAAGCAGATTTTATCCATCCTTTGTGCCAGGTAATTGACACGTTTTAAAAGGACCACTTATATTTGAGATTAATTTCCAAAGGGTCGGAAACTTGCTTAATGAAGCAGTTGTTTTTTTTATATGAATAACAGTTAACTGAGAGATTCATTTTTCACATACGATGTACAGATATTCCTCAATTTATAAATGGTCACTTAGCCACTGTTCAAAGTTATGACAGATCCCATAAAAGGTACTTATGATGACCAGTATTGGATGTTCTGGCCCCCATAGTCACGTCACCCTATTTTGCACACTTGACAACCAGCCCACATTGACAGACATTTACAGGATCCCTCAGCCACATAGCCACGATTTATGTTTTTGCCAGAGCCCAGTGTTCACTGAATGTACCAGAGCAAACAATGGGTTACTTAAGGACTGCTACAAAAGTCATAAAATTGGGTGCGGTCATGTGATCACTCGTTTAATGACTGTAATTGTGGGATCAATTTAGGTAAGTCAAGGACTACCCATATTTAAAACAAAATAGATTCGCAAGGGTTAAATATGCCACTGCTGCCATTAGACTGATTTCTAATTCAATGTTAGTTCATTTATCCCAAGAACTGCTAGTAGCAGACTTTTCAACAAAGATTTAGGCTAGTTTTGTAGAAATCTCCAAAGATCAAGAACCGGAATAATATTCATGTTGAAAATGAAAAAAAAAATGGAAAAAGTATGAACTCTATTTGTTCATACAATGTTTTATTTAACAGAACAGAAAAAAAAATATTCAGAACTATATTTTTACCTATCTCCATTAGATGGCTTGGATTCCATTTTGGGCTTTTTCTTTGGAGTTTCATTCTGAATAGCTGAAGAGGATTTATGGCTGCAAAGAAACATTAAGAATATTGCGTGACTTATGGTCATATAGCCACATTTACCCAAAACAGCAAGCAGTATTATGTATTATAAATTCATTATATATAAATATTATAAATTTAAAGCTGAGGCAAGATTCCCTTGCATCAGGCCCAATCTGTTCTCTCAGCTTCTCTCAACTTTTAAAAACAAATGCCCATCATTCCTAATTCTTTTAATGCTTAACTGTCACTCAAGGAACATTTGAAGCACATCCTACTATTAATGCAATGCTATCTGTGCCCTCCCTAAAAAAAAATCCCCAGCCTTTTACATAGCAATTAAGATTTTCAAAAAGCCTCCACTGTTGCCAGTGAAATATTTTTAAAAGTTAACACGGGTGGCAAAGTTTAACTTTCTCTTCTCTAGCGCTATGCTCTCAATCAGCCCATTAATTTTAAGGGTGATAAAGAGGCAATTCTGTCCTCACCAGTTCTGATAACCACATTTTTCATTTGCTGGCATCTACCACTTCATAAGGGGAAAGAAACAACAAAAAGTTTCCAATCCAGATAAAAAGCAAGAATTGTCTTTTCAATATTATTTACCTCTGCTTCCATAACCCCTGATCTTCTTCTGGGCTCAGACTGCTGATTCTAAAATACAGAAATGCAGAAGGTTGAACCAGCTTATCAGTAATATTCCAATAACTGGTTTCAGTCAGTAACTTCAGAAACAGAATGGTTTGAAAAGATGGAAAGAAGAAAGCAAATAGGGTTTGTTTTTGTCAAATAAGGAATCGGACAATGTTTGTGGCCCTGCATGCCACTGCAGGTAATCCTTGCTTAGTGAATACCTCTGCAATTACAAAGGTGATAAAAAAGTAACTTTGTGATTAATAGCCACATCTATGACCACTGTAGCATCTCTCTCTCACTTTGCTCACAATTAGTTAGTACATTTGTCCGATGCTTGATCTATTTCCCTCTCCCCTCAGCAGAGATTGCCTAAACCAGTAATGGCAAACCTTTTAGAGACCGAGTGCACAAAATGCAACCCAAAACCCACTTATTTATCATCAGGTGCCAGGTGGGCGTGGCCCACTGGGTGGGCGTGGCTATGGTGGTCATGGCAGACTGGGTGGGTGTGGCCAAGGTGGGCGTGGTCACCTTGATGTTGCTCGTGGGGAGGGACGTCTGTGGGGGCCAGGCAGGGTTGGGGGAGATCCAGGGGGTCTCTGGCAGGTGGGGCAGTGGGCAGGAGGCTCATCCTGCAGGGTGAGGCAAGGCAGAGCTGGGGTGCCACTGTTGCAGGGCAATGTGAGGCAGGGGCTGGGGCGGCTGCTGCCTGAAACCATCGGCCCCTGCACACAGAGGCCAGCGAGCACATGGGGGCCGACAGTGTCTGTCAGCAGCCACAACCTGATGACCTGACCAGCACACTCTGGGACCGGGGGGGGGGAGAAACAGCCGTGCTGGAATGCATCCGGCCATGTGGGATCTCGGTGAGTTAGCGGGCGGCTGGTTGAAGAGAGATGGTTGCTATCTCTGGGGCACGGTGCGCATGCCCACAGAGAGGGCTCTGAGTGCCGCCTCTGGCACACGTGCCATAGGTTCGCCACCACTGGCCTAAACAAACTATCTCTTCTTGAGCTACTTTTGGCTCCATCTCTAAAAAATGCTAACCCCAAATTCTGTGATCTTAACTAGTTGATCAGAACTTTCCCTGACACTGAAAACAGTTGGGTAGGTTGAGGCATGCATGTTCCACACAGCCACATTCCTGACCAATATACAGTCTCTAACATTCACGCCAAGATCCTATATATTGATAGGGGTCCCCAACCCCTGAGCTGTGGCCCACTAGCGATCCGCAGCCCGCTCGGAACCAGGCCACAGAAGGGGTGGGTGTGCACACACACAGCTCCACTTGCATGAGCAGCAGGCAAGCGCACGCAGCTCCATTTGCACAAACTAATTTGCGTCTCCACAAAGCCAGAAAGGTTGGGGACCACTGCTATATGATCCAAGTTGTCCAGTGAGAATTACAACCTTCTCTGAACAAAGTATATCTTTGCCACATCACCATCTGAGTTCTGAAAATTGTGTCTTATAAAAGGAATTTGTTGCATTCACAAGAAGCTACGTATTTTTTTTTTAAAAAACCACCACTTCGCAAGAATGTGTCTCCTAGGACAGCTCAATTTCAAAGTTCCTCGTAACACTTACTTGTGATGGCCGCTGCTGTGATGATGGTGGTGATGGTGGTGGGAGTGACGGTGGTGATGGTGGTGTTTCAAATGATGCTGGTCTTTTTCAGTAATAGATGTAGAAGAATTAGAATGTGAAGACCCTAAGTTCTTCCTCTGTTCCTTGGTCTTCTGCAGTACTCTCTTGTAGGACAGAGTACAAAGCCAACACAACAGCTTCCCATCAACCTTTTGGGAAATCATTCGCAGCAAGTTATGTTACACGTACTGAGTGCTAAAAAGACACACAACAGCCAAAATAAAATTATCAAATACTACTGCTATTATTCTTGCACACAGATCTTAATATAAACAAGAATATGAATACGTGTGTATATATACAGCATCAGCAGCATATCAAAGAAAACATGCAAGACATTGTAGAAAATTTTGTGGGGGGGGGAATCTAACTTGACTTCAATCTGTTTATCTTTCTAAAGACTGTCACTGGTTTAGGCAAAGAGATTATTTAGGGCATTCCGTTACTATTATATTTGTTCATATAACCAAATAATGTATTCTTGAAGACGAAGGGCTGCCCAGGTTCTTGTGTTTTGATAAATATGTTGAGCTACACAAATTAATGTTTTAAATAAATCCTGCCTTTATTTTTACAAATAACTCAAGGTGGGAAATATATCCAATACATCCTCCTCCTCTATTTTCCCTACAACAACAATCCTGTGAGGTGGGTTCAGCTGAGCAGGACAGGCCCAAAGTCACCCAGCTGGCTTTCATGCCTAAGGCCATAAACTCAGGACCACCTGCTTTTTAGCCTGGTGCTTTAACCACTAGATAAACTGGCTCTCCTATGTATGTCCTAGGCATGATGAATTCCTAAGGCTACAGTACTATAGTACCCTGAATTCTATGAAGTACAAATAAATATAAATGACAACTGCAATAGCTTATACCACATAAATAGTAACTGGGTAGATTATAGACCAAATTTTGACATTGACATTATCTGAACCTCTTAAGATATAAGAAAAATTCATGTCATTATTTTTGTCGCCCACTGTTTTGCAAAATCAAATTAATTAGTTCATAATCTTATGAACTCTGAGGTGATACATAGACATATATAAACCCTAACCCAAAAACATATGAAGAGAGATTCCTTTTATGCACATTATTTCTCTATAAATACTTGGAAGTAGTCATTTTAAATGGAATATAAAAGGCAGTTTTCTTTTAGAAAACATCAGATCAACAATGTAGCTCATCTAGTTTCGTAAGACATAAGGAAAAGGGATACCATACAGATATTTTATATATGTAGATCAAGATTTGGTCATTGCTATGGATATTCATTCATGTAAGACTAAGCAGCATAACTAAACATTCAGGTCTGACTGAATGGAGTGTAAGCTGGATTTTACTCAGTTGATTTGGGATCAATTTTGCACCGCCATTTTACAGCAAACTTTTATTTAAAATCACCAAAGCCTACCTTTCTTCTTCCTTCTTCTTTGCGGTCAAAAGCACATTGCTGCTTACACTGTTCACAGGTCTGAGGTGGTCCATATTTTTTTTCAGAGTTTGTACAGCGCTGACATTTTGTACCAATAAAAGCAGCAATGATGTTGCAGTACTGACAAGGTTTTGGCTGGAAAAAATATTTAGAAACTCTTAAAAATATGTTAATTTAGTTGTTGAGAATTGAAAATCAATGGAGGTGAGATCAAATAATTATACAGGGGGCTAAAGACAGATTGTCATCAAACACAGTACTTGCATGCTAGAAGAGCATTAAGTTTTATAACTGGAACAAGAGATAATGGGTTATAATCCGTTCAAAAACATATTTAGAGTTTCAGTAGTTCCATCTCATATAATTCCAATCAGTGTCTGGAACTGCTTCATAAAATTAGAATTGCATTCATCTGGATGTCTACATCAGGCATAAAATCTTTATCTGCTACCAAAAAACTCAAAACAAACAATCTCCTCAGTTTTGTTTATTATTAAATTGTCAGTATGCATGGATCATTTCTCTTCACATTACATAACCAAGGAAAATTGTAATTGCTATCCCAGAAAATTGCTCTATTATTTCAAACAAACAAGGATAAAATGTCTACAATTTGTGTAGGAATCTAGACAATTATAGTTTAGCAACTCAATCACAAATACGACTACATATGTTAACTTACCGTTCCAAATTGTTTCACATTTTGGGCGCACTTCTTGCATATTGTATTAGTTTTGCTGGGAAAAAAGCAAAATTCCAAATTTTAGCTACTTAGTTATCAACCACCTACCTATAATTATTGCTGAAAAGGAGAAAGTTGTGAATTAACATGTTGCTCCTAAGGTTCTTAAAGAATGTTATTGCCACATAAATTAAGAAAAGAACAAATTTTCCATACAGAAAAAAATGAGAATAGTCTAGGTGTATTAGTTCTATAGGAATTTTACATCAAAACGAACAAATGTACTATTATAACTTTAAGTAATGTTACATCTCAGACACCATTAACCAGTAAAGTTTCTATTCAGTGTGTCATTTTAAATCCTAATTTTTAAATTATTGAGGACTTAATCTTAACTGAATATATTAATGCAAGTAAGCTACATAAACTCTTAACTGAGATTAAAGATATTGCTGCATTAGTAAAAAGTTTAAAAATGATATATTGGGAACTAAAGCCACATTCTATTATGCCATATAAGGCTTAAATTATTAATGGTATGGAAATTTGCTAGCACTCTGACCATCAAGTGGATGAAGATCACCAGTTTGAGGCTACCATTTGGAAAAATATTAGACATGCCACTAAATGGAAAGAAAAAACACAATGCAGCCCTAATGAAACTCATGTAGGTATGTTAGGAAGAAATAGAGTAGGGCAGCGTTTTCTAACATGGTATTTTCCTGAGGTGTAGAGGCTACAATTCCAAGAATTCTCAGCAAGCAGAACTAGATATGAATTTCAGCTCCATACATGGCATTTCTAGAGCCACCGATACTTTTCTTCAACAATCCTTTGTTCATTAATATATTTATTTAACTTACCTCTCTTGCTGAAACTCTGATCGGCAGTAAGTACATTTTACAATGGGGTGCGCAATCCGACATTCCTAGAAGAGATAATCAATATTTGATTGAAGTGCAACAAGTGATATTAGGTGCATTAGATTTTACCTTACAAAACATTCTAAACATTCATCATCTGAGGTAGTAAAATAGGAAACTATTCTTGATTATTGGACTAACAATATCATTTATTAGAACAGAACAGTACAGGCTACTGTACAAAATTAACTTACTGCAATTTAATTTTTCAAATAAAGATGTAGAGGTAGTCCTCAACTTACAACCATTTATTTAGTGACCTTTCAAAGTTACAACGGTACTGTAAAAAAATGACTTACAACTAACCTTGACACTTATGACCATTAAAGAATCCTCAGTTGTGTGATCAAAATTTGGGCTAGGCAACTAGCATGTACTTATGACAGTTGCAGTGCCCAGAGTCATGTAGTCGCCATTTGCAACCTTCCCAGCCAGCTTCCCACAAGCGAAGTTAATGGGGGAAACCAGATTCTCTTCATAACTGTAATTCACTTAACTGCAGTGATTTGCTTAACAACCATGGCAAAGAAGATCATAAAATCAGGTGTGACTCACTTAAGTCAAGGACTACCCATAGGCAATATGTTTTAACAACTTTTGGAGATTTAAAACATAAATACTGCAATAAAAAATCATTCACAAAATCAGTAGTGTTACTCACAGTTTAAATGTACTTTGCTCTGCAGTGGAAACAATTATTTTATTTATTTTTATTGCAAGTGCCTCTATACCATTTTAATTGAATGACTTTATGCAGCTATTATCATTTAAAAAAATACCCATGCTGCTGAAGCCAAGGTTTGCTAAGCAGTTTCACTTCTGTAACACCTAACAGACTGCCTCAAACTGCACGTTTATTCAATGAATACTGTCTACGGATGTATATATAGGCTATTACATAAGAAAGCACAGACAATACAGATGCAGACAGAAACCCACAACCATTTTTGAAAGATTCCATTTTTTATTGCTTTGTTTTGATATTATGAATTCCTGAAACTACCGTAAATGCCTTGGAATGTATCAGCTACTAGATCCATCTAACAGTCTGTGATGATTTTGTGACTGCCTAGGAAAATTTATATCATAAAAGACCACAGCTTTTCTTTTTAAGGGAAAACAGATGTCTCTTCCTTGCTAAAATCGGATGTGTACAACTGAGTCTTTCAATTTCAAATATTTAAGTAGTAGTGAATTTACGTTTTAAATCTCAGGATGAAAGCACAACCTATAGAGATATCAGTACCTCTTACCCTCCCCACTCTCAAAATCTAGAAATAGATACACTGTGCATTTTTCCATCCATGGAAATTTTCCAGTATATTTTTCCAGGGGAAAAAACCCTGAATGAAATCAAAATACTTGAGGTTAAGAGTTCCAACAGTAAAAGTGTCAAATTTGAAAACAAATTGCCATTCTGAACAGCACTACATGTTGTACAGTTGTCCGTATTTTATTGATTTATATCCTGCCTTTATTATTTTTACAAATAATTCAGGGCAGGGAACATATATAACACACCTTCCACTCTCTATTTTTCCCAAAACAACTCTTTGAGATAGATTGGGCTAAAAAAGAGTGACTGGCCCAAGGTCACCCAGCTGCCTTTCATGGCTAAGGAGGGACTGCAACATACCATCTCATTTTTCTAGCCTAGTGGCTTAAACATTAGACCAAACTTGTTCTTTTACTACCCAGAAATTTTGAATTTCCCTGCTAATTTTCTACCCTGTGGAAAAAAAATCCCACCCTACTTTCATCAGAAGGAACCACAGATGGCTACAAGGTGCAATTCAGCAGGCAACATGGCAGAGCATCAGAAGCTTTTGTAAGCTTCTAAAGGCAGGGGTGGGGAACTACGGCCTTTTTATGACTTGTGGACTTCAACTCCCAGAATTCCTCAGCCAGCCATGCTGGTTCAGGATTTCTGGGAGTTGCAGTCCACAAGTCATTAAAAAAGGCCATAGTTTCCCATCTCTGTTGTAAGGAATGGAAAAAGGAGTCCCTCCTACAGTACAGTATAAAGCCTTGAAGCCTTCTGTCCTATTATTACTAATACTAATTTTATTATCCTTCTGACGACTTTTTTTATACTTAATGGCGTCAGAGTTTACTTTAAATAATCGTCTGGGCTCTGCCGCTGAATAATGCATGAAAAAGCGAAGTTGGGTTATTTTCACTGCTATGTGGCCGTGTGTGTACACGTGATCAGACAAACACGTGTGTGAAAGTATACGTGAGTGTCTGTGTGTGTATGTGACTATAAGTACGTGCTAATATGTATCATTTTTACCTGCAAGGCTTCTAGAAAATAATCCTAATAAAGCCCAAGTATTTGCTCCGGCCGGGCGAAAGCCTTTCTTCCAAGCCTCCAATCAAAAGCCACCCACGCAACCGTCCCTCCCTCCCTTCCTTCCTACCGCCGCCTCCGCCCTCGGCCCCGAGGAAGCGGCACCTTGCAGAGCTGCTGTCCCTGGGAGAGCTCCTCGAAAGGGTAGCGCTGGTTGCACTTGGTGCAGGCGTAGAGAGCCGGGGCCGCGCCTGATCCCGCGCCCGCCGTCGCCACGATCGCCGCCCCAGAAGCCCCGGATGTTGCCGCCATCCGCCTTCCTCTCGGCCTAGAGAGAGCCACGGCCGGCCGGCCGCCAGCCCGCCCGCCTGAGAGGAAATACAAGCCAGACGAACCACGGTTCGATCCTCGCCACCGCGGCCGCTTCCCGGCGTCGATAGGCCGCGCCTCTTCCTTGTGTCAGCGGCGGGGCCCGAACCCGTTTTTTTCCCCCTCCTTCTCACACAAACAGAGAGAGAGCGCGAGCGAAGGAGCGAATGAACGCCTCGCGAGGCGGGTCCATCTTCTCGGCCAATCCGAGCCGCGCGGCAATACTTCCTTCAAACCTCACTGCCCAATGGCAGAACGGGGCGGAAGGACACGCGCGTTGCCGCCCGTCCACCTCGCCGCGCGACGTCACGTTCAATCCGACCAATCAAGAAATCGAAGGGGCTCCGGAGCGCTCTCTGTCTCTCATTGGTCTTCTGAGGCGCTCTTCTGAAGTTTTGAGGGCTTTTTCCTTCCAACCGTCTCATGACTGCGATTGCGCAGAAGAGAGCGGAGGTACTTCCTGCCTTTTCTTCCTCTCGCTTCTCTGCCAACAGCTAGAAAAAACGACTCTTGATGCATGCCGTTCTGACTGTACGATTGACTTCCCTACTGATACGTTCCAAACAAACGCAGCGCCGAAAATCCAGGTTGGGCTTAAGAACCACCAACTAACTCCAATCGCCTATTCCTACTGGCTGTTTGTCGCGTCAATCGCCACCTCCACTCTGTGACGCAAGCGTGCCGTAAGAGGCAACGAGCCGGATGCGATGCGCTAGGCTAGGGAGAGGGAGTTGCATCGTGGTTGGCCGGTTGCTATGTCACTCAATAGAACTACCTTGTTGACAGCTGGAAGGCCGGGGGGAGGCGGGAGCGAGGCAGTATCAGCCGCTGCTGGCCTTAAAGGGACACGCACCCGGGACGGCCGCCTTTTTACGACATGGCGGTGGCCGGGGCCCCTGAGCACACGGTGAGCCGCAGGGAGGCGAGGCCGCGGCAGTCCTGCTAGGGACTTTATCTCCAGTACATGGGGCGGCACTCGTGGGCCGTCCATGGAGGCCTGAGTGTACCTTCTCGGAAGGGGGACAACAACAACGCGCTCTTCGCATGCCCAGAGACGCGTTTTCCGTTAGGCTAGTGTCTATATTCCTTAACTTTGGGAGTTTCCCCTGTATTCTCACCCTCTCGGTCTAGCATGTGGCTGAGGAAAGATATAGTTAAAACGAACCTTATCTGTAGCACTTTATTTGGGGGGGGGGCAGGGGGCTTTTAGTGACCTCAGTGTAAAATATGAGGATAAGCCATTTAAATAAAACTCTGCTCATTTTCTAGGGGGAAAGTGGCTTTTCTGGGGTGCTTGTTCTAGCCCACAGCCTTGGGGCTTCCTGGTGGTTTCTCCTAGTGGTCTCCTTTTCAAGGTCTCTGCTTAAGATCCTGTGAGCCACTTGCTATTTCTCAGACTCATCTCCTTGGGCTATGTAGGGAAGGCAGATAGGGAAAGAAGAGAATTTCATTTAGGGCCTTCTCAGCAACAGGAAAGGCCGGTATATAATTATCAAGGATTTATTTATATTTATATTAAAAGGTATATATTTATAATTAGCATATATCTTTTATATTCAAAGGTATGTTAAAGGTACTAATTCCTTTCCTTGAAGAGTCACAGGTTTGCTGCAGGTTCCAAAGGCGCTTTTTTCAAAAGACAACTGGACTTCCTTGGTTTTTCTCTTGAAGACATTTCTCTTCTCGTCCAAGAAGCTTTTTCAGTTCTGCAGCTGAACTGAAAGAAGCTTGTTGGATAAGAAGCAAAACATCTTCAAGGAAAACAAAGACAGTACAGTTGTCTTTTGAAAAAGCACCTTTGGAACAACCATGACTTGGATGACTGAGATTCTTCATAGAAATTTACTACATGTGTATATTTACTGTAATTCTAGAAATTCTGACAACTGCGTGTTCTATTAACTCCTATAAAATTGACTGGTTTTGTGCATTATTGGTGACAAAATTTCTCAGAGAATTTCAGTTCTTATGTTCCTGTTCTTAACTTTTGATTGTCTTAGCTTTCCTCAAAAAGCATGAAGTCTTTTTGGTATCCGGCAGCAAAATTTATTTTGTTCCAGATATTTTTACCATTTTGTCTTCTGTTCAATTTACATTAACTAGTCTACATAGGAGTAGTGGATTGTTTCATTCCTTAGAATTTCCATATCCAGGGTGCAAAAATTCTTGTGGCTAAAAGATTACAAAGTTTTCTGTATCTCTTATCCAGATTTTTGCAGCCCACAATAGCCCTAGTTAATTGCATTTCATTTCCTGTTTTTAAATCCTTTAGAAACTTTTAATGCTTTTACAACATTTGTAATCTGTCTGGAGAAAAGCAGTTTTAAAATGTAATTATTTGTAATGGTTTATAAAGTGCAGTGGGTGGGTTATCTCAACATGGAAAGCCAAAAATAAACAAACAGTATTATGGGTTAGAGTACAGTACCGTAATATGTAAATATAACATTACCACTGACCTTCAGTTGGTTTCAGATCTTAGGAGGAGTGTTTCCTATACTTTCTTTTGTGTGTTTTGAATCTCTATGTAAGGAAATACTAGTTTCCTCTCTTCAGCAGTGTTTCTGCAGGAGCTTATTTGAAGGATTAGGGCAGTGTTTCCCAAACTTGACAATTTTAAGGCATGAGCACTTCAACTCCCAGAATTCCACAGCCAGCAACGCTGGCTGTGGAATTCTGGGAGTTGAAGTCCACATGCCTTAAAATTGTCAAGTTTGGGAAACACTGGATTAGGGCATGCAATTTAAAAAATGTAAAATATAGAAATTTAGACATTGCAGCATTTTTATAATGTTTTAAAGAAGTATCTTGAGAGCTTTTAAGTTCAGAGCATAATCTTCAGGGAGACAGAATAATTCTGCAGTTGCTACTTTACTATAATCATATATAAATTTGGAAGTTCCATAGAGGGTGTTTCTCAAATAAATCTATATGATTTATATATTCAGGGATAAATTTTAAGTAGAGTTGTGCTGAGTTGCTTAGCATCTGGGCCGTCTTAGAAGTCAGATACTTATTTTATTCAATTAAATTCTTACTGACTTATCTTAAAAGTTGTGAGCTTGGGACATTGAATTGATAATTGTTTGAGTCCCCATGTCACATTGTTGTCTTTGCATTGCCTCTAAACTTGTTAGAGTGCTTTTGTTGAATACATAATTTTAGGAGTATCTCCAGTTTACTTCCTATGTTATACTTTTCCAGTTTAGAACAGCTCTGAGTGTGCCAAAAGAGTAACTTAATCATAATGTTGCATAGCAACCAGCTGAGAAACTTATTTCAAATAAACATTTGTCACTTAATTTAGACCTAAGTTGTTGTGGGCATGCAATACAGTAAGCCACAAAAGATTTATCTCCCAGTCCATGTCACATGGACTAAACCATTTGGACAGGATACGTAGGAGGCAGGAGAGAGAAGAAAAAATAATAATAAAAGCTACATAACAAGTACCTGCCTTGGCTATATTGAAGCCAGGCTAGTCATGATTCCTTGGAAGCATACAGCCTGTTTTTGTGGAAGTAAACCAGAGTTGTGGGTTACAGGCCGTCCTTGACGTATGACCACAATTGACTCCAGAGGTTCTGTTGTTAGGTGAGACATTTGTAAGGGAGTTTTGCCCCATTTTCTTGCCACAGTTGTTAAGTGAATCAGAGCAGTTGATAAGTTATTAATATGGTTGTTAAGTGAATCTGGATTCTCCATTGATTTGGCTTGCCAAAAAGTTGCGAAAGGTGATCACAGGATGCCGGGACACTGCAACTGTCATAACCAGTTGCCAAGTGTCTGAATTTTAATCACTTGATCATGGGTGTCGTGGGTGTGGAAAAATGGTCATAAGTCACTTTTTTCTGTGCCACTGTAACTTTGAACGGTCACTAAATGAACTGATGTGGGTTGAGGACTACCTGTATTTCCAAGCAGATAGGTGGATAATATGGTTTTACATTATAACTATTTTATGCCATCTGTCTTTCAAGAAGCCCAAGGCTTGCTTGCTTTGCTTATTTATTTTATTATTCCACCTTTATTCTTTTTTATAAATAAGGTGATGAACGTATATAATATTCCTTCCTCCTCCTACTTTCCCCTCAACAACCCTGCGAGGTGGGTTAGGTAGGCTGAGAGAGAGGGAATGGTCCAAGTCAGCCAGCTGGCTTTCATGCCTAAGATGGGAATAGACCAGTGATGACGAACCTTTTAGAGACCGAGTGCCCAAACTGCAACCCAAAACCCACTTATGCATTGTGGGGTGCCGTGTGGGTGTGGCCCATTAGGTGGGTGTGGCCCATTGGGTGGGCATGGCTGCGGTGGTAACGGCAGACTGGGTGGGACTAAAAAGTTCAATCAATCAATTCCAATTTTGCAAGATCTTTTTTTTTTCCCACGAGAAGTTGAAATTGACTGACTGATTGAACCTTTTTTTTTTTTGTACACGGCGGCGGAGGCCTAAAGCGAAAAGGTTTTATAAAACCCAGCTGAAGGCCTAGGACTGGGGCGACGGTGTGTGTGCCCACAAAGAGGGCTCTGAGTGCTGCCTCTGGCACCCGTGCCATAGGTTCGCCACCACTGGAATAGACCTAACAATTTCTAGCCTGGTGTCTTAAACACTAGACCAAATTGGCTCAAATATTACTCCTTCCTTCATTCCTCTTTAATAAATGCTCAAGAGTATATTTAACTGCTAAAGAACAGTAGCAGGCCTGAGGTCACCTGATAAGTGTCTTGCTGAACAAGGATTTGATTTCTGGACCACAGTTCAGTTTGCTCTTTGTGAGTCATCTACTTTTGCCTACTTGGAACAGCATTTTTTTGTGGCCAGTTGACCTGCCATTGATGCAGATTTATTTAAAAAATGGCAGGCATTCTTCTAGTAAGCTGTATTAAATCTGCATTCTGATTTTTCACTGCTATTAGGTGAGTAAATAGAGAATCATTGGGTTGTAAGTGTTCCCAACTAATTACTTTCCCTAGACCAGGGTTGGGCAACCTTGGCTCTTTTATGACTCGTGGACTTCAACTCCCAGAATTCCTGAGCCAGCCATGCTAGCTCAGGAATTCTGGGAGTTGAAGTCCATGAGTTATAAAAGAGCCAAGGTTGCCTACCCCTGCCCTAGAAGATGGGTCTTCAAGTGTGGCCTCCCTGGTGATGCTGTGAAGAGGTCTTAATCTTCCTGTGGACTGATGAAAGAGTAGCATAAAAATTGGGAGATAACTTGTGTCTGAGGCCTCCACCCCTTTTGAGGGAATCCTTCAATCCTTCACAAGTTTACTAGGAAGGCCATGTTTATCAACCCACCTAGGGGAAGGATTTAGGACAAGGGTCTTCAAACTTGGCTCTTTTATGACTTGTGGTCTCCAACTCCCAGAATTCCTCAGCCAGGCACACTGGCTGAGGAATTCTGGGAGATGAAGTCCACAAGTCATAAAAGGGCCAAGTTTGAAGACCCCTGATTTAGGAGTTGGAACATTTATATCCTAATGACTCTCTGCCTTCCCACCTAATGAGCCTATTCAGGTTAAGTGGGAACTGAAACCACCCTGGAGGACATATATGGGGTTCCCCCCAACCAACTTGCTCAGATTGAAGAAACTACTTGGATAAACAGTGACATGTTTCAAACCAACAGGAAAAAGAAAAGAAATCCAGTTGCTATAACTTCCAGAAATTGCCAAATCTTGCAGAAGTGCTCACATATCTAGTTAAGTTACAGGATAAAGTTGGAAGGGACCTTGGAGGCCTTCAAATGCAAACCCCCGCTCAAGCAGGAGACCCTATAACAGTGGTGGCGAACCTATGGCATGGGTGCCAGAGGCGGCACTCAGAGCCCTCTCTGTGGGCACGCACACCGTGCCACATTCCTAGGCCTTCAGCTGGATTTTATAAAACCTCCACCGCCATGTGAAAAAAAAAAGGGTTCAATCAGTCAATTTCAACTTCTCGTGAGAAAAAAAAGATCTTGCAAAGTTGGAATTGATTGATTGAACTTTGTAGTCCCACCCAGTCCCACCCAGTCTGCCATGGCCATGCCCACCCAATTGGCCACACCCAGCCAATGGGCCACACCCACCTGGCATTCGACGATGCATAAGTGGGTTTTGGGTTGCAGTTTGGGCACTCGGTCTCTAAAAGGTTCACCATCACTGACCTATAACATTTCAGACAAGTGGTTCTCCAGTCTCTTCTTAAAAACCTCCAGTGACGAAGCACCCACAACTTTTGAAAGCAAGCTTCTTCCGCTGATTAATTGTTCTCACTGTTGAGAACAATTAACTGTTACGGGAAGTTTCTCCTTAATGATGGATTGCTTCTCTCCTTGATTAATTTCCATCCACTGTTTCTTGTCTTGCCTTCTGGTGCTCTGGAAAATAGGTCGATGCCTCTTTTTTTGTGGCAGCCTCTCAAATACTAGTACACTACTATCATGTCACCTCTAGTACTTCTTTTTTCTAGACTAGCCATATCCAATTCCTGCCACCATTCTCCATATGTTTTCGTCTCCAGGCCCTTAATCATTTTAATTCCTCTTCTCTGCATTTTTTCCCCAAAAGTCTCAATGGATGTTGAATGATGAAGTCTCATAAACGCATAAACTCGATGGAGTTTGTGAGACGCCATCATTCTTGATTAACTCTCTGGAATAGAACACAAAAATCTTGGAGACCGCTGGAGTGTGACAGTAGCTGTTTTAGGGATTGATAATCCTTACCAACTCAACAGTGGTTTCTCTAATCAAACCATTATAGTCTTCTAAAGATTCAGTTTGTTCTCCTTTCTGTTATGGATGGATGTGGGATAATATCTCCGTATTTTTCAAGGAGCTGAATTAACCTTTTTTGCTTGCTTTCAGGGCACCCTCCATGCAAGTCACACGTCGACATCATACACCGATGGGTTTTCAGCAGCTTCCTTCTCTGAGTACCCCAGGCACAAACCATTCATTAATGCTGACCTATGCCGATCCCCCGCCAAGCCGGTAATTGCCTATCCAGAGAGTAACAGCAAAGGTAATATTTCTCCCCAGAGGAAATGGGGCTGTCGGGAGTAGTTTTTACTTTATATGTAATCCCGTTCCAAACAATAAATCATCTTGAAAATGGTATTATCTTTCTAGGCCTTGATGTGCATTTCCCTTCTTAAAAAATATGATATGAAATTTGAAGAAAGCTATGTGTTGTTTTATGACACAGATTAATAAAAATTGTGGGTGTTTAGGAAATGCATACATCAATTTCGCAGGCACAGAACGGCAGCTTAGTTGTGTTTATCCTCCAGAGCAAGGGTTCTCAACCTTGGCAACTTTAAGACTTGTGGACTTCAACTCCCAGAATTCCTCAGCCAGCAAAGCTGGCTGAGGAATTCTGAAAGTTGAAGTCCACAAGTCTTAAAGTTGCCAAGGTTGAGAACCCCTGCTCCAGAGGAATAGGTACTGCTGGTTCCCTTCCCTGAGTGCCCTCCTGGCCTCAAATTTGCTTTCTTGATATTTCCTTCCCAACTCCAAGTATCTGCATAATTCCTGAGCCTTTGATTGGATGTAATCAGAAAATACAGTTAACACTGTCTCTTCATTCAGCCTGCAACCTCTATCTCAGGACTGTCTTTGCATGACAGGCCGCATGGCTTAAGCATCTGGCAATAAAATTGTAGATCTGATATTACTGGTCACCTCATGCTTAGATTATTGCAATTTATAATACGTGGGACTGTCCTTGAAAGAAGTTCTGAAGCTTTAGAGTTTAGAATGCAGCTTCTTGCCTATTGACTATTACCATTATTAATAGCAGAATAGCACCAATCTTCTTGCAGCTGTTCTGGTTTTCTGCTAAGCCCAATTCAGGATGTCAATTATGACCTATAAAAGCCCTTTGGGGCCTTGTTAGAATTGTAGAATTGGAAAGGACCATGAAGGTCTTCTAGTCCATCACAGTCCTCATCCCATCCTGAACAAATGGTTGCTCAGTCTTTTCTTGAAAACCTTCAGTGATGGAGCACCCACAACTTCAGAAGGTAGATTGTTCCATTGCTTAACAGTTTGGGGACTGACTTGGGTAGAGTGTCTCCATCCACTCCAAGAGGGCTGGCCGAGAATCCTTCCCCTGAGAAAAGTCAGAGAGGGAACTAGGAAACAGTCTTTCTTAGGAGAAACCCTCTCACATTGAACAATTTTCCTCCAGAGATGCAGACAACTCCTTTCCAAAAGACACCAAGATCCATTTCAGTGAACCTGTGGGGCAGAGGGTGTAATTTAGGTTGGAAGCAGTCAAATTTGAGAGGAATTTGGATGGTTTTCATTTGATGGTGAGCTGCCTAGCGTCCTAGGAGAAAGCAGCATATCAGTTACTGTAAATAGTGAATGAATTAATCTGTCCTAATTTTTGCATTCTGTATTGTTGCCTCTTTCCTAATCTCTGTTTTTTTTTAATAACATCTGGTCTGATGGAGATGCATTGCATTTTGATTTGGTCCTAGTAAAGGTATTGTCAAACTCTGGTGGTTATTTTTTTTTCTCCTGTAAACTAAAGAGAGTGTGATTTCTGCTTATTAGTGGACTACCTGTGTGGGTATATATTGTTTTCATATATTGTCATTACATTTTATAAAGGCCTCAATGTACTTTTGTTCAGTTAGAGGGACATAAATGAATAAATGGCATTAAATGGAACAAAATCCCACCTGGTCAAAATGTCTTCTTTTTTTTTCATGCCTAATTTTGTAGTAACTCTGCAGTTTATATCTTAAAGCTGAGAAAACTCTGACATTAGGTTTTGATAAGAAAACAATATCTACAGTATTCTGAAAATAAAAATAAAAAATCTAGCACTGTTAATCTGAGATACGCCAGTTTGCCTGGCAGAGCATTGTAAACCAGTGGATAGTCTCTTCACATCCACGGAGGAAGAAAAGGAGTAGTCCCTGAAAAAAAAAAATTGGGACACCTGTAATTTTCCGAGCTCTTTTTAATACATTCTGTATTTTATAGTATCAGTTATGCAGAAAGAAATAAGTGCTACTGCTTTCTCTTGCCTCAACAATCTTGATTAATATCATATGCCTCAGCTGCCCTTTTGTCATAAAACCTATAATTTATCTTTCCTCTTCAACTTGTTTTGATGGTTTACATTTCATATATATGAGTTTCCTGGTCCCTAATGAATTAAGGCAAATGTTCTACCAGTTATCATTTGTGTTGGAATCTAGTGGGAGGATCGTATTTCTGTCTTTCCCTATTTTGAGTGTGTCCCTTGAGGATCCCAAGTTCCAGGAAGCTGCATGGATTTTCATCACCCTATACCCATCTGATCAGATGTGGCCTATTTATGAAGGAGATTTTATAGAAATTATAGGTTCCTTACCTGGAAGCACTTGGGAATCTTTGAGCTACATGTATACCCCAGGACATTAATTACCTTTCCTTTTGGAGTGGCTGCTGATAACCTAATTAAAATAGGATTATGCAAGTAAGGTTCACTCTGTTGGTTGCTGTAGAGAAAAAGAGCTCCTGCTAATTATCATTGACAACTACTTCCGTGCAGCACTGCCAGCATGAAGAACTGAAGTCATACTTTGTTTACAGCTCTCTCTGTTCCTCTTTAACTGCAGAGGCTCAGTTGCTCAAACATTAGAGCTGGCAATCTTTGTTAACGTTGTTATATTAGAAAGTGTGCAACTTTTTTTCAGGCCGAGAGCTGAAAAGCGAGCAAGAGTAGGACAAAAGCTGAATTGGAGAAAAATGTAGTATGTGGAATTACATTAAACTGATGAATTACCTAATATACTCTTCAAGTGTTTAATACTTTGTTCATCCTGTAAAAGTTGAATGGTTTTTAATCATTTTTCTAATGGTCCTTGTGAAATAAGTGAGACAGAGAAAAATGTGCTTTATCCTAGGCCAGTGTTTTTTACTCAAACCCGGCAACCCTTAAGATGGGTGGGTTTCAACTCTCAGAATTCCCCGGCCACTACTTTTGATACTTAGATAGCCGAACTGTCATTGACTTTTAAATTTTGCACCCTTAAGTCCCTCATCTTCACCTGTATTCTGTCCACTTGCTAACTGATGGATCTAATTTAATTTATCTACCAGCCATATTTTCGGCTCTGAAGAACCTGCAGGAGAAAATACGTCGGCTGGAGCTAGAAAGGATCCAAGCAGAAGAGAATGTGAAAAGCCTGACCAGGGAGACCTCAGATTATAAAAAAGTTCTAAGTGAGCAGTTGCTGGAAAAAGAACAGTCGAAGTTGCAAGTGTTCAAGAAAAATGATGGTATACATATATATATATATCTTCTTTGCTTGTCCTCATTAAGAAGGTTACATGTATGAGGACAGATATTAAAGGAGGCAGGCGTTTCCAGAAGTCATTTGCTGCATCTCTCCCAATTTTGGTTGCAATTGGCATGCATAACAACCCTGTTATACTGTTATTGCTAGGTTGAATGCTTTTATATAATCAGGCACTGTAGCCAAGTAGGATCCGTCCATGGGACGGGATACGAAGATGTTCTGCATATATGTGCTGTACATAGACACCCTTTGCATAGTGGTTGAACTTGTGGCTTGCATGTACAAATGAATGGCTGTGTGTGTGTGTGTGTGTGTGTGTGTGTGTGTTCATAAGCATCTCTATTTGAAAAAACATTTTGAGTTAGGTAAAGTGTATATTTTGAATAATATTGCATTTGTTAAGAATACTTGTGGATTGCAAGTAGCTCAGTGCAATATTTGCAACCTATAATCAAAGGATCTCTGATGATATTGGATGAAGGAAGGCAACAAATAAGAATACGAAGATCTATGGTTGGTTGGTTCTTTGGGCCATAAAGTCATGTTCACGCATATCAGGGAGGCACAATGGGGCCTGATTGTTACCTACTGCCACCTTGAGCAGTAGATGCAAAGTAGCATAGGTCTGCTGATATACCTGGATACATACTTTTTATTTTTGGCACATCATTGGATGTTCAAGTTGGATATTTCTCCAATTTTCCCACATACTGGTTTCAAAGAGCCAGTTCTGTACCTAAATGCAGCCATTGGGACAGTCTCGTTAAAACCCATTCAGTGTTGGTTCTGGAATATGAACCTTCTTGTCCCTTTGTTTGAAAATAGTAACTTTAAAGTAGGGGCCTTCAAACTTGGCCCTTTTATGACTTGTGGACTTCAACTTCCAGAATTCCTCAGCCAGGCACGCTGGCTGAGGGATTCTGGGAGTTGAAGTCCACAAGTCATAAAAGGGCCAGGTTTGAAGACCCCTGCTTTAAAGAGATGATTTGCAGCAACTAATCGACCTGGTTCATGTTAGTTTTCTTTTGCTGCTCTGCCTCCAGAGTTGGCAGCACAACTGGCAGCAGCCGAGACTCGCTGTGTACTTCTGGAGAAACAGCTGGAATACATGAAGGAAATGATAGCACAGGCAGAACTTGAAAAGACGACCGTCTTGGAGAAACAGGTACATGGGCCTTTTTAATTCTAGTGATTGAGTTTGTGTTGGGTCTAGTAGTGAAGGCACCAGGCTAGAAACTGGGAGAATGGGAGGTCTGGTCCTGCTAGGCATGAAAAACGGTTGGGTGACTTTAGCCAAGTCATTCTCAGTTCAACCCATTTCACAGGGTTGTTGTGAGGAAAATAGAGGGAAGATGGAGTATTAAGAGTATTAGCTGTGTTTGCCACCTTGAGTTGTTTATAAAAAAAGGAATAAAATAAATAAAATATCAAGGTAGTCCTGATCTATAGATTCCAGAAAAGTTGCCAGTAGCCATAGCATCTTTTAAAACTTCCTGGTTTACAGAATTTGCTGTTACAGTATTTGTCAAAGTCATCGTTTAGCTGATTTTAAAGGGACTATTAGAGGTAGGATGCTAGTGGTTATTGGTCATGATAGCTATAAATTTACCTCCAGATTCGGAGAAAATTAACTCAAATGCTAGCTTTAGGGATCAGCAACTTTCATACAGCTGCTGAGTTCAGTAGACCAGCATTTCCCAATATAGACAGACATCCTCCAAATCTGTGTATTTTAATATTCAAGATTAGCGATGACAGCTGGGAAAGGTTGGGAATTGAACTTGTAGAATTGAAAGATATTCTTGGTAATCAGGATGAAGATTGAAGGAAACTAAAAAAAAAATGACAAGGGAATCTGGTAGACATTGTGTTTTGTACCCCTGGAGTATAGTATTACTAAGACTATCATGTAGCACTTCAGGCTGCTGAAAGACTATCCTAGGATTATCTCCTTTACACAATATCTTTTCCTGCTTACAGTCTAAAACTGTATAGTCTAGGAACCACTTTACTACTACTTTGGTAATGGCCAAAGATAGTCCCCAGACTAAAATGTCAATGTTTAGCCATAGAATAAAATTTTGGAAACATTTTACCTATGTCCAAGAATTTTTAAAATGGCTCTTTTCAGAGAAATACAACTAACAAATGTGGTTTATTTTTATTGTGAACTTTTCTCTCCTTTTGTGACATCAAGTGGCAGAATGCAATTTAACGGGGCCTGCTCTTTCTTCTCCATGACACAAAGTGTTTTGTTTTCCTCTCCTTTTTTTCCAGGCCACATTGGAAAAAGAGAGGAATGTCGATCACTCTCATGTGAAGTCCAAGTTCGAAAGGTTGGATCTGCTTGAGAAAGAATACACACGGCTTACATCAATGCAGTCTCTTGCAGAGGTGAGACCTGGAGTTGTGCTCATTGTGGATTGCAAGATCTGTACTAATGTAATCCTCAACTTTTTTCTTTTTGAAGAAATTTTATTGTTTTTTTAATTCTTATAACAAAGTATTCAGGACACACCATGGTGCTAGGGTAATCAAACATCCTAGAACAAAACATATATACATAGTACAATCAATATATCAAGTATTCCCTCTTTTTTCCCCTCAAAGCATAAAATATCCAATTCTAGCTTAAATTTATTCAACCTGAACCTGTTTTAAAGCTTTATAAATTTACAATACCATAATCAAATTAACTTTAAATAAAGACATTTTCAATTCAGATATCCCTTCCAAGTATGTTCTATTTTCTTAATTTTATCGAAATCTTATTTATTTCTTCTTCCACTAATCTCCCCTATTTAAAACAAAATATTAATCTATCCTATACCTATCTAATCCATCAGTTAATCAATCTCTTTAAGCTGACAAGATAATATCAGACCTTAAATCATTCAACCCATTATATAGAATTCAAATCTCATCCAGTTAATCATCATAATAACATCCAAGTCATCAAAGAATCACCTCTTCTTATTAAGTTTCAATTAATTAATAATTCAATTCAAATCTAAAACATCTCTTTGATTTTCTTCATTCCATTACATAATAATTTACATACAAATAAACCTAACATTCTAAAAAATACATTCTTAATATTCTAGCTTACCTTTAATCCATAATATAAAAAATATCTCATTTTTAAACAAAAATATTAATCTATCCTAAACATATCTAAATGTGTATATCTATCTATGTATTCTATACACGTCTAATCCATCAATCAATCTCTTTAAGCTAACCGAATAGTATCAGACCTTAAATCATTTCAATCCATTGAGCAGAATTCAAATTTGATCCAGTTAGTTATCATAGCTAATAACATCCATGTTATAGAACAAACAAGTCATCTTATTTAATTAACATTCAATTAATTATTAATTCAATCAAAGTCTAAAACAGTGGTTCTCAACCTTTCTAATGCCGCGACCCCATAATACAGTTCCCCATGTTGTGGTGACCCCCAACCACTTATAGATCACCGGGTGCCAGGGGTGTGGCCAAAGAAAAGGGGGAAAAATGGCAGACAGCCTTGTTTGGCGACCCCCGTGAAATGGTCGTTTGACCCCAAATGGGGTCCCGACCCACAGGTTGAGAACCACTGGTCTAAAACATCTCTTTACTTCAAACTCATAATCTTAATCCTTACATCAGTCCATAATTCTAGGTTGCCTTTAATCCAACGCATGAAATTTTAAATTTCATTTTTCAATCTTATTCTAGCTTTCCTCTTATGCCAAGCAGGTTTCCATAGCAGTGCTTCCCTTCCAGATGATGAATCTCTTTTTGTTGCTTGTAGCATCATTTGATTCGATGAAAACCATCTTGGTCTCTGCATTGGCCCTCTGTTTCTCTTGTCCATAAAGCCTCGTTGCTTCAAAAGTTCAAAACTCAGTCTTTGCTTTTCCTGGTCCTGAAAGCCATAAGTGAATTGCTTATAGGGTAAGATAAAATTCTCTTTCTTCTCAGTTAAGTCCTCTTCTTGTATAATCTGTTTTGTAGAGTAGACAGGTGTAATCTGAGAGTCAGTTTTAAGGTTTAAAGTAGGAGTTCTGGCTCTTAATTCTATAGTAAACTCTTTTATTTATTTATTTTTTCTTTAGCCTCATAAATCTTTTCCAATGTAAGTTTATAGTTTAAAAGTGATTTGAGGCTTCTCCATTTTAACAATAGTTGAAAAGAAATCCTTTTTTTTCCCCTTTTTTTCTTTTTTAGTGTAGGCTACAGTTGAAAGATATCCACCCCCACAAATCCCACAGCTGGCTCAGATTATCCTTTCTCTTGAAAAATAGTTTGAAGGCCAAAACTATCTCATCTCCAAATAGTCAACAATTCAAATATTAACTTTTAATCAGTAGATGTCCTCAGAAAGCTAAAAAGACTTTTTCAAACACCATTTTTTTCCCTTTTTTCTATTTTTTAAAGAAAGAATGGAAAAAGAAATACTCTACCAATATAATACCGCTCCAAAGAAAAAAACAACAAACAATTTTTTCTGTACCTCAACGTGAGTAGAGATAAAATATAGTCTTTAAGAAGGTTTTAATCTGTCCTTTTATAAAACGCCTTTGTTCCCACACATACAAACGCCGCTTTTTCCAGACGGGGAAATAATTCCAACGAAGCTTTTGCAGGCAAAAACAACAACATGGGGTGAAGAGAGGAACAAAAAGGGTCTCACCCGGATCATCCGCGGTGGGTCTATTGCGCTTAGGTGTCAGTATGACTTTCGGCTGGTGCAGCAGGGTGATCTGCCATCTTGTAGGCCGATCTTTGCTCCTTCGGCTCTGAGGAGATAGCTGGAGACACGGGGGAAGCTGCCGCCCTCCCCTGTCTACCAGCAAGCCTCCTCCTCAGTGGTCGCCCCTCCAGGTTGACTTTCAACCCTCTAGGGGGTCTACCGGTGAAGGAAACTCCGGACGGTGCGGAGACGAGTCTCCAAGCACGTCCACCGTCGTCGTGTACCGGAACTGGAAGTGTAATCCTCAACTTTTTATCAAATGTTCAGTTTTGCTAATGGAATTCTGTATATCGGCCTTCTCAACCTAGGCACCCTCAAGATGTACTGAGTAACTTAGATTTCTCCATCTTGCAGTTTAAGAGTTTACAACTATACATACCATGACAGTTCTATAGGCTTCAAATCAAAGACTAAAAACTAATACAAACTAAGAAAAACCTAAAGAAAAAAAGTGCAGAGAAAAGTAAAAAAAAAAAATATTTAAAGAAATAACTTTCCCCTTCATCAAGACAAGTACAAACCACATCAGCAATTTAATGTCTTTCTCTAACATTTTAACAAAATATCTTTTCTTCCCATATCTCATCTCTTATCTACAAACAAATTATTAATATAAGAACCCGGAGGATTGGGTGTGGGGGGGGGGAGAAACAGTCCCAAGGCTTCCAGGGTCCCTAAAAGGTGTGGAAAAGCAGAGCATGGGGTATCCTGGAGGTGAGGGCTTGTGAAGCCCAGGTCAGGCAGGCCTGGGCCTGTACTAGGCCTCTCTCATTTCTGAGGCACCCTGTCCTCCACTTAACAACCCACATAGTTGCTTAACTGCATCGGGAGGAGCAGAGATGGAGGGTTCGTTAAGAGAGGCCATCACATGGCTGCCTCACTTAATGACTGTCATGACTTGTGACCATAATGGGCAGGTTCCATTACAGTCATGAGTCAAGGACTACCTGTTCAACTTTTCTTAAAGGGGTCCGACGATGATTTGAATTGGTCACATGGCATCCCATCCAGGGCGGCATAGTAGCAGTAACATTGTGCCTGTGATTATCCTGCTTTAATGTTTTTAAACAGAAAAAAATGGAAGAATTGGAAGAGAAGCTCCAGGAGGAAGAACGTGCTAGGAAGCTGGTACAGGAAAAAGCTGCTGAGGTAAATCCTGTTCACCTGGATTGTTGTTGTCTGCCAACGAGATACTCCTTCCTTTGCTGAGGAAGTGATCATGGGGAACTGGGAAGGTTGTGCATTGCTTCAGCAACTATCACAAAATTATCCACTTTACACAACCTTTAAGTGTCTGATCTATCAGGCCAGCAGGTAGGATCAAGATCCCCAGATGCTTTGTTTAGAAAACAGCAAACCGTATCGTGTTGAATTTGTTTGTTTATTTAATATGTTTATTTATTGAACTTTTATATTGCCCATTCACACTTGTATGACTCTGGCGGGTTTATAGGGAAAATGATAGCATATAAAAGATAGTTAAAGCAAAGTTAAAAACAGAATTAAAACAGGGTTCATAGGAACAGTTGCAAAGTTAAAAGGCAGAGAGATTTAACCATGCAATTCCTTCATAATTTGGGTCATAAAACAGTTGTGAATTATTTGTTCTGCTAAACCAGGGGAAGGCAACCTTGGCTCTTTTATGACTCATGGACTTCAACTCCCAGAATTCCTGAGCCAGCATGGCTCAGCTTGGAAACCTCTCCCTTTTCCCTCAGCATGGCTGGCTCAGGAATTCTGGGAGTTGAAGTCCACGAGTCATAAAAGAGCCAAGGTTGCCTACCCCTGTGCTAAACTATAAACTACAAAAGTTGGGGGGGGAGGTAGAGTTCCTTCAGATTTTACTCCGCTAGTCATTGTCGACCAAAGGGGACGATGCTCATCTGCATTTCAAGGCCGTTGAGCCAGTATCATTTAAAGACATTTCCGCGATCATGTGGCCAGAATGACATCATGGAGTGCTGTTATCCTCCCACAGAAGTGTTACCTATGTATCTACTTGCATTTGCATGCTTTTGAACTGCTAGGTTGGCAGAAGCTGGTGCGAAGAAGGGAGTTCGCCCTATTGCGTGACACTCGAGTCTTGAACCCGGGCTGCCGGCTTTCCAGATAACAAGCTTAGTGTCTTAACCACTGACCACGCCATCCTATTAAGCTGGAAACATAGTATATTTTTTTTTCCAGAAGTCTTAACCAATCCAATTGCTCCCAAATTTCTGCTACCATCTGGGAAAATCAAAACCAAATGGTAATAAAATAGAGAAATACCAACCCTCCAATGAACTAAAAAGCAACAGGAAAAGGGAATTGGGATGTGTTAATCTTTTCTCTTCCCTGCAGTGTACCTTCCCTCACTCTTACTCAGCTAAGGTCCCAAATGCCTGATTAGGAGTAAAATCACTTTGGAATTCAACTTCTATAGAATCCCCCTTTTAGGAATCCAAGTTGACAAGCCAAGGAAGGGGCTTGCTTCTGGAATGGTTCATCACCAAGTCTCAGGTTCTGTTATTGTGATAAAATAAAATAATTCCCAGGCTTACCTTGGCAGCTTCAAACAGGATTGGAGACCAATAGAAGGTTGCTTCAGGCCCAGGCCCAGCCAGCACCAGTCTTGATGCCTTCAAAGCCCAAAAAGATGAAAAAAAAATCAAAGCAGTTGGACAAGGTAGGTAGAGGCTACCTGCTTGCACTCTTATAAATAGTTGCTTGGGATCTTAGTAGGATTGAATTCTTGGTAACAGTCTTGTTAGATTCATGAAAACACGGTAGTACTATTACTGATTGGGCATGAATGAACTGTATATAAATGTACTTGAGTTTAGAAGCAAAAGCGACAAGTAAGTCATGATTACTTTAGTCCCACTGCTATTAAATTCCAAGTTTCCATCCCTGAAAAAGTACTGTTGGGAGGGGATTACCCGACATGCTTCATTCACTAGTGGTCTTTGGATCAAGGACTTGGTCAACTAATGGCATGTTCCACTGATCTGATGTGAAGAAGGTCATGTGTGAAATACTTGGGCCCAAAAGTAATGTGGAGCTTTAAAGATCAAACCCAACATATTCAGTGAAGTTTCAAAAGAGATACAACCTGGCTTGTTGATTGCTCCGATAATTAAACAGAGCTTCAGTAGTAAGACCTTTTAGCAAGGAAACAATGATTGGAGCATCAGTCTTGTATCCTTGTTTTGAACTTCTGAAAGAACCTGCCCTGTAGTTGCTGGAAACTGAATTCTGAAAAGTTTGGTATCATTTAGTGAGGGCATTTTGGCACTCTTAAGTTCTGTGACAGACAATGATTATATGTAACCTGAACCCTTTTACTTGTCAACAAGTGGCCAGCTTCACACTTTTGCTCAAGAGCAAATTGATTCTCAAAAGCTTTCTAGAAAGATACCAGTGAGATTATCCAGCCTGTTAAGCAAACTATCATAAAGTTTCCTTAACAAGTCTTTCACTGGGTAACCAAATGCAGGGATCTGTATGGCTTAATTAATTTCTTTTGTTCAGAAATGAATTGGCCAGGAACTCCCTGAATTAGACTTGACAAGTCTTGTTTTATGTAATGAATTCTGACTCTTTGGGGATAGCTCCTTGCCTTAGCTGGATATCAATGTTCCAATAGATACAAACATCGCAGTGGATTATTTTTTTCAGCTCTCATTATAAGAAACATTTCTTTTAAAACAAACACTAAAAAAAGTCCTCTTGTTTCACAAAGTTCTTCAGAAGCATAAACATTGGCTTATGCTATGTTACTGGTTTGCTCTCAAGGCTTTAATACAGGGGTCTTCAGAGTTGGCCCATTTATGACTTGTGGACTTCAACTCCCAGAGTTCCTCAGCCAGGCTGAGGGGGGGACATGATGGCAGTATTCCAATATCTCAGGGGCTGCCATAAAGAAGAGGGAATCAAGCTATTTTCCAAAGCACCTGAAGGCAGGACAAAAAGCAACGGGTGGAAACTAATCAAGGAGAGAAGCAACCTAGAACTAAGGAGAAACTTCCTGACAGTGAGAACAATTAATCAGTGGAACAGCCTGCCTCCAGAAGCAGTAAATGCTCCAACACTGGAAGTTTTTAAGAAGAGACTGGACAGCCATTTGTCCGAAATGGTGTAGGGTTTCCTGCCTGAGCAGGGGGTTGGACTAGATGACCTCCAAGGTCCCTTCCAACTTTACTATTATTACTAAGTCATAAAAGGGCCAACTTTGAAGACCCCTGCTTTAATACAAGTGTCAGAAACCTGAATGATCTCATTTAATTACCACCTGTGTGGATTTCATTTGAGTAGAATTGGATCTGGCATAATTCCTTCTCTTGTTCTCTCTTCTTTAGGCTGACTCAGGAATGACCCACTTCCACTCCCAGCCCCACTACAGGCTACGACTGGGCGATGTGCCGTTTGTGGCAGGGAAGGTAACGAAGCATTATTTTCAGAGCCTTGATCGCTTGGTGCTGTTACAGCAAGCAGTGGAAAAGTGTGGTTGGTTTCATTAAATTCCCATACTCATCCCAGAAATATCTTTGATAGTCTTTCTTGAAAGAGAAGATGGAATGAAATGACTCTCTGTTCTGACCTTAGTCCTGAATTAAGAATTCTGCTGCTCACATAGGCAAAACCTCAACTGTACACAAATAAAAATGAGAGATTTCAGTAGGCTTTTTATTGGTTGGGAAACCAGACGTTCTCCAGATGTTGCTGAGCTGTATAATTTGTGGCACTCCACATTAGCCATGATTGTTTTCAAGCTTCTGGTTATAGACAAGGCCCAAAAAGGAGTGGGGAGGAGGGTACAAGGAAGGGATTAGGAAAAGGGGCTTGAAGATGAGAAAGCATGGACTCACCAAACAGCTGGTCTGCACTCCTCTGCAAGTTACTTGAAGGATAATCCAAACTTACCAATAAAGGAGAATATAGTGTTACCTCGGTACTCATCGTTACTTGGTTCCAGGAGGCCCAATGAGTACCAAAAACAATGAGTACCAACAGTGGTGGGATTCAAATATGTGAACAACCAGTTCTCTGTGTGGATGCCGCTTCCGGAAGTCCATTCTGGGCCTGGCAACAAAAATTCGGCTTACCGGTTCTGCCGAAGTGGTACGAACTGGCTGAGTCCCACCACTGAGTACCAAACAGATTTTTCCGATAAGGAATAATATAGTGGTCACAGGGCAGTTGACACTGACATGTTTTAGCTTGTGCATTGTGTACCAAACAAATGATGAGTCCTGGGACAAAATTTTCAAGTCAAAATGTGTTGAGTATCAAATTCAATGAGTTTCAAAGCAGTTGAGTACCAAGGTACTCCTGTATTTGTAGCTTGGGGTTGAAATGAAGGGACCTTGCTGCTCTCTGAGCACTGATGATGTTACTTACTATGGGTAATGAAATGTCTGCAAGGAAAAAAAGCCAAGCTGAGAGAACACCAAGGACCCCTAATCCAACCTTAATTAAACCTGTTTTAATGATTCTAGTTCTCTTGGCAACGATGCCATTGGGCATAAATTGAGCACAAGGCAGAGCTGTTCCTAAAACAAACCAGGAAATATACAGTCTCACTTATTCTATTATTGGGGTTCGTGTGTGTGTGTGTGTGTGTGTGTTACATACTTGGAGTAAATAGATCACTTCAAGGTAGGGAAAAGGACTTTAACATTATGTCTTACATGTTCTTGTTCACTTTAACCTGCTGTGTGATGTTTAACTAGCTGGAATTGAGCCATCATTCTCGGCACATTGCATGTTAATGGAAAAAAGGACATGATTCAGTTTTTATAGAATTCAGAAAATTCCTGACGGTCTCTATTCCTTTTTAAAGGATCCCAAATAGAAGATAGGGAAGGTCTTGAGCTCTGGGATCCACTGACATTCAGTGTTGAAAATGGTGGCTTAGAATATTGAATTCAGGGCTGCACAGGACTTTGACATTTCAAGGTCTGCAGTCTAAACTGAGTGGGACCTCTTTTAAAAATTTCTTAATTTTTTTTTTTTTGCACGATTTGTTAGTAATGGCAAAATTCCATTCTCAAATATGAGCCTCATCGTATCTTGGTGCAAAGACGGTGTCACTTCTTTTCCTTTAAAGCACTGCAGTTTTAAAGAAATTACTGTAAAAAATAGGGTCCAAAAATGTGAGCCCTTCACTCCTTTCAATCAGAATAGAGCTGGAAGGGACCTTGGAGGTCTTCTAGTCCAACCCCCTGCTCTAGCAAGAGACCCTATACCATTTCAGACAGGTGGCTATCCAGTCTTTTCTTAAAAGTTCTCAGTGATTAGGCACCCACAACTTCTGAAGACAAGTTGTTCCACTGGTTAATTGTTCTCACTGTTAGGAAGTTTCTACTTAATTCCCGGTTGCTTCTCTCCTCAATTAGTTTCCATCCCTTGTTTTTTTTCTTCCTTCTAATGCTTTGGAAAATAAGTTGACCCTCTCTTCTTTGTGGCAGCCTCCCAGATACTGGAATACTGCTATCATTTCACCCCCTAGTTCTTCTTTTCTTTAGACTAGCCAAACCCAAGTCCTGCAGCCGTTCTTCGTATGTTTTAGTCTCTAGGCCAGTGGTGGCGAACCTATGGCACGGGTGCCAGAGGCGGCACTCAGAGCCCTCTCTGTGGGCATGTGCGCCGTCGCCCCAGTCCTAGGCCTTCAGCTGGGTTTTATAAAAGCTTTTCGCTTTAGGTCTCTGCTGCCGTGTGCAAAAAAAAAAAAAAAAAGGCTCAATCAGTCCATTTCAACTTCTTGTGGGGAAAAAAAGATCTTGCAAAGTTGGAATTGATTGATTGAACATTTTAGTCCCACCCAGTCTGCCGTTACCAACGCAGCCATGCTCACCCAATGGGCCATACACCCCCAATGGGCCACATCCAGCCAATGGCCACACCCACCCAGCACCCGATGATGCATAAGTGGGTTTTGGGTTGCAGTTTGGGCACTCGGTTTCTAAAAGGTTCGCCATCACTGCTCTAGGCCTTTAATCATCCTAGGTGCTGTTCTTCGCCCTTTTTCCCAAATCATTTGGGATTTTATAATGGCGTAAAGTTAACATTGTGGGTTTCTTGGTGCTCTCTGAGCTTGCTTGTTTTCTTGCATAAGTTTCCTTACCCAACTAGGTAGCATCATCAGTGCCACTAATACATATATTTATATAGAAATACAAATATTCTCTTCTAAAGTTAACACAGTTAAAACTTTAGTGTTGGGTCCATTCAGTATGTAACCTTCCTGCTCTTCATTTCTGCTGTCTGTTGTTGCCTCAGTCTACCAGCCCAAGCCACTCGGTCACAGCCAACGTGCAGCATGTGCTCCACCTCATGAAGCAGCATTCAAAAGCCCTCTGCAACAACCGCGTGATCAGCGAAGCCCCGATGAGCAAGCAGATGAACAGGGGCAGGAGATCATCTACGTCATCCCTTTCTTCCACGTCCCAAGGAGACCTTTCTGAGGTGCTTCTGACATTACAAGATGAGCTCGGGCAAATGAGTTTGTGAGTCAAAACTCTTGTGCAAATGTTCACCTTGTGATCTTTTTCTGACCATACCTGTATTTATTAGATGGTGGTCCAGCAAGCACGTAAACCACTTCAAAAGCTCTTTGCAAATATACACACACATATATATATATGTTTGTTTTCTGAGGTTTTTGCGGGTGTTTGTATGTAGGTCTTTGGTTATTCGGGTTTTCTCCCGCGTAAAATTGGAAGTGTCTAGGCGACGTTTCGATGAAGTCCCATTCGTCATCTTCAGGCTGGTGTTTTCAGCTTCGTGCTTCGAGGAGCATTGCTCCTCGAAGCATGAAGCTGAAAACACCAGCCTGAAGATGACCTACATACATACATACATACATACATACATACATACATACATACATATTTGGGGGGATGGGCGGGTTGGGTTTGGAAAGATGTCTGGCCGTGCTTTTCATCCAAAAGACATGCATAGGATTCTGGTATACGGGTAGTCCTCAATTTACGACCCTACTATAATCTGCCTTGTGGAAACTTATTTGACGAGGTTTCATAGAAGGAATGGATGGATTCCAAGTAGTTCAGTAGCACTTGAAACCTGATGAACCCTGTCAAGCAAGGTACAAGTTTTATAGAGATACGTGAAATTTACCCATGTGATCAAATTTACCAAATCATTTAGGCCAGGGGTCCCCAAACCTTTTGGCACCAGAGACTGGCTACAAGGAAGATAATTTTTCCATGGACCGAGGGGGGAAGAGGTACACACAACCTAGGTCCCTTGCATGCGTGGTTTACAGTAGGATTCATACTCTTATGAGTATCCAGTGACTGATGATCTGAGGTGGAGCTGAGGTGGTGATGCTAGTACTGGGGAGTAGCTGCAAATATAGTTGAAGCTTCACTCGCTCAGTAGTTGCTCACTTCCCCCTATGCAGCTTGGTCCTTATAGTTAGTACATGGACCGTTATGGCCCGGGGGTTGGGGACCCCTTATTTAGACAACTTCTGTGCCTCCCTTCTGTTACCAGGTAAAACCTCAACTATTATGCACCTTGTAGCCAAATTCTGTGCTGTAGATATAAAGCCTGATGTGAGATAATGTGGGCTCTTTATAACATTTTTTTTAAAAAAAATCAATGAATTCGGTTGCAAAGTCAAATCGAATTGACTTTGATCTTGACCCTGTGGTGCTGCTTACAACTGTTTTTGTTTTTGATGTGATTTATTTTAATGCTGCTGGTCTTTGACTATGATCATTCATTCGATAAAGAAGTGGGTTTTTTTCCTCTAGGAGTTTTTTTTTTTTTAATTTCCTGTCTACCATACAGTTCTAGTGTTTCCTGGAGATTGTCCAAGTACTAACCTGACCCTGTAAACTTTTGAGTTCAGCCAAGGTGGGCCAGGTACTATCACTGAATTTAAAGGGACTTCCTTCCGGGTATAAATATTTGGTAGTTATGTATGTTAAATCTCTACTTTGAACAATGTTACAAGCTTTATCTGATTTAAGTCCAAGTAGGCAATGATTTAAAATAACTTTTTTTGGCTGGGTGGCTGGGCTTTGTCCTTGCATTCTGTGTTTGATGATGTCATAAGATTACTGGAATCGGCATAGTATTGTTTGGTTTCCTTGCTTTAAAATCAGTAGGCACCTTAGTAGTTCTGGAGTGAGAAACCGACACCACATTTCCCTTTATGCTAGCCTCCGCGGACTCTTTTTGGAGGTTACAATGTTGGCAAATACTACAAGGTGATGTTGAATGAGGTGGGAAAAGAAGCAGTAAATCCTATTCCTTATTTGCTAATCTCTTACAAAATGCTGGACTCTTCTGACATTGAAGTGCTCCAAAACAATAGTAGGGATTGCTGTGTGGGGGAAAAAATGTATTGTTTCTATTAGCAAAGTGGGTCTGAAATAAAATATATTAAAGAAATCCATTATCAGCTATTTTTTTTAACCTGGTTTTATTTGTCTCTTTGTTTTGCATACAAGCCAACACCAGCATTTGGCAAAACTCATCCATGAAGCTTCAACGATTGCCTTAAGGGGAGACTTGGAGAAGGATTTGGAAGTGCTTGTGAAAAAGATGGAAGCCAAGGCTGAACAAATCAGTAAAATCCAGAGGCATCGGGCACGGGTGAGTTATCCTGAGGACTACTTTCAGTCTCCTGTGAAATCATTGGAGAGTCAATTTGGTGTAGGGATTATGCTAGAAACTGAAAGACTGTGAGTTCTAGTCCAGCCTTAGGCGTGAAGCCAGGTGGGTGACCTTGGGCCAATCACCAGGTGACTGTGAGTTCTAGTCCTGCCTTAGGTGTGAAGCCAGCTGGGTGACCTTGGGCCAATCACCAGGTGACTGTGAGTTCTAGTCCTGCCTTAGGCATGAAGCCAGGTGGGTGACCTTGGGCCAATCACCAGGTGACTGTGAGTTCTAGTCCAGCCTTAGGCGTGAAGCCAGGTGGGTGACCTTGGGTCAATCACCAGGTGACTGTGAGTTCTAGTCCTGCCTTAGGCCAGAAGCCAGCTGGGTGAGTTTGGGCCAATCACCAGGTGACTGTGAGTTCTAGTCCTGCCTTAGGCCAGAAGCCAGCTGGGTGAGTTTGGGCCAATCACCAGGTGACTGTGAGTTCTAGTCCTGCCTTAGGCATGAAGCCAGCTGGGTGACCTTGGGCCAATCACCAGGTGACTGTGAGTTCTAGTCCTGCCTTAGGCATGAAGCCAGCTGGGTAACCTTGGGTCAAACACCAGGTGACTGTGAATTCTAGTCCTGCCTTAGGCCAGAAGCCAGCTGGGTGAGTTTGGGCCAATCACCAGGTGACTGTGAGTTCTAGTCCTGCCTTAGGCATGAAGCCAGCTGGGTGACCTGGGGCCTGTCTCACTCTCTCAGCCTAGGAAGAAGGAGGCAATGGCAAACGACTTACTAAATTTTGCCAAGAGAACTGCAGGGACTAATCCAAGCAGTTGCTAGAAGTCAAGACTTATTTGAAAGCACCCTCCCCACCCACCCACCCACCTACCCACCCACAGACAACAACAACAACAACAATGAAATCATTGCCCAGAATATCTTTATTATAAATATTAAGCAAAGAAGCATACAGTTTCATAACATACAGTAAATTACAGAGCCCAGTTGGACTTGTGTAACAATTTCTAATTAAGTTAGGAAAAAAACTAAGTAAGATGAAATAGAAATTAAAAAAATAAAATAAAATGAAAGTGCTGAAAGAATAAATATTTAAGGCTAATCATTGCATTATAAAACTGCCTTGTAAAGGCGTAAAAGAAAACATAAAATAGAGTAGTATAAAATGATATAAACATTTAGATAAGAGTTGCCAAATGATATTGTTAATTATTCCATCTGGTCAAGTTGAATAATAATTGCCCGGTTGCACTATCTAATTTATGTTGTTAAAAGCTCTGAAGCAGAATTTGTAGCTTTAAAAGGGGTATCATCATTACAGCCTATCTCGAGAAATGAGATATAAGTAAGGTTAAAGATAACATGTTAAAATATACTACAGTAAGCAACCTATATCTTTAGACTATTTTGCAGCAATAAGATGATCTAGGTCAGTGTTTCTCAACCGTGGCAACTTTTAAGACATGTGGACTTCAACTCCCAGAATTCCATAGTCAGCCTATCTGGGGAATTCTGGGAGTTGAAGTCCACGTGTCTTAAAATTACTGAGGTTGAGAAACACTGACCTACATCACCTGACTGCTGCAAAATGGTTCAGATATTTGGCTTTACCTCTTCTGAAAGCAAGGGAAGCTCCTACTAATTATGTCTCCGCAAATCAGTGGCCATTATTTGCTGCTTGTCACCTTCTTTAGCTTTGGTAAAACCCAAAGAATGGAAGGCTCTGCAACCTTCTGGAATCCCGAATCTGGGTATGTGCCGATTGCAAACCCAGAGGACCTGCTTGTGGTAGGGATTGAAGAAATGGAGGAGTCCATGAAGGCTGAGCTGCATGTATGAAGCTGTAGATCAGGGGTCCTCAACCTTGGCAACTTTAAGCCTCGTGGACTTCAACTCCCAGAATTCTGGGAGTTGAAGTCCACAAGGCTTAAAGTTGCCAAGGTAGATGCTGTAGATGATAATTCTGTGGCCTCTGTTAGGGGCATGAGAGCAAAGAAGGAAGGACAACTGATCCACAGTTCTTTTATCTGGACATCCTTTCTGGCTACTTCTAGATCAGTGGTTCTCAACCTGTGGGTCGGGACCCCATTTGGGGTCGAATGACCATTTCACGGGGGTCGCCAAACAACGCAGTCCGCCATTTTTTCCCCTTTTCCTTAGCTGGGCTACTCCCTTTTATTCTATTCAAAAGCCAATAGGAATTTATTCCCTTTCAAAAGCCAATAGGAATTGTCCAGGCTGTCTCTGCCCTGCTGAGCCCGCCAAAAGTCCCATTCTGCAAACAGTGCTGCACCAATTGAGTAGTCCTCGACTTACAACCGGTTGAGTAGTCCTCGACTTACGACCAGTTGGGGGTCGCGGCATTAAAAAGGTTGAGAACCACTGTTCTAGATCTATTAGACTGGAGGATGATGAAAGTTATTCTGAACAGTTGGAGGACACTGTTCAGAAAAGCTGTTCTATTGTCTTCAGCAGCTTCTCTGCAAAGGCACAAGCGTCTCAGGGAATAGCCCTAACCCCCACCAAACTGAGAAATTGCTAAAGATATCTATAGGGTGAGCCTTGAATATTTTCCCTTAAACCAGGGACACCTGGCATTACCATTTCTGCAAGCCCTGTTGTTTAATTTGCTCATGAACCATATGATACGTTCCTTAGCTTGGTTCTCCCATTTTTTCCCCCTTTTTATCATGTTAAACCTACTTTTATCCTTGGTTTTAAGGTTCAGGAAGCTCTGGTTGGTTGGCACTGGGAAATATTGTTACGAGAGTAATTTTAAAACTGCAGGATTAGTACCGCAATGTTTTCCCCAACTTCCCTTTTTTTTTTCTCCTCAAGCAGAGAAGCTGTTGTTTCTTTCAGTCAGTGCTATCTTTTACTTTCCATGTAGATAGCCTTGCAGCTACACAATATTTCTGCTCCTTTTTGGTGTGGCTACAGACATTATAAAAATTAATGTGATACAGCAGTATAAGTAATTGTCAACTTATGACAGGTTGCTTTGCAACTGTTCGAAGTTACGACAGGCCTCCCTAGGGCTGCTTACAGTCCAAAGTCAAAATTCTGACAACCAGGCCCTCCCATGATCACATTTGGCCTGCATTTAGGGCTGTTTGCAGCATTGCACAGTCACATGACCACGATTTACAATGTTTTTTTTTTTTGTCAGAAACCAGCTTTTACTTCAGGTTTCCAGCAAAAAGCACCTAATGTGGAAAATGCTTAATGATTGTCACGTTCACTGAACACCACAGTGATTCATTTAATGACCACCACAAAAAAGGTTATAAAATCGGGCGAGGTCACGTGGCAACCTGCTTAATGACCAGCATTACTTACAACCATAACTCTGGGCTCAGTTATGATTGTAAGTTGAGAATACCTGTAGAAATGGAGAGAAGAGAAAAGCTATGGATAAACTGCAGGATTAATTGCTGGGCAAAGCAGCTTCTGAGATGCTGGATCAACAAGCCATCAACCTAAGCACAATCAAAACACTGTTTTGCCCATGTAAGAAATGTATTGCGTTTTAAACAAGTGGATAGTGTGCTGCACTTGTTAACAGGTGCCCACCAAGCTACACTGGAATTGGAGGAAGTAGGCTTGCCTCTGAAACAGTGTAGTGTACCCAAAAGATTTTGCAGAATATATGTTTGCTTCTTGTGGAGACTTGCGTACCTTTAAATACAATTAAAGATCCGAACATTATAGAAATGTTAATTAAAGATCTGAACATTATAGAATGTTCTGTAGTGAGGAGCGAGGAAAAAAAGTAAGTGATCTGTGACTGGCTGAAAATAGAAAGAGACAGTGACCATTTGTAACAATGAGCGTGCAAGTGAACAAGAACAGACATCTAAAAAAATAGATTAAAGAAATTACTGGAGTGTGGCACTTTGGGAATGAGGGATCACAGTGGACATTAAAACAAGTTAGTTTTAAATGCCCGATTCTTATTACTTTTTGTGCCGGTATGTTGGTGTGTAGCTGGAGAAGCTCAAGGTCAACAAGAACAAGCAGCACTGCGCTCGGGATTCCAGTAAAGTGGACGAAGACAAGAAGGCGAACCAGGGCGGTCTGAAGAGAAAGCCCAGTGGGCAGAGTAAGAAGAGCCTTCAGCTTCTGAGAGACATGCAAAGCATACAGTCCTCCCTTCAGAAGGATGACGTCAGTTGGGATTGCTGACCTGTCTTCCCCGTGTGGTGGTGAGGTTTTGAGGGGTTTGCACCTTTTATCATTATGGCTGCAGCGGCCTAACCAGCTACAGTGCTGGATGAAAGACAATACCAGAGTGGCACCTTCTAAACAAAAAGGCTTCTCCTATTCTACCTGTATGCCTGATCATGTTACCACCGTGAGGGGAGCTGGGGATGGGTAGAGAGAGAGAGAAAAAAAAAAATAAGCCTCCCTTTATTATTTCATTGCTAAACCTCACATTGGTACCAGTGATGGTTATTCTGCTACAAAACATAATCCTTGCCCTACGGTTCTGCTTCTGACAATTAATTGTCTTCCTTGCTTGGGACAACTTCCTTCTATGAGTGGAGAAAGTAGGATTTTTTTTTTTAAATTCATTCGGAGAGTTGAAGGTCAACAGGGAAAAGCATCAGAATTAAATTTGTTTTGCCGAATTTTTTTGACTGCTTTATAAACACACAGTGACTTTGAACGGAGCAACGGTATGGAGCCCTGTGTCACTTTTGACTCTTTTCAAGGTCTCATAAGCAGCTTTTTCTTTAAAAAGAATCAGCTCTTCCTTCTCAGCATGGCGAGCTCACGTTTTGATGTTTGAGCAATGATGCCCGTTTTGAAATATGGAAATTATGCACAGAGGTGAGAAGGTTTTCTTTGGCATTCAATTAAACACCATTTAAAAAAAACAAATTTTATATCCATTTTAGCCATGGAATTGACATGATGTGGTTTCGGAATGAAACTGAATTGCCAAGTTAATTTTATCTCATTTCTACTGTTTTGCTGAAAAGCAGGAGGTTAATATATGTATTTTTTTTTCCCCAAAAAAATAAATGGTGCCTTCGATCATGCTGTTTAATACTGGCAGGCAGCTTTTTAAAAACTAATATTCCCTAGACTAGAGGATCAGGTGGTGGTTCTGGTACTAGGCAATTTTAATGTACATGCAACAATATTATTTATTATATTAATAATGTAAAGGCTTTCCGAAGATTGGACTGTAGTAGTAACTCAAAATGGCTTGTGTTTTTTGAGATCGTATTTGGACTGCAATAAAGGCAAATGGAATAAATTACTTGCGAAAGCCAGTTGGCTCTTTGATCTCCCACTTTCCATGAACTGTTGGACTCCAGGAACAGATCTGTGTAATCCACACACAAAGCAGGTGTAGCATCATTAGTTGACATTTTGCCTTGGTGACAGATGGCCCATTGCTGGCTGAAATGAGAATGGACACCTGGCAAACTAGCTGGTGGGCACAGCCTCTTTCCCTCTCCTGCTGAAGCAGAAGAAGGAGCAGGCCTACTCACGCCAGTCTTAATCCCTCGCTTTCTTTTTTGCAAACAGAGACCAAATAGAAGGAACTAGATAGAATAATCCTTTGCCGGGCTCAAAGCAAAACATAATATAAGGGGTCAAGATTGAAAACTGGGAGGTGGGTGGTGACTTTTGGGTTGATATCCTGATTCTGCTTTAGGCTGCAATAAAAGGAGAAATATAAAAGTGGCTGGTGTTAGATCTGGGGATGCTTTAAAACGGATTGGAAGAAACAGCAGCTCAGCCTTTGTGGGCTTCCGTGCAAGAGAAAAGCAGGAAGGAAAGAGCAAAAGCAATAGCAGCTAGACTTATATCCTGCTCTGTAATCCTTTACAGCACTCTCTGAGCAGTTTACAAAGTCACCATATTGCCCTCAACAATTTGGGTCCTCGCTTTACCAACCGCGGAAGGATGGAAGGCTAAGTCAATCTTGAGCCGGTTAGGATCAAACTCCTAGCTGTGGGCAGAGTTAGCCTGCAATACAGGTAGTTCTTGACTTTGCGACCTCAAACTGAGCCCAAAATTTCAGTTGCTAAGCGAGACATTGGTTAAGTGAGTTCTGCCCCATCTTACGACCTTTCTTGCCACAGCTGTTAAGTGAATGACTTGCAGGTGTTAAGTTAGTAGCGTGTTTATTAAGTGAATCTGGCTTCTCCCATTGACTTTGCTTGTTAGAAAGTTATGAAAGGTGATCACCTGACCCCAGGGACACTGCAACCGTCATAAATACGAGTCAGTTGCCAAGTGCCTGAATTTTGATCACTTGATGCTGCAACAGTAATAAGTGTGAAAAATGATCATATGTCAGATTCACTTAACAACCATGCTATTAACAACCGCGGTAATTCATTTAACGACTGGCAAGAAAGGTCATAAAATGTAGCAAAACTCACTTAACTGTCTCACTCAGCAACAAAAATTTTGCACTCAATTATGGCTGTTAAGTCGAGGACTACTTGTACGGCACTCTAACCACTGTGCCGCCAGGCTTCTGCTTTAAGAATCGCATTGATGGCTGAGCTCCCTGAAGTAGCTGCAGTCTATGTTCTTTCCACATGGTTCTCAACCTTTCTAATGCTGTGACCCCATAATGCAGTTCCCCATGTTGTGGTGACCCCCAACCACTTATACATCACCGGGTGCCAGGGGCGTGGCCAAAGAAAGGGGGGGAAAAATGGCGGACAGCCTTGTTTGGCGACCCCCATGAAATGGTTGTTTGACCCCAAATGGGGTCCCGACCCACAGGTTGAGAACCACTGATCATAGAGGTAAAAAAAAAAAAGCTGAGCTATTTTAAGGAGTGGGAAGCGTTTGAGGCATGGAGCACTTTTCCACATCATTTTCAAGACTTGTACAGCCCTAGTCCAAATACATACCTAAGTACATACATATAAATTATTTGAAAGAAGGAATCGGGTTAACAATGGACACACACAGTTTTTTGATTGTAGTGGCCTGAAAGGCAGCGGTTTGGAAAAGGAACACTTCTTTGTCAGGGAGATGGTGTGAGAGCAGAGTGCTCACATTAATAACACATTTTTAGATTTCTTTTCCAAATACACAAACAGGATCATAAAAATGATTGCTCTGCCTCTAATCCGTGAGCGGAGTACATGGTAGCCCATACAGATATGTCACTTGTACAGTTATTCTTCCTGCTTTAGATGTCTTGGACTACAAATCCCATTCCCCATCAGTCATGCTAATGTGAGAATTGTAGTTGGTTTTAGACCACCTGAAATTGGGGAAGCTGTTTGTGCTAGCTGACTACTCCCCTTGGCATACTTGGAATAAGACGCTGAAGCATTGCCATGCATCTTCAATTGTAAAGCAAGCCTGCTGGCCAATAATTACAAAGCTATTTTGCAAGACTATGAATCTGACGTTATGTTTTTATTTTAAATCTGTCTGCTGAAAATCTACAATGCGCTATTAATAAACCGGGCCTTACTGGGTCTGCCTCGTTTATCTAACCGCTTCGTAACTCCCTTTATAAATAGGCTGCGATGGTGCTTTTTTTCTTAAAAAAAAAAAAGGTGCCGGAACTCACACACGTCATACAACCCGCCTTGCCTACCCATACAAGGTTCCATCCAAAAAAGGTGCCGGAACTCCGTTCTGGGCGTCTATGAGAAAAAAAAGCCCTGGGCTGCAAGTTGTTAGGTAACAGATGCCCACAGTCTCAACCAGAAGTGCAACTTCTACCTAACTTGTCAAGAGCCATTTTGCATTCCTCTTCAGAAAGAGAACAGCTTGTTTTGCATACTATACTGGCTTCTTTATATAGATCAGTGGTTCTCAACCTTTCTAATGCCGCGACCCCCAACCGGTCGTAAGTCGAGGACTACTCAGCCGGTCGTAAGTCGAGGACTACTCAACTGGTGCAGCACCATTTGCAGAATGGGACTTTTGGCGGGCTTAGCAGGGCAGAGACAGCCTGGACAATTCCTATTTTGGCTTTTGAAAGCCAATAGAATTAGACTCTATTCAAGAGAGTCTATTCTATTGGCTTTCAAAAGCCAATAGAATAAAAGGAAGTAGCACAGCTAAGGAAAAGGAGGAAAAAATGGCGGACTGCGTTGTTTGGCGACCCCCGAGAAATGGTCGTTCGACCCCAAATGGGGCCCCGACCCACAGGTTGAGAACCACTGATATAGATGCAATATGGGATAAATGCAATATGGGATAAATGGTTTAAAATGGCATCGGAGCATATTTGTCAAATCTTGTTAAAGGACAGTCTCTTCCACCCTTCCCAGTTTTTCTTTTTGGGGGGGGAGGGGGATCCTTCCTAGCATTCTGCATAATATACGATGGCACTTATTTTTCATGTAACTAGCCCTTAAGAAAGAACTCTGACTTTTCTAAAAGCATGCCAAATTAAAGAAACCTATTAAACTTTCATTAGGAATTGCTTTGTGCAAGTCAGGCATCCATTTGCCTTCATTTCTGCAGCTGAGCTGTAAAAGGTTACTCCCTCACCAACATCTGAAAGTCCCCAGGCCAGGAAGCTGGCTCACAAGGCTGGAATAGCTGGCAGAAGAGTCTTGTGCTAGATGTCTATGGAGATTCTCAATCATCCAGGCCATGGTTGTCCCATAACTGCTTTTTCAAAGGCAACTGGACTTTTTTTTTTCTCTTGAAGACATTTTGCTTCTCACCTAGGAAGCTTCTTCAGCCTGTTGGTTTTGGGCACTACAAGAGTCCATCTATGTCTCTCACTGAACTATCAATTTAGTTGGGCAGGAGGGCATTTTTCTTCAAATGCCAGAGGTCCTAGTCTGAAAAACAAGTGTCTGCTGCTGTTGCACAGTCATTAATGGAAGTATCATCCCACAGAACTCCCAAAACTGTAAGTAAGGCCTCTCTTGATGAGAAGAGTGCTAGGCGTCTGTCAATGGGTCACTATTAAGAGTTTAGACCAGCGGTTCTCAACCTGTGGGTCAGGACCCCATTTGGGGTCGAACGACCATTTCACGGGGGTCGCCAAACGATGCAGTCCACCATTTTTCCCCCTTTTTCTTAGCTGTGCTACTCCCTTTTATTCTATTGGCTTTTGAAAGCCAATAGAATAGATTCTCTTGAATATAGTCTAATTCTATTGGCTTTCAAAAGCCAATAGGAATTGTCCAGGCTGTCTCTGCCCTGCTGAGCCCGCCAAAAGTCCCGTTCTGCAAATGATGCTGCACCAGTTGAGTAGTCCTTGACTTACGACCGGTTGAGTAGTCCTCTACTTACGACCGGTTGGGGTTGTGGCATTAAAAAGGTTGAGAACCACTGGTTTAGATCAGGGGTCTTCAAATTTGGCCCTTTAATGACTTGTAGACTTCAATTCCCAGAATTCCTCAGCCAGTGTGCCTGGCTGAGGAATTCTGGGAGTTGAAGTCCACAAGTCATAAAAGGGCCAATTTGAAGACCCCTGGCTTAGACATACAGTTATGGATGATGGTTTTTGAGTTCTATGGAAATATGCACTTTAATGTTCAGGACTGTTTTGTCGCAAACAGGTGAAATGCAGTATGCCATCAAGCAAGTAAGTGGGATTTTACTCTTCGATTTATAACATCTGTTTCCTCAAGACAATGCATGACTAACAATCATGTTTCAGACAAATATAGGAAAGCTATCACCAAGTTAATACAGTTAAGGGGTTGTAGAAAAGGCTTGGCTTTACCTTGGTGGAAATGCTGGAATAGATTGTATGTCATCAACTACTCTTGTGAGGATTCAGATTGAATTTCCTGGAATATTAGATATATTTGTCCTTTTAGAAGCAGTGCTCCTCATCCAAAGCCTACAGATCCAAAGCCTACAGGCCACCAGAAACAGCTCAGTACTATCCCACCCCATCATGACTTCACACACAAAAAAAGAACTACGCACTTTGACAAAAAGGAGGAGTTATATTGTACTTTGTAAGTTTGGCACATCCTTGTAATTTCCTGCTAGGTCCTGCATCTCAAAGGAGCTGCTGTTAAAGTCCAGTTTAATATACAAAAAGCTTGTACAATGTAGCTGGAAAACATACAAGATGCTCGGGCTACACACCTTTTAAATCCTGGCTGTTGGCAATGCTGGATGAGACTGCTGGGAATTGTAGTACAGATACCATACTTGATCTTAGCCAACTCCCCTCCCCTGAAACAATAAGAGGTTGTATGAACGCAACTTGAAAGGAAGTCAGAGGCAAGGATGGTGTTGGAACTATAAATCAATCTTGCCTTGCGTGGTACCCACCATGTGTAGTAGGATTATAATTCCCAGCGTTCCCTTTGAGCATTCTGCTTGAGAATTTTGGGGCTGCTAAAACCCATCTCTCCATCTTCTGAAATTTAGCCTATTACAGGTAGCCCTTGACTTACGACCATTTGTTTAGTAACTATTACAAGTTAACTGAGAAAAGTGAACTTACGAGCGTTTCACGCATCCCCAGTCACAGGATCAGAATTCAGACACTTGGAACCCCAGGATCCTGGGTTCAGGTGATCACCATTTATGGGCTTCTGACAAGCAAATCCAATGGAGGAAGCCAGGTTTGCTTAATGTAATGATTCACTTAATAACTGCAGTGATTTGCTTAACAACCATGGGGGAAAAAAGGTTGCAAAATTGGGCACGAGACACTTAGCCGTCTTGCTTAGCAATGGAAATTCTGCTCCTAATTGTAGACATAAGTCGAGGACTACCTTATAGATCAGGGGTGTCAAACTGCCGGTCCGCGGGCCAGTTGCATCATACGGAGGCCGCGCCCGTCCCAGCTCTGGCAATGCAAAAAAAGTTGCGATACATCGTGACACGTCACGTGACGCGGCGAGTTTGACACCCGTGTTATAGATAAAGGAAGAACTGTATCTACCAGAGAAAATAATTGGTTCATCCTGGAAAGCATCGTTTCCTTCTCTGATCGGCAGTGGCCTCGAAGACTTAGCATTTGAAAACTCATCTGGGGATTCCGGGGATCAAAGAACTTTTAAAATGCAAAACATTTAAATCTATTCAATCGATTGGTGTATTCATACAATATGCTAAATCGGTGGTTCTCACCTGTGGTATGCAGACCCGGGGGGGGGGGGAGCGATGTCATCACGGGGGGGGGGTCCACGAAAGCTTGAAGAAATGTTAGGCTTTAAATCTTAAGTCCTGGTGGTCCGTGGCCATGCTTCGTGGCCACAAAAGGTATTTGAACAGGGTCCGCGGTGAAGAAAAGGTTGAGAATCACTGTATTAAATCATATACCATGATTTACAAATCAAAAGTGATCAAACGATATCATTTTTATTGGGGGTCCTCTGGGCAGCGCTGCATGAACAAGATTATCATTTGATTTGTTTACCATGGTGTATGGTTTAACTCCTGATCCACAAATCACAGCACCAGAGATAAAATAGATACATTTGGCCTATTCCCATAGATACGTCTAAGTTACCTTTCCCCAACCTAGATGTTAGCTAAATGTATGGCTTCAATTTCCAGCATCTTCAACGTCTTCAGTGACCTTTCCTCTCAACTGAACATCCTGCAGCTGTTGAATCTACTGAGATCTGGAGGGCCTCAAGGTTTTCCTCTTTACATGAACGCCACTAGAAACATATGTAGATGACACATTTGTTTCCTCATCCCTGTATAAAGCAGTTAACCTCAGAAGTTTTGAATTCTTGCTTTCCCCCTCCGCTTTCAGAGGCCATATTTGTGTAAGAATGAGGCACCACAAAAAAGTCTGCGACTGATAAGCCTCAGAAGCCAAGAATGCATAATTTTCATATGCACAATTGCAATTTCTGAATGTTCTTCTTTCCTAGCATGCAAACTCACTGTGATAATTTGCACTCCACTTGCAAATCCCTTTGCGTTTCGGTGGAGCCGTTTGTAAGTGGGTAAGGTAAAATGGGAGATCAGCAAAGCCCACCATATACATCGGGAATCCCTGTGAGGGTCTTTGTATTCAGGTGGCTGAGGTTTGAAATAAGTATGACCCTGTTTTAAGTGCATCGTTCCACAGCAAAAGCCAATGCTAAACACTCTGAACTCATTAATAAATGTCCTATAATTGTGTCTTGAGATGCCATGCGGTTAATTTTCTCTTAATTAGCCCACAAGAAAATTAATCATATCAGAGGTTCTTTTTAAAAAAAAAAAAAAAAAAAACGATTCCGGCTCTTGTAGTGTTACAGCTGCAATAAAATACCCTGGAGAAGTAGAACATAATAAATACAGTCTTAGGAAAAGCCCTTTCTAATCCCGTCAGCTTCTTTCTTAGAAAAAGGGTCACCACCACAGAGTCCTGCTCCAGCTTTTCCTCAATCTGTTGCTTTCTCGCTGCATTGGGCTACGGCTCCCATCCAGGCCAGCCAGGGGACGCGTCAAGACATTGGGAAAGAGCATCAGGTTTTGGAAGACGGGTGTGCATGACGTCATACAATCGTCTGGACTGGCGTAACGCACTGCGCGGGAGAACTGGCCCTCTCAGAGGAGGAAGTGGAGCGATTGGTGATTTCTCGCTGAAGCTCGTCCACTTTTTTCTGAAGTTCTGCTCGTTTTGCTAGGAGTTCTTTGTAGCGATTGTGGACCGGTTCCTAACGGCAAAACAAAACACACCTTGCTCAACTTTGGGACAGAAAATTATAATAATCTTTTTTGGGTTTTTTTTAATGACCTAGCAGAGTTCCACAACCTGTTTCAATACCCAAATTCTCTTCTGGACAAGTGATACAGGTGGTCCTCAACTTACAATCATTTGTTTAGCGACTGAAGTTACAACGGCACTGAAAAAAGTGACTTATGACCGTTTTTCACACTTATGACCACTGCAGCACCCTCATGGTTACGTGATCAAAATATGGTTGCTTGGCAACTGGCTCATATTTATGACGGTTGCCGTATCCCGGGCTCGTGTGATCCTCTTTATGACCTTCTGACAAGCAAAGTCAATGGGGAAGTCAGATTCACTTGACAACCACGTTACTAACTTAACAACTGTGATTAAGTGATTCACTTAACTGTGGCAAGAAAGGTCATAGAATGGGGCAAAAGCTCACTTAACAACTGTCTTGTTTAACAACAGAAATTTTGGGCTCAGTTATGGCCATATGTTGAGGACTATCTGTATTAGGTACAATTACACAGCTAAGTCCCTGGAATAATAAACATACAATTTCAAATATCATTGATTTTGGATGAGTCAAAGCACAATGTGAGGGGAAGATGCCAAGCTAGAAACTGGGAGACTGTGACTTCAAGTTCTGCCTTAGCCCTGAAACTCAGCTGGGTGATTTTGGGCCAATCTTTCTCTCTCAGCCCAACTCACCTCATAGGGTTGTTATTGTGAGGAAAATAGGAGGAGGAAGATGTGTTGGATACGTTCACCACTTGGAGTTATTTGTAAAAATAATTAAAAGAGGATACAAACAAATAGAAAAATAATAATAATAAAATCCTTGTTGCCATGTGGTCATCACAGAACAGTGGTCCCCAATCTTTCTGACTCTGTGGACTGGCAGAGGTGGTAGCAGTGGGGGGAGGGGATGGTTTCACACATGCGTCCACTGCTTACACAAATGGAGCTTCGCATGCTTGTGCGCTCACCCACCCCTTGCACAGCGTGGCTCCCAACAGGCCGTGGACCAGTACTGGCCCATAGACCGGGGGTTGGGGACCCCTGTCATAAACGAACATCTTCTAGTTAGTATTGCGAAACACAGAAAGTCCACTGACCATAATTACAATGCTAAGAAACATCTGCTTTTGACCCGCGCCCCCTTTCTCCTCCCCACGAATTGGTTTACCTGTGGTTTCATTCGAGGATTCCACCGGATGTAGTATCCTACCCAAAGCTCCAAGTGACGCATGCTGGCCACTGGATATAACACATGGTTGGTGTAGCTGGCATACAGAGGGTTGGTGAAATCTTCAAGCTGACTGTTGATGTAGGACCACAGGGATACTGTCTTTTCTGAAAGGCCCTGGTAAGGAGCAAGTATGTTGTTCCATTTGAAAAGTATACATAAATGAGTAGGGAGAATTATTATTATTTTTTTAAAAACAGTATTGCGATGGTTTACCTCTTTCACTCTCTGCTGCTCACTGTTACACAGGAAGGTCCCAAAGAGACAGCTGTAGAGATGGTCAAGGATGGTGATGAGTAAGAACTCACTGAATTCAAAAGCTGTGGGAAACTTGGAAGGAAGAAAGGGAAAATGTGACAGTAGATTTACACAGGATTTCCCCACCCGACACTTGAAAGGACATTTTCCTGCCAGAAAATTATATTGGAGAAATGTGTATGTATACTGGAGAAGTGTGTATGTGTGTGTCTATGGCAGCGATGGCGAACCTTTTAGACACCGAGTGCCCAAACTGCAACTCAAAACCCACTTATTTATCGCAAAGTGCCAAGGCTGCATCAGCGTTGCTGCATCAGCATTGTGGTGCCCTCGGGGGGTGTGGGGGCATGGCCCACTAGGTGGAAGTGGTTGCAGTGGTCATGGTAGACCAGTGTGGCTGGGGCCAGGGTGGCGGGGGCCTCTGGTGCATCCCCCCGGGGCCAAAGCCACTTGCTTGCTCACTTCCTGCCTTGTCACTTCCAAATGCCACATGCTCGCTATCTGGCAAACTGCTGGGGCAATGGTCTGTGTGCCCACACAGAGGGCTCTGAGTGCCACCTCTGGCACGCGTGCCATAGGTTTGCCACCACTGGTCTATGGAGATTCTCGGCCATCCAGGTCCTGGTTGCCCCAACGGTTCTTTTTTCAAAAGGCAATTTAAATGTCTTTTGTTTTTTTTCTTGAAGACGTTTTGCTTCTCATCCAAGAAGCTTCTTCAGTTCTGAAGCTTCCTGGATGAGAAGCGAAACATCTTCAAGGAAAAACAAAACCCAGTTGCCTTTTGAAAAAGTACCTTTGGGATCTTTATGTGTACAGTAGTCCTCAGCTTACCCCAGTTCATTTAGTGACCATTCAAAGTTACGACGGCACGGAAAAAAGTGACTTATGACTGTTTTTCACACTTAAGACCGTTGCAGCATCCCCGTGCTGACCTGATCAACATTCAGACGCTTGGCGAGTGGTTCGTATTTATGACGGTTGCCGTGGCCTGGAGTCACGTGATCAGCTTTTTCTGACCTTCTGACAAGCCAAGTCAATGGGGAATCTAGATTCACTTAACAACCATGTTACTAACTTAACAAATGCAGCGAGTCCCTTAACAATTGTGGCAGGAAAAGTTGTAAAATGGGGCAAAACTCACTGAATAAATTTAGCAACATAAATTCTGGTTCAGTTGTGGTCATAAGTTGAGGATTGCCTGTACAAATGGAGACTATGTTCAGCACTGAGACCCACTGAGTTTACCAGGATTATTGTCATTGAAATACTGTATTTTTATAGATATCAACCTTTCCTACACATAAACATTGACACAGGTACTTTATATTGGCTCGAGAATAAAAAGAGAGGAACATTATTTCTAAGGGTTCTTTGCTGTCCCCAAAATGTACCTGTCTCGTCATCTGCCACACACAGTCCACAAACTGGAGGAAAACAGGAGATCGATCAGCATCAGCGTGATTTTTGTCTCCGTGGCCAACTCTCTGAAATAAAAAAAGAGAAAGGTAGAAGGAAAAACACACACACAGCGACACAGACCTATGCAATTACCCTCATCGTGGAGAACCAAAGCAAGCAACTTAACAGGCCTGCAGGTGGAGCCCCAATTTGTGATTTGCAACCTGAAGAACAATCAAACAGCAGTTTTGCATTTCTCTTCCTCCACCCTCCCCATTTAAAGTTCGTTGTGGCTTTCATACAGTGTAAATATTTTCACCCTTCATCCTCCTCTAATAACATATGAAATTAATACTGTGTAGAATTAGGCAAGGGTCATCTGTGTGACTAACTAGTTGGTCATCCAGTGACCAACTAGATACTCCTCAAGTTCTCTTAAGGAGAAAAGACATAACTCTGTTTCATGTTGTTTTTTTCACAACTGATATTTTTGACATATTGATACCTCCCCCATCCTAAAGTAACATGAATCTTCAATATTGAGTCTTGGCATTCACTCCATCAAGATAGCTCTTTATATACATGTCCCCACAACTTTACTCAATTTCCTTTTAGAATTATCCATGTCAATGTCCATCACCTAGAATTACACCTAGAAATTAATGAATTCTACATGCAAATTATATACTGTTTGAAAAAAATGCTTTGTTTTAAATCATCTATTTGGTTTCATTGGATACTGTCTAAAAATTTTGCACGATGAGAAAACTTTATGCTGTTCTTTTTCTCCCCCCTCCTTCATTTTTTTCTCCTGCATTACAGTTCCAAACATCCTAGTCTTCTTCTCTTGTGGGAAAAGTATTCAAAACCCTTGCTTATTTTGATTGCCCTCTTCACTTTTCCCAGCTACGTTAGTTCTTGACTTATAACTATTTATTTAGAGACCATTCCAAGTTGCAACATCACTGAAAAAAGTGACTTACGACTGGTCCTCCCACTTATGACCATTGTAGCATCCCCATGGATGGTCATATGATCAAAGTTCAGGCTTTGCTGGCTGTGGAATTCTGGGAGTTGAAGTCCACATGCCTTAAAATTGTCAAGGTTGAGAAACACTGTTCTATAGGGAAAATTACGCAGTTGCTGGAATTCTTGTAACCTCATCTCTTTCATCTCAATAAATCTTGCTAAGGGGAATTCTGTGAGGGTTTAGGTTGAAAAATAATCACTTCTGGCTTTCAACAGTTATCAGAAACCTTGACATCCCCCCTCCAAAATTATTGCACTCTATTCTTCCACAGTAGGCTGTGGAATTTTGCTAGTCTCCTGGAATTACGTATGTCTGAGTGGTGATCAGCAATCCTCAGCCAGTTTATAAATGCGTATTCACAACCTTAAATCAAGGATCAGCAGCCTGAGATGCAGAATTCTACTTGTATGTTTGTTTACAAGATCAAGTAATGGGCCAAATGCAAAGAAATAGCTAAGAGAAAAAGGCCTATGAATAAATGTTCAGCACAAGAATTCAGCAAAATTCTGACTGTGAACCAGTGCACCGAAAAACCCTCACTCTGTTTGTCCTGGAACCTGATTTAAGGCAGAAAAAAAATTATCCTCTCTTTCCACTAATTCTATTGGTAAACAACTGGGTTTCAAAATCCTCTGATAACAGAATAACAGAGTTGGAAGGGACCTTGGAGGTCATCTAAGCCAACCCCCTGCTCAATCAAGAAAACCTATTCCATTCCAGACAAGTCACTGTTCAGTCTCTTTTTAAAAGCCTCCAGCGAAGGCAAGGCGTCCCACTGGTTAATTATTCTCACTATTAGGAAATTTCTTCTTAGTTCTCGGCTGCTTCTCTCCTTGATTAGTTCCCATCCATTGTTTCTTGTCTTGCATTCTGGGGCTTTGGAAAATTAAGTTGACCCCCCTCTTCTTTGTGACAGCCTTTCAAATACTGGAACATTGTTATCATGTCACCCCAGTCCTTTTTTTCACTAGACTAGACATACCCAATTCCTGCAACCATTCTTCATATGTTTTAATCTCCAGCCCCCTAATCATCTTTGTTGTTTTTTTCTGCACTCTTTCCAGAGTCTCAACATCGTTTTATAATATGTAATAGTTTTTATAATGTATAATGATTTTTATTATACTTTATAATATATTTTTATAATACAATGTTCTACCAAAAAAATAACCTTAACTCACCAGCTGGAATCTGTGCCCGAAACTCAGCCATTCTTTTTCTAGCAGCACCTGGAAGCCTCGTATCGTCCTGTAATAGCCATCTAGCATGAGCATGGCCAGAGATGTGAGCTGAGCAGTACGGTCCCATCCATCGCTACAATGTACAATCACTGAGGTCTTCCCTGATTCAACCTTGTCAGCAATCCGAAGAGCTCCAGCGAGAATCAGCTGGGTTAAAAAAAAAAAGGCATTATGTGATTGTGGTTGTTGTTGTTAGTTGCGAAGTCGTGTCCGACCCATCGCGACCCCATGGACAACGTTCCTAAAGTAGTCTTGAGAACAATTGGGCTCCATCCATCATCTTCACCTTAAAAAGGCCCAAGCTAATATCTTTGCATGATAGGAACAGTATGCAGAAAACAGCAAGGAATATTTCTGTATGTTTTTTCATACCTTCATGTTGATTCATGCATTGAGTAAGAAGGCAACCACTATCTGTTCTCAAAGTTCTGTTATATTCTAAATATTATATCTACTTTATTTGCTAAGGCTTGCGTGCATATTATTTTAGTACACAACACACTGCATTTGTAGTTATACTTTATCATAAAAAAATCAGGAAAGGCATTTTTTTGCCACTTAAATATTTTGGATCATATTTCCTATAAATTCAAGGCTGTTAGTCTCACTGATTGCAATTTCTAGTTTATGCCACTGGAGTTGGATAGAAGAATCTATCCATTATTCTCTACCCTTGGAACAGTCCCAACAAAACCATAGTTAAATTAAATTCTATAGGTTAATTGGTTTACACCACACACTTAATCTAGTTATGGTATCAACCTGTATTTTGGTTTTACATGGTATGTTGAATCTTAAAGTACTAAACAGGCTGGCTTGGCACAATATACTGACCTCTTTTTAATAAAAGAACTAATAACGTTAAAAACCAAGATTTGCAGATTATGAAAATGCATTGCCAAATCTAAGTGACCTTGTTCAATCATTGTATGAACATAGCCAATGAATGACTAAGGACTCGAACTAAAATGTTTTACAACTGTAGCTTCCGTCAACCTGTTCTAGCAAAGACAGTGTGACATGAGGTCACTATCCCTCCCAATTTTATGACATTGTCCCAACTGTATTTTTGTAGGGAAATATAAATCAGTTTTATTAGCAAATAGACCCAGTCACGTAGGTTGCAAAGGACAAAGAAATGAGTCATGTGGAAAACAAAGAACAAAGGAAGGATAAATCAGTTCATCTGTAATTTTTCACTTGTAGCCTTTTGGTCCCTGCATTCTATGTAATGCAAGTGCTTTTCCCAATCAGTGAATATCATGAATTTGCTTGACAGAACCTGTGTAAACATAAATAAAAGTCTCTTCTTGCTAATGACCTCATGTCACATTGTTTTTGCTAAAAGAGATTGATAGAAGCTACAGTTGTAAAACATTTTAGCTTCAATCCTCAGTCATTCATTGGCTATATTCACACAACTGAACTTTTAATTACATTTTTAAATTTAAGATCTGTATTTATTGTTCTGGTGTTTTATATGGCATTTTATTCAATGACTGTAAGCTGCCTGGTGCCACCTCTGGTGAGAAAGACAGCATACGAGTTTAATAAATAAATACAGTAAATAAATAAACATTGGCATGTGGAACAAATCCAGTGATTGCTGATAAAGAAGCTTCGGATAAAGAGAGGTTTTCTCTTTCTTGTTTAATTGAGTAATGGGATTTAATGTACATAGTATGCTCAATCAGCTGGCTGGCTGAGGAATTCTGGGAGTTGAAGTCCACAAGTCTTAAAGTTGCCAAGTTTGAAGACCCCTGCTCAAGATGCTTTGCCCTCAGGGATGTTGGCTGGCAACTGTAGTTCAAGAACACTTGGAGGCCACCTAAGGACATGGACACATCTCAGGTTCGTGGGAATGTCAAAGTTTTCCAATGTAAATATACAAATCAAGTTACCAGAAATTATCACAAGTCAATCCCTGTAAAGCCGAATTCTAGAAAACCTGGTACATACTATCTATAGTGGAGCTTTGTTTTAATAGACTGTGTGTAGGATGCTAGTCCATTTTCCCTTGTTTTTATTTGTATGGTATTTGTTTTATTGTACACTGCCCAGAGTCAGGTCTGTGAGATGGGTGGCTATTTAATTTGATAAATGAATAAATTGGATAAGAGGTATTCATGTTGAATCAGAGACAAGACTATCGTGAGGATTTATCTAATTTATGTGATGACATCATGATGCAAATTTGGAGCATGGTGGCTCGAGTGGTTGGGACTCTGGGCAGGAGGTTGGCAAGACCGTGTTCGAGACCTGAAAGGTGCCATGGGGTGGAGTTGAGCTCTTGTCCTTGGCTCCAGCTCCTGCTGGAGTCATGAAAGGAGCCTCCAACTGGGTATCCCCAGAGCAATGGTGATATCACTGACTAATCCTTTCAACCTGGAAGCACCTTGATGCTTCTGACACGAGTGCAATATACGTTGATCTCTGAGACTAAAAATTTTATTAAGAACTAAGCTTTCGTCAGCAGCTGCTGATGTTGTCAAAGTATAAGCCAGGACCTGGGGACGCTCGCCCTTATAGTCTTTGGGAAGCTAAAGATTTGGACAAATCTTAGGGATACACTTAAGCAAGACAGTGGGGAGAATAGGCGACGACATCAAATGACCGTGCACCACAAGACGAACGTTCTAGGCAGGTGGGCCATGTGGGGAGAGGCAGAGCAGTAAAATTCAAATGGATGTCGGTTAGCACAGCAGAAACAAGACTGATGCAGCCAATTGTAGGTGCGCAGGGGATGGACAGACCTATGATACGCTCATTGTCCAAATTTTTAGTTTTCCAAAGACTATAAGGACAAGCGTCCCCAGATCCTGTCTTATACTTTGACAACATCAGCAGCTGCTGATGAAAGCTTAGTTCTTAATAAAATTTTTAGTCTCGGAGATCAATGTTTTTAGTAGTTTTTTTCTATTATGAATATACCCAGGACTCGCATTTTTAAAATAATTACACACACACACACACACACACACACACAATGTTAATTATTAATAAGTGAATTATGTCATTTTCATGATTTACAATTACATAAATTGCAGCAGAAGTTCAGTCTGATGCATAAAAAATCTGATCAGTCAGGATCCAGTAAAATGAGCTTTTGCTGTATTTCATAAGTACCCCCGTTTTGCATAAAATAGGTGGAAGGTAGGCTGAAAGAAAATAAACAATCAGCAGAAGACAAGTCTAGTTGAGATTGACTGCAAATCATTCCAGACTGCCACTAGAACAGGGGTCTTCAATCTTGGTAACTTTAACACTTGTGGACTTCAATGCTGGCTGGGGAATCAGAACTTATAGTAACAGAGTTGGAAGGGACCTTATAGGTCATCTAGTCCAACCCCCTGCACAACCTGCAGGGGACCATATACCATTCCAGTCAAGTGGCTGTCAGTCTCTTCTTGAAAGTCTCCACTGATAAAGCACCCACAACTTCTGAACGCAAGCTGTTTCAATGGTTGATGGTTCTCACTGTCAGAAAATTTCTCCTTATTTCTAGGTTGAATCTTTCCTTGACTAGTTTCCATCCATTGTTCCTTGTCTGGAATTTTGGAGTTGGTCCACAAGTCTTAAAGTTGTCAAGTTTGGAGACACCTGCACTAAGAGATCTCTTTTACCCTCTCCATCTCCTCAGTCCAACTGTCTCCTTGCAAAAGTGTCATGCTCAACAGATTTATTCACTCTTTTCTTTACAAAAGAGACAAACTACCGACCCACTTCGGTGTAAGAGTGGGAGAAAATGAATGAGAATCACATTATCAGAACTGCCTGCTTCATTTGAAAATAAGATAATAATAGTAGTAGTAGTAGTAGTAGTAGTAGTAGTAGTAGTAGTAGTAGTAAAGTTGGAAGGGGCCTTGGAGGTCATCTAGTCCAACCCCCTGCTCAAGCAGGAAACCCAATACCATTTCGGACAAATGGCTGTCCAGTCTCTTCTTAAAAACTTCCAGTGTTGGAGCATTCACCACTTCTGGAGGCAGGTTGTTCCACTGGTTAATTGTTCTAACTGTCAGGAAGTTTCTCCTTAGTTCTAGGTTGCTTCTCTCTTTGGTTAGTTTCCACCCGTTGCTTTTTGTCCTGCCTTCAGGTGCTTTGGAAAATAGCATGACTCCCTCTTCTTTGTGGCAGCCCCCGAGATATTGGAACACTGCTATCATGTCCCCCCTCGTCCTTCTCTTCATTAAACTGGACTTACCCAATTCCAGCGGCCGTTCCTTATATGATTTAGCCTCCAGTCCCCTAATCATCTTTGTTGCTCTTCTCTGTACTCTTTCTAGAGCCTCAACATCTTTTTTACATTGTGATGACCAAAACTGGATGCAGTATTCCAAGTGTGGCCTTACCAAGGCATTGTAAAGTGGTATTAACACTTCACGTGATCTTGATTCTATCCCTCTGTTAATGCAGCCTAACACTGAGTTGACCTTTTTGGCAGCTGCAGCACACTGCTGGCTCATATTTAAAGGACTGTCCACTAGGACTCCGAGGTCCCTCTCACAGTTACTACTATTGAGCAAGATACCCCCTATACCAGGGGCATCAAACTGCCAGCCCGGGAGCCAGACGCGTCACGTGGAAGCACGCCCACCCCATTGCCGGCAATGGCAAAATCGGCCCGATATGTTGCACAACGTCACATGACGTCTTGAGTTTGACATGCCTGCCCTATACTATCTCTCTGGAATACATGTCAGATGTCCTCCTTTCTGTTTGGACTGAGAACAGATAATCCAATGAACAGTATCTCATAGCTCTAATTAGCAATTATTAGAAGGATGGGAAAGTTTACAACGGGAAAATTCCAGCTAGTATCTGAAGTCTCTATCGCTGCAGCCAACAAGCATGAAATGCAGACTCTGCTCCTGGATAGTGGAAAACCTTTACCAGTAGGAATAGTTGCTCTGAATCCATGCCGATAACACACCATCACAATGCATTTTATTTTGTGGCATTTCTAGGGCACTCATTCCAATGGACTCTGTGGCCTAACACAGACAGATACAGAATACCCATCAACTGACCTTGATATGCTCCAGCCAATGAGTGGATTCCAAATTCGACAGCCAGTGTGTCTCTTCTATGTTGGGATATATAATTTCTTTGAGTTTCCTCAATGACTCTCTCATGACGTGGATATTATGGATGTCCAGGAAAACCAATTCGGCATTCTGATAGGCGTCCTCACTTTCATAACCTCCTCCTTTTGCCTGCAAAGACAGCGAATATGGGGCTGTTTTGGGCTAGCTAAGATTTCAGACCTCTCAGATAACAACAAGGAGGACTTTACCAGCCTTCCACACTCTAGACAGGCTTGGAGGTGTGGTCTCCCTACACTGGGAGAGTGGAAGTCTGGGGAAAGTCCAGATTGTGATGACCTGCTTATTTTGATAAATTTTTGCTGTATATTTTAACTGGGCCCACATCCACTGGGATTGTAATAAGGCCATTAGGGGATGTGGTACCGAGGAGCGTGAGGACTTTCTGATGGATCCTTCTTGATCATTTCTATCTTTTCATGAGTGAACAATTCAGCAGAATTTACGTATATAGCTGAACACTAAGATTTCAGACGTGCAAACTTAGCATCATTGGCTGCACAGCCATACACGGTCTCCTGCCACAGCTGCTAAGGCTGAAATGAGATTCTACTGTTTGAATCCCATCTACTTCACAAATGTCTCGCTTAGCAACAGAAATTTTGGGCTCAATTGAGGTCGTAAGTCGAGGGCTATCTGTACTGGAAGCTGCTAGGTGGGAACTGGCTGAAATATTTGTTGCAAGAGGGATGGGAGTCCAACCTTGTTAGCTACCGCGTTCACACTTGGTCTGGCATCAAAAATGAGTATTTTGTGGGACTGGGCATTGGAATCCATGATAGCCTGAAGGTACTTTTCATCTTCTTTGCTCCTCTTGCCACTGACTCCAACCATTGGCTGGCTGCAGCGAGTGATGGTGGCTTGGCTTTCTGGATGAATCCATGATAGAACCTGGTAGAAGACAAGAACGGGAAAAAAAAAGAAATAACAAGAGTGGGTCAAGAAGATAATTGAATATCTTGACTCTGTATTTAACTATTCCGAATCAAACCACTGCAACTGCAGTCTGAAGTATTCCTGCTGCTAGGATGGCTGATGTCCATAAATTGTTAAAATAATTCTCACTGGTTTTTCTTTACTTTCTTCTTCAAAATCCACTTGGCGAAGGAGGCAGCCCAACACATTTGGGAGACGCCAATCTGCAGAATTCATATTGCTAGTGGCATACTTACAGGTATACGGCCCCTTGACCGGAATGCAGCCACTTTCCTCAGCTCCTCATCTGGAATATTGGCTGGAACAACCAGAAGGGCAGGATAGGTATCACAAAGCTCATATTGCTCATTGATGCTAGTGACTCTCCAGCTTTCATTTGGAATTCCCTACATAGGAAAGAGAAGCTGTTCAGATTTTAATAGGGAAGAGAAAGGAAGGGAAGGGAGGGGGAGATGGGAGGAGAGGAAAGGAGAGGGGAGGAGAGAAGAGAGGAGAAGAGAGGAGAGGAGAAGAGAGGAGAGGAGAGAAATGAGAGAAGACAGAGATGAGAGGAAAGAGAAGGGAGGGTAGAAGGGAGAGAAGAGGAGATCCTCTTTCTGGATATTAATCTCTAGAAATTAGATATTTGCAAAACGTGGACAAATCAAATCCATTTCACTGTCTACTTCGCAGAGCAGATTTTTCTTTCTATCAGTTTTACTTTGAGATTTTTAATTAGCAACCGAGAAAAAAAAATCACCTTCTGCTATAAAGACAGCAGATTGCTTTGAAAATGTACAGGGTGGCCTTTTATTTATTTATTTTTTTGATCCACAAAAATGTTTCACATCCTCTGCAGTGGTGGTCATTCTATAGATGCAGCATCATTGCTGCAGCTTTTCCTGGATAACCATCCAATATGCTATGATTTAGATTAATCTGGCTCAGACACACTTACGTGGGAATTGTTTTTATTTGATTATCCCATTAGAATAGGGGTCTTCAAGCTTGGCCCTTTTATGACTTGTGGACTTCAACTCCCAGAATTCCTCAGCCAGCCAGGGCTGGCTCAGGAATTCTGGGAGTTGAAGTCCACAAGTCATAAAAGGGCCAAGCTTGAAGACCCCTGCATTAAAACGATGTTTCTCAATCTTAGTGGCTTTAAGATGTGTGAACTTCAACTCCCAGAATTCCCAAGCACTGCATTAGAATTTTTTTCCCAACCAGCAGGTTTGTAATAAGATAGTTTGCTAGAGAGCAAAACATGCAAACCAGAAGTGGAATAGTGAGACTCACCTGTCTTCTGTACTCCAGAATGGGATCATAAACGTTCCAGCCATTTTCTGGGAAAACTTCTTTATACTCAAACGCGAAAAGGGGCTTAAAAAATGGAGAGATTCTTTAGCAATGCATTTTCCATTTTTATATATAATTTCAAATAACTATTCCCATGCAGCCTTTTTTGTTTGTGTACCTTAATAAAAGCATAAAAGAAAGGCAGAGAATCCCAGAACATTCATCTGTTGCAATAAGCTGATCAATATATGTTTTTCCACATTCCTTTATTTTCTGATCTATGAAACTGCCAAGAAAATGGTAGGGAAGAAATACATTGTTCTTAAGAAGAAACCTAATAAGAACTGTTTTTTAAAGCAGCATCATAGGACCGAATTTCAGCTTCTTACTTTTGCACAGAATTGCCGTCTATGTAAGTGATGGTCTCCAGATGGTGTTTTGTTTGTTTTGAGTGACATGGAACTTAAAGCTAATTGTGGGATCTATAACTAGGGAACAATCAACAGTTCCCATTTAGATTAGTGCACAATGATGAATAAGGCTCAAACCCTTCCTCCCCCAAAAAACATCAATGCATGCCACGGCACATAAATCTTCACTGCCCACTTTCTCTTTTGCTCGCTGCAGTTAATACATGTACAATTAGATACATACACTCTTTCTCATAATTTCCTACAATTATGCCTAACAAAAATAATTCTGGCTTAAAATCTATGTTTTTTAGTAATTTTCTCTATCCATATGTGTACTCTTGACCAGAATCTTTTGGCTTTGGGGCATGTCCACCAAAGATGGTAATAAGTGCCTGGTTTTTGTCTACATTTCCAACAGTTGCTAGATATGTTTTTAAATTTTATTGCTAACCTCAGGATTCTCTTTTTTCGCTTTCTCTTTTGAGTCATCAAGAGAAGGATTCTACAAAGGATTCTCTCTCTTTTTTTAACTGTAAAAGCTCACAAATTAAAGAGTAGCACAGGTCCCAACTTACTTGCAGTTTTACTAAGAAGAACAGGAAACAGGGTTCCCAATTCCTTTAACAAAATATTATGTGAGACACCAGGAACTCCTTTTTCCAGACCTACTGGGACAAAGGGTTTGGTGTTTGCATCCTGAATATGAAGCACTGAGCTTAATGGAAGTCCTAGAAATCAGTTGCTCCTCTTGGTGATCCCTTCTCCCTTTCAAAAAAAATGTTGAGACTGGAAAGATGTGGATAAATTCTTCCAAACTTGATCTCTTTAAATTTTCTCAGGGAAATTGCTGAAAGCGTCCTAGATTTTCTGAGAGTTCTCGTGGAAATTTAAAAACAAAAACAAAAACAAGCAAGCAAAAACAAAAAAGTAAACCTTGAGCCAATTATGGGTGAATTGGAGGTGCTTCCCTGATACTATTGCCATGAAAAATCTTCTGAGCTGATTCTGGACGAGGGGGGAAAACTCCACAAGACCTTCCATCTTGTCTGGGTTCTCTCCTGTCCAGAAGCCCTCCAGCCTCCAAAACACCAAGACAGATTGCACAATAGAATAGAATAGAATAGAATAGAATAGAATAGAATAGAATAGAATAGAATAGAATAGAATAGAATAGAATAGGAGCTGGAAGGGACCTTGGAGGTCTTCTAGTCCAACCCCCTGCTCAAACAGAAGAACCTATACCATATCAGACAGGTGACTGTCTAGTAGTCTCTTCTTAAAAACCTCCAGTGATGGAGCACCCACAATTTCTGGAGGCAAGCTATTCCACTCATTAATTGTCCTCACTGTCAAGAAGTTTCTCCTTAATTTCAGGTTGCTTCTCTCTTTGGTCAGTTTCCAACCATTGTTTCTTGTCCTGCCCTCTGGTGTTTTGGTGAATAATGTGACCCCCTCTTCTTTGTGGCAGCCCCTCAAATACTGGAATACTGCTATCATGTCACCCCTATTTTTTCTTTCTTTAGATGGGCCAAACCCAAGTCCTGCAGCTGTTCTTCCTATGTTGTAGTGTCCAGGCCTTTGATCATTTTAGTTGCTCTTCTCTGAACTTTTTCCACGGTCTCAGCATCTTTTTTTGTAGTATGTGACAAAAACTGATTGCAGTATTCCAGGTGTGTTCTTACTAGGATTTTATAAAGTGGTACTAATACTTCACGTGATCTTGATTCTATGCCTCTTTTTATAGAACCCAGGATTGTATATCGCCAGCATACTGATGGTACTTAACCCTAAACTGATGGATGACTATCTGGAACTACATCTACTGAGATGGTATAGGAGGTTCTCCTGCTTGAGCTTGGGGCTGGACTAGAAGACCTTCAAGGTCCCTTCCAGCTCTACTCTACTCTATACTCTGCTCTGCTCTGCTCTGCTCTGTACTGCACTACACTGCACTGCTCTGCGCTGTTCTGTTCTATTCTATTCTATTCTATTCTATTCTATTCTATTCTACTGATGGCTTCATGAGAAGGGGCCAAAGCACCACCTCCTTCAGAGCTGGGAGAACAAACCTTTTCTTAATGATGCATTCAGCACTGCATGACTCCAACTACATGTCACCTTCCTAGAGGTCTTGACCAACCAGGAACATCATTTAACACGCAGGAAGCCATTCTGAGAGCAAATCTGAACAACTTCATATGACAAATGCCTAGAATAGTCCTCATAGGGGCTTAATAGGGGCTTCCCTGGTCCTCCCCACCCACTAGTGATAAGGATGAAATAAGGGTGTTGCTGGCAATACACAGAAGCGACAAAAGCAGAGAATAACAAATGTCATATATAAAGCCTATATTCATGCATGTGTGTTATATTGTCAAATGGCTGTTCCTAGGCATTAGAGACAAAATGCACTCTCTTTCTAGCTGAGACCGCTACAGGCATATCAATTTCACTCTGTAAAAACAGTTTTCAGTATGGAGAAATGTCCCTAAAATAATGTAAGTGGAGAAATTTTGAGCTCCCGTTAACTCCTGTTTGATTTGCACTTTCAAGGGATGCACTGAAACTATATCACTGATGAAGCTTCTTGGATGAGAAGCGAAACAACTTTTTCCTCACGGGGGGGGGGGAAACAGTCCAGCTGCCTTTTGAAAAAGCACCTTTGAGACATTGTTCTTGTGATTGTAGCACACCCCCAACCTTGATTGATTTTAAAAAAGCCAAGCAGGATAAGAACAAATTTGTATTTTGATAGGAGATCAGTAGGAGATTTTAGAGCTTAGGCTAGAAATGGAAATTGAAAAAACATCCTGGAAGAAGACAATGGCAAAAATTTCAGTATTGTTGCCTGATGGATATTTCCCTCAGGTCACCAGGAGTTGAACTCAATCCAAAGGTTTCTTTATCCTTTCAGACTGCTTTCAAAAGAAAGGAATGTTTGACACACATATCCCCCCCATCAATTATGGGAAAGTGACTAATCCCAATGTTTATGGGGGGGGGGGGGAATTGAACATTCTGATTCAACTCTGAGTCTCCCTCTTTTGCAATACAAAAGGATTACAGCCTTGTTTTTAGACTGGTTTGAGTTCAAGAAGCCAATAGCCCAGTGGTGGGATTCAGCCAGTTCGCACCGGTTCGGGAGAACTGTTAGCTAAATTTTGTTGAGTTCAGAGAACTGGCTGAACCCATGCTGCTTCTGGAAGTCCATTCTAGGCCTTGGAGGTCTCCCAGGCCTAGAATGGCCCGCCAGAAGTGCATTGATGTCACTTCCAGAAGTCCATTCTAGGCCTGGTGGAGGCCTGGTAGAGGTCTCCCAAGCCTAGAACAGCCCACAGGAAGTGCATTGATGTCACTTCCGGAAGTCCATTCTAGGCCTCAGAGGCCCAGGCCTGGATCCACGCAGAGAACCAGATGTTAAGGTATTTGAATTCCACCACTGCAATAGCCCCCACCAAGATCAACATCACTTCACTTTCCTGCATTTTCATCTTACAACCACACTAGAGAGGTAGTCCTCGACTTACAATCATTCGTTTAGTGACCATTGAAAGTTAAAGTGGCCCTGAAATAGGTGACTTATGATGCATCATCATCATCATGTGGTCATGTGATTAAAATCTGGACACTTGGCAACCGGCATGAATTTATGATGGTTGCAGAGTCCTGGGATCATGTGATCACCTTTCGTGAACTCCTGACCTGCTAAGTCAATGGGGAAGCCAGATTCACTGGACAACTGTGTTACTAACTTAACAACTGCAGTGATTCACTTAGCAACTGTGGAAAGAAAAGTCATAAAATAGGGCAAAACTCACTTAACAAATGTATTGTTTAGCGATGGAAATTAGGGGCTCCGTTACGATTGTAAGTCAAGGATTACCTGTATATTTTGGAAAAGATCATGTTTGTCAGATTAGCAAAAAAATACTTACCAAGTGATTGGACACCGGAAATGCATATTTTGTCAAGTTCTCGAATATGGATCTTCTCGTGCGACCTTCAGGCCTATGAGCAAACCGAAGATTCCGGACATCCTACAGAACGTAGGGCAAAACTGGGTCTTACCAGAAATCCTGCAGTACACCATACTAATTTATTTGCTGAGAAATTAGTGTATTAATTGCTGCCAAATTCTCTCTGTGTTATGCAGTGGGGAGGAGGGAAATTATTTTGTAAGAGACAGAAACCACAAGTCTGTCAATTTAAACTGGGATTCTTCATCTGGTGTCCTTGAACATTTTTCAAGGGATGCACAAACTTGGATGGGAAAAAGATATGGCTTCTATTCCCCACTAACCTTTAATTGAAATTTAGCTTTTCATTCAATCATGAATGTAGGCAACAGTGGCCTCCAGACTCAAAAAATGTTTAACTTCAATTAACTTCATCTAAAATTATTATACCTTAAAATGTAAAACCAAAATAGTCCATTATTCAATTGGACAGGGGGTTGGATGAAATGATGTTCAGAGTCATTTACAACCCTTACATTTTATGATTATATGAATTTTCTGTCAACATGTATTACTGAAGTCCATTAAGACCATTACAAGCCATAGCCGTTACATGCTATGGATTATGAACTCAAAACAGTATCTTCCCATTCTTGACAAACCAGTTTACCTTGCACACAATTTCTAGGCCATATGAATTTTCACCACGACTAGAAGCTCCTCCAATTTTCTCTACTCTGTTAATCACTCCAAGAGGGCCATCTAGAACAAATGGAGGGTTCTGGAGAAAATGGAAATGTATCAATAAAACATCCAAACCAAAGAATTATTGTTAGATAGAGGTAAGGAGCTAAGGTTTGATTTTTTAATATTTAGCCATGCAATAAACTTACAAATACATTCAGAAAGCTGGGGTTATCTTTAAGATTAATGCAGCGGCTCCCAACCTTTTCTATACCCTGCACCCCTAGAATGCTTCTAATATATTTTCGCACGCCTTACAAAAGTTCAAAATAACGGCAATGAATTATGCATATACACTATAATTTTGAAACTTCTAAACCCAAGTTTTTGCACCCCCTGGAATATGTCCTGGTTGGGAACCCCTGGATTAATGCATTAATTACTTGATACATCCTTATTACATTTATATTCCACCATTCCTCAGATAAGTCAAAGTGTAGTACAATGGCTCTGTTTTCATTTTACCACCAAAACAAGATCCCTGTGAAGTATGGTGGTGAGACAGAAAGACTGGCCAAAATCACTCAGGAAATTTCCATAACTATGTAAGAATGGATAAACTTGGATCTCCCCAGTCTTAATCCAATACCTAAATGGCTACTCGGCACAAAGTATATTTCCCTTTGTTATAGTCCATTTCAACACAGGACAGTTGTCTAAAAAAATAAATTCTAGGAGAAAATGTAATTTATATTGTGGCTTTTTGTTACATGCACGCTATGGAAACATGAATATTACAGCTGTGCTTTGAAGTGTATGCCTGCTCCTTCTTACAGCAATCATAAATTTTGCCATCATTGTGCAAGAAATAACTGACTTGCTCTTTGGAGAGTGAATCTAAAGTGCTTTACGGCTCTAATGAATATTTGAAGTTGATGAATATCCAGTACAAGCTCTGGTTCATTTAGCTTACATTTGTCTATGCTGCCGGCAATGGCTCTCCAATGTTTTCACAGGTGACTTTTTTTTCTCCTCCCTTTTCATTATATAGTCGTAAATGCTGACACATTATATTGTTTCAACAGAATGATATTTATAAAAAATTAAAAATCATTGACATTCTATTATTTAGTTAATCTAGGGCAGTGTTTCTTGAAGTATGGTTCTGGGACCCCTGGCGATCCCCAAGGCTATCTCTGCAGTCCTCAAAATAAGAATGATTTGCCAACCTATGTTTAAAAAATAATCCAATATTAAAATCCCATCAAACAATCATGAGAAAAGATAGAGACAAAGATTGTCCCAAAGGTGCTTTTTTCAAAAGGCAGCTGGACTTTCTTGGTTCTGAAGAAGCTTCTTAGATGAGAAGCAAAACATTTTTCAAAGAAAAGAAATCAAGGAAGTCCAATTGCCTTTTGGGAAAAAACACATTTGGGACAACAATAACCCAGATGATTGAGAATCTCCATAGAGGCTTAGAGACAGAGAATGCATCCATTTTAATTTTTAATACAGTAAATATTAATAAATATAACCCATAGGAACAACAGCTCTTTTGAGGGTCCTTGGTAATTTTTAAAAGTGGAAAGGGATTCTGACATTGAAAAAAAGTTTAAGAAACAATGACGAAGAGCAGTGTTTCTCAACCCTGGCATAATCAGAACTGAAGTTTTCATTGTACAACAAATACTTAGATGCAGCATTTCTTTTTATCTAACATCAGTGGTGGGATGTAGAAGAAGGGTGGACTTCAGGTCCCAGAATTTCCCAGCCAGAATAGCTGGCTGGGGAATTCTGGGACTTGAAGTCCACCCATCTTCAAGTCATCAAGGTTGAGAAACACTGAATTAGAATATTGGAAATAAAGAGAAAGAAATATTTTATTAAGGTTAATTAAAATGTAGGATTCTGATAATACAAGCATAAAATTATTCGACTTTTTCATCCAAAGTTGGTATAATGTTAGGCAGTGGTTGGATTCAAATACCTGAACAACCGGTTCTCTGCGTGGACACCACTTCTGGAAGTCCATTCTGAGCCAGGGAGGCCTCCTAGGCCCAGAATGGCTCACTGGAAGCGTGTGGATGCCACTTCCGGTGGGTTGTTCTAGGCGTGAAAGGCCTCCCGGCTCAGAATGGACTTTTGGAAGTGGTGTCCATGTACTTCTGATCTGCCGTTCTGGGCCTGGGAGGCCTCTCCGGCTCAGAATGGACTTCCAGAAGTGGCGTCCACGCACTTTCAGTGGTCTGTTCTGGGCCTTGCAAAAAAGGGGTAAAGCATCAGCTGGTTCACCAAAGTCAACAAAAAATTAGCTACCGGTTCTACCGAACCGGTGAGAACTGGTTGAATCCCTCCACTGATGTTAGATAAAAATAAATGCTTCATCTAAGTCAGTGGTGGCGAACCTATGGCACGGGTGCCAGAGGCGGCACTCAGAGCCCTCTCTGTGGGCACGCGCGCCGTCGCACCACTCCTAGGCCTTCAGCTGGGTTTTATAAAATCTTTTCGCTTTAGGCCTCCGCCACCGTGTTAAAAAAAAAAAAAAGGTTCAATCAATCAGTCAATTTCAACTTCTCGCAGGAAAAAAAAAGATCTTGCAAAGTTGGAATTGATTGATTGACCTTTTTAGTCCTACCCAGTCTGCAGTTACCACCGCAACCACGCCCACCCAATGGGCCACACCCACCCAATGGACCACACCCACCTAATGGGCCTCACCTACCCGGCACCCGAGGATGCATAAGTGGGTTTTGGGTTGCAGTTTGGGCATTCAGTCTCTAAAAGGTTCGCCATCACTGATCTAAGTATTTGTTGTACAATGAAAACTTCAGTTCTGATTATTTCATGTTGAAGGCTATATTGTGTAATCACTTCATATATACAACTCCACTACGAAAGGCAGGAGATTCCATCATGACTCACAAAGCATATACTGAGCTATGCCCTCCCTTCAAATAAGAGCTATGAACCCATCAAAAACAAGGAAAAGTAAAAACCAATTTATTAAGCCTTACCCTTTCCATGCTTTTAAAATACAGTCTGTAATTTGTAACTGTCAAAGTTCCTCGAATACCTCCAGTAAACGGGCAGATATGAGTAACATCTTTTGCTACAAAAGAAATTAAAAGTATTATAAATATTTCCAGAGGGAAGTATTGCCGTAAGGTTTAAAATCCTCCCCCCCCCTGTTTTTATAAGATGAAACAAGAGTAAGGCTAGATTTATGCCTTCTGGAGAAGAAGGAAAAAAGAGCTTCTTCTCACTACTTCTTCAGACTTGCATGGAGAAATATGTGGGAGAATGACAAAGGATTTTAAACTTTGTGGCAGGAACAAATAAATATGGCCTGCATGATTGTTTTATGGACCGATTTGAGAATAAGAGAGGCACCCAGTTTGACATTATTTCCCCTGGAATCTCTGACAAAATGCTTAACCTTTAAACTTTCCCGCAAAGTTATTTTAATGAGCCCCATGAGCAGCTAGAAGCTGCATTCATATAAACAAAGACTTGAAGCCAACTATCACTCCATTTCATTTGTTTACCAGTTTTCTAGTTCTATCCTCTCTATACACTCCAGGTCAATTAATTCTTAATGACCTCTGAGGAGGGCCAGTCCTTTTCCATTTCTGCAAATTTTGTCTAGCAAGACTTCCTTTCTTATGCCTGGATGGAATAGATAGATAGATAGATAGATAGATAGATAGATAGATAGATAGATAGATAGATAGATAGATAGATAGATAGATAGATAGATAGATAGGGAGGTAGGGAGGTATTATTTATTTATTTTATTTTAAAAATTTATAAGCCGCCCCACTCCCGCAGGACTCCGGGCGGCTAACAATAAAAGCACCATATAACATGACAAAACAAACAGTACAATAACAGTCATCCAGGGGTCAGATTTTATAAACCCCAGGCCTGCCGGAAAAGCCAGGTCTTAAGCAGCTTACGGAAAACCAACAGGGTGGGAGCGGTCCTAATCTCCGGGGGGAGCTGGTTCCAAGACGTGGGCGCCATCACAGAGAAAGCCCTCCTCCACGGCCCCGCCAAATGGCACTGCTTGGCCAACGGGACCTGAAGGAGGCCCAGGCTGTGGGATCTAACTGGATGAAGGGAACTATGAGGTAGTAGGCGGTCTCGCAAATAGCCTGGCCCTGAGCCATATAGGGCTTTAAAGGTAATAACCAACACCTTGAATTGGACCCAGAGACCAATAGGCAACCAGTGCAGCTCACGGAGGATAGGTGTAACATGGGTGTATCGAGGAGCACCCACTATCACTCGCGCGGCTGCATTCTGGACCAACTGTAGTCTCTGAATACTTTTCAAGGGTAGCCCCATGTAGAGCACGTTGCAGTAGTCCAGACGTGAGGTGACAAGGACATGAGTGACTGTAAGGAGAGCCTCCCGGTCCAGGTAGGGTCGCAACTGGTGCAACAGATAGACTTGTGCAAAGGTCCTCCCAGCCACAGCCGTCAAATGATGTTCCAAATTCAGCTGTGGATCAAGGAGGACACCCAAGTAGATGATAGGTAGGTAGGTAGGTAGGTAGGTAGGTGGATAGATAGATAGATAGATAGATAGAGAGATAGATAGATAGACAGAGTAGAAAAAGTAGATAGATAACATAATAGCATCTTCCATCAGTGTATATTAGTGGAATGGACCTGTTTAAGACTTTGAACCAAAAGACCGCAAGGCTAGCACATAGAAGCCAAAATACCAATGGTACATCAATGTATACCTCACTTGGCAACCCTCCACAGTTACTTATCACATGATCAAAATTTGGACACTTGGCAACTAGCATGTATTTATGATGGTTGCAGTGTCCCAGGGTCATGTGATCCCCTTTGGTGACTTTCTGATAAAGCAAAGTGAATGGGGAAGCCAGATTCACATAACATCCATGTTATTTTAACAACTGCAACGATCCACTTAACAACAGTAGCCAGAAAGCTCATAAAATGGGGCAAAACTCACTTAACCACTGCCTTGCTTAGCAATGGAAATTTTTGGCTCAGTTGTGGTTGTAACGTGAGGACTACTTGTAGTCACATGGAGACTTTCCACGGCTCTTGTAATTTACTTTGGTGAGAAAATACAAATAGCTGCACTTACCCATGTCTTTAATAGTTTCTCCGGGTAGCAAAGGGGGCTCTTCCATTTCAGCTAATTTATTAGATTCTCTGAGTATCTAAAACACAAACACAATTATCAGGTGCACTCACCTTCAATACTTAAAAGGTCAGACATTTGAAACTTATTCACCCCACATGGAAAAAATAACATGGGAAAAAAGTGAGCCCAACCGACAATGCCTAGAACTAAAATCTGTCCCCTGCACTCAGCTTCAACCTACCTGATTCGCAGCGTCTAGGACAGGGGTAGGCCACCTTGGCTCTTTTATGACTCGTGGACTTCAACTCCCAGAATTCCTGAGCCAGCCATGCTGAGGGGAAAGGGAGAGGTTCCAAGCTGAGCCATGCTGGCTCAGGAATTCTGGGAGCTGAAGTCCACGAGTCATAAAAGAGCCAAGGTGGCCTACCCCTGGTCTAGGAAAATCTATGAGGGCTCTCCCATTTTGTGGGGATGCTGTTTTTCTTTCTAGGGTCATGCCAATATGATGAAATTGTTTGTCTTCTCCTCTAAACCTCCTACTGTACTTTGTTAGGCTCCAGGGAATTATTTTAAAAAGATACATAAATGTTGCCATCTTTTTTTATAGCTTTTGATACATAATTGCATAATTTTAAACTGATTCAGTTATTGTTGTAATATGTCAATTATTTATACTGTGGAGAATGTAAATAGCTGAGATTGACTGGTAAAAATAATAAAATGAACGAACCAAATCAAATCATATCTTATATTTGAATATTGCAATTAATCAATTAACTTTATTTTTAAATAAATCTGCTGATCTATTCAACTAAAAAGAGATGAATTTTTCCTTACAAAACTAAGGAAAGACTTCCTGAGGAAAGTCAAATAACTGTTGGCAAGAGGAAAAAGAGTATAATTTAGACATTCATGAGGGTTTAGGGGTTTTTTTTTGAGTTTTGGTCATTGTTGTTGTTTTTTTGTCCTAAAATATAAAAAATATTCCTAGTCTTGCTCCTGTTTTTTAAAAGTAGTAGATAAAAGCATCAAATGTGCATCTGCTGTAGATCATATTAAACATATATAAGATTCCTGCAAGTCCCTACTCAAAATGTCTGTAGTTTCCACACCAGGTAAAACCCTTTATTTAATAAAATGTCTTTATTTTGTGTGTGTTTGATGATTAAAGAAACGGATATGAGTTTCGAATGACTGAAGCCAGAAAAAAAGACACTAATCCTATAGAAAAGGCATTAATCAAAATCATTACATGAAGGAGAAATAAAGTAGAAACACTATAAGGATTTAAATCTAAACTGTCAAGTTAGGGTACAAGGTAGGGTACAAATGCCTTCTTAAAATAGCACGTTTTTAAAAATTTTCAGTTCTCTGCCATATCCAGGCAAAAACAAAAGGTTAAACGTTGACATAGGCTTTACCTGGCATGAAATAAATAATGAACTTTCTCTTCCAAATGAAAGGAAAAGAACAGCTCATAGCTCTGTCCATAGGTTGGCCTCACAACTCCACCCATGGCACCCTCCCCCTTTCCCAAATGCTAAATAGGGCCCCTGTCTCTCCCTCCTCTAGTTCCCCCATCTTACTTTTGGCAAAAGCCATCCCCCACCCCCAAAGAAGATAATGATGCTCTCCAAAAATATATATTTCTGCCTTTAATCTAACGAGTTCCCTGTTTTCTCTTATTTGGTCTCAGTTGTTCTGCTCTTCTGAACCTTCCCCACCCATCCCTTGCCCAGGTCTAAGGATGCCTAAGCCAAGAAGGGAATCTGTAACAATCCAAGTCAGGGTTCTTCAAACTTGGCCCTTTTATGACTTGTGGACTTCAACTCCCAGAACTCCTCAACCAGCATGCCTGGCTGAGGAATTCTGGGAGTTGAAGTGCACAAGTCATAAAAGGGCCAAGTTTGAAGACCCCTGATCCAAGTCCTGCCCATTTTTATATGCAGCTTGTACAAAAGGCACCAGGCTTCATATGTGTGGCTGTGGCTGCAACCCTGACTTTTTTGACCCTCACCCCATTGGAGGCTCCCAACCAAGGGTTTTTATGAAGATTTCTTTACTCAGAAGAAATTAAGGGACTGAGCTTACTGATGAATAGTGAAAAAATACTGAAACACCATTAGACATCTGCTTGTTTAATCATGGGGATTAAAGCTGGCAGAGGAATTCTGGGAGTTGAAGTCCACAAGTCTTAAAGTTGCCAGGGTTGGAGACCCCTGGAATAAGCTATGCCAGTCTGGGTTTGTACAACATAGTAAGCCATAGAACACATTTTATGAAGTCAAATTTCTAGGTTATATACCAGGGGTCTTCAAACTTGGCCCTTTTATGACTTGTGGACTTCAGTTCCCAGAATTCCTCAGCTAGGCACGCTGGCTGAGGAATTCTGGGAGTTGAAATCCACAAGTCATAAAAGGGCCAAGTTTGAAGACCTCTGTTCTAGAGCAATAAAGTAGACAATATTACTTCCTTTACTTCCTACAAATTAGCAGACCATTGAGAAAAATCACTGCAAACTTACTATTTCAACATTTTTTTAAAATGTTAAAAAAAAGATTTCTGCTGTAGTCTGGAAACATTTGCTGATGATTTGGCTGTTTTACTCATGAACCTATGGGTGTTAAATTATGAATTATGGTTAAAATAAAATAAAATATGGGTGAATTATCCCCGCATCTCTGAAAAATCCAAGTAAGGAAAGAGGAATTCATTTTTGTACAGATTCCAAGACAAATTGCAGGCATTTGGCAGAAGCTAGATTTGTCATGTGGTGATAGAACAGGGGCCTTCAAACAAAACAGAACAAAATCCCTAATCCACACGCACTTTGCAATAGGAAGATTGAAATCGTAGCTAAGTCACAATAAGAATGAAGCTACAGCCTCAAAGAAGAACTAATGGATCACTGCTCCGAAGGTCACCCCAAGGCTCCAGCTTGCACCCCCTTCAAACCTGGTTCTTCTCAAATGACAACCAGAGATAATTGCAGGACAACATTCTTGCTCCAAGATGGGCACCTATGCAAATACTCAAGGACCTTGACTAATTCTGAGGTAACTTTTTTCTATGGCTGCCTTTGAGATGCCAACCCGCTTCAGACACTTTTATTTTCCTTGTCTCAGAGACAAAAGATTGAGCGAGGCTGGCTTTCCCTGATCTAATTTGCACTAAATTTAAATTTTTCCCTGATCTAATTTGCACTAAATCAATACACTGTAACCTGGTCTTTGACAAGTCTATGACGAGAGAGCTATAAAAAGAAGACAGACGAAGGGCAAAACTAAAAGAAGATCCTGCTAAATAAGCTAAATTCTTTTGCATCAGGAGGCCGTTTATGAGCTTAGATATCTTTTAAAAAATAAAGGGCAAAGAAGATTTGGTGTATGAACTCTGCTTGCCAGTTTCACGAGTGCTGATGTAAGTAGAAATTCCTGCATGCCCTTCACGCTTTCAGGGATATTTACCATAATATCCCCAAAAAAGAAACTCCTGCATTTGAGGTGCAGGTTTTTGCTGTGCCATTTTTATAATTTTTATTTCTGAAAAAACTCATGCTATCACTTTTCATGCAAATATTAAAACACAGTCAATGTAATTTTAAAAAACCCACATGTGTGCGCGCACACACACATACATACACACACACACACACACACACACACACACACTCCAAAACCCAATCGACATAAAATGAAAAAGTAACATTATTCTTAAAGTAAGCAATGGCCATGAGTAACAATAGAACATTTTCGATGTGGAAATGTGAGGTGTCATTTATTCATAAGCATGTAGTTACCCCTGCTTGGGATAAAAGAGCATCTCACCATCAGAAACAAAACTAGGGTTCAAAAATCCAGATGACCACGAGATGGCAGCAGAGACCCTGAACAACTCAAGCTTTGTTCAAAGTTAGCTGAACAATGCCAACAAATTGAGGGCAAACAGGTAAACCATATTCATCTGTCAGCAACTGGACGTCCCAAGTTTTTCACAAAAACTTGAGTTCCCTCAAATGGCCACTCTTTTTTCTTAATCTAAAAGTGTTGGTACATCTTCAAGATAGTGGAGGATTTTATTTAAGAGAATGGAGGAGCTAGGGTGAAGAAGCCAACATCACTTTTCAAAGATGCAACTTATCTGGAACAAGAACTAAAAACTCAATTTATACTGTTTCCCGAATTATACTTATCTTTAATTACAAGGACTAGTCAAGGGCAGATAAACAATGCAGATGTCAATATTCATTGTTTATTGGAGCTCCCAATATATATCTAATATTCCAGCCTCCTATTTTTCCTACAATAACCACTCCTTGAGGTGGGTTGGACAGAGAGAGTAAATGACCCAAGGCCACCGTATCAGCCTTCATGCCAAAGGGAGGACTAAAATTCATAGTCTCCAGCACTTCAGCCACTTCTCCAATCTGGCTTTCATCTAGTTAGAATGCAGAAGACTAGGTTTAAGAAGGTAGAGGGGTACAAATGGATTTATTTAGTCTTTCTCACTTTGAGCTTTGATCCACCCAAGTTCATTATTCGGAGCCATTATTGGTTTTGCCTAAAAAAGACTTTGCAACAAGGCTCAACAAATTGGATTCAGACATTGACATGAAATTGGAGCTTTCTTCTCTTGTAGCTTAGCTTTTTTTTTACCCAAAAGTAATGCAGCTGGATGGAAAATTCCTACAACTATCTGAAAAAGAGAATGGCAAATTTGACTTATTTGTGGAAAGAACTTATATGGAGGCTGCACCACTTCAATTGGTAGTTTATAAGCAACACATTAATTTTCAGTAAGGATTTCTTGCATTGTAAAGGAACATTTATTTTCCACTCCAGTGGCTTGCCTTCTTTTACCTTCAATCATAAGCCATAGAATATAAACGAGTTATATCATATGGTCTCAACATGAAACACATCCAAAGTCCAAAGCTAACAAAAGGATCAGCTGTTGGTTCAACTAATGTGTTCATTCCCTATTGCTAAGTGCCAGGTCAAAACATAACAGGAAGTGTTCATGGAAAAGTAGTTATATTTTCCTCTTTGGCAAATCTCCCTAAAAACAAGCAGAACTGGACCTTGTTGGTACTTGGATGGAAAACTACTAGAAAAGCCCAGGATTGCATCCCAGAGGAAAGGCTAAACTACAAATATGAAAAAAAAATAATTTCAGAAAAAGGGGCAATAGGAACCCTTATATAGATTCTATGATGGACAAATAAGCGTTAACATCAACACATATTTGTCCATCAAAAAGAACAAAGTGAAATATAAACAGTCCTTGCACATTAAAATAAAGATATTAGGAGAGGAGCTTTCTGAATTTAGGTTGAATGTACACTTCATTCAGTGTGTATTGTATGTAAATGTATATATATATATGTGTGTGTGTGTGTGTGTATGTGTGTGTTGTGTATATACAGTACATATATATGTGTGTGTGTGTACTCTTTCCTCCCAATTTAATTGTACACAGTACACCTTATTTACCCCATGCCTCTACTAAAGTGTTGATCAAATGTTATAGGGTTTCCTGACTGAGCAGGGGTTGGACTAGATGACCTTAACGAAGAGAAGGACAAGGGGGGAACATGATAGCAGTGTTCCAATATCTCAGCGGCTGCCATAAAGAAGAGGGAATCAAGTATTTTCCAAAGCACCTGAAGGCAGGACAAGAAGCAACGGGTGGAAACTAATCAAGGAGAGAAGCAACCTAGAACTAAGAGAAACTTCCTGACAGTGAGAACAATTAATCAGTGGAACAGCCTGCCTCCAGAAGCAGTAAATGCTCCAACACTGGAAGTTTTTAAGAAGAGACTGGACAGCCATTTGTCCGAAATAGCGTAGGGTTTCCTGCCCGAGCAGGGTGTTGGACTAGATGACCTCCAAGGTCCCTTCCAACTTTACTACTATTACTATTACTATTACCTCCAAGGTCCCTTCCAACTTTATTATTGTTGTTATTGTTGTTATTATTATTATTAATAATAATAATAATAATAATATTAATAATAATCCAGAGCTTACCCTCAAATCAGGAGAAAAGTTTTCGGTAGAGGTGGAGATAGAATCTGATGAGATGACCGAAGCTGATTTGGTATGTGCCGAGTGATCCGAATGAGAGGTAGAAGCACTAGAAAAATGAGGAGAAGAAAATGAAGAAAAATCTAGAAACAACAGTTTGATTTTGTAATTTTGCGTAAAACAAAACCCTTTATCGTCTTATCTTACCAGACTCAGGAACAAGCTTAAAGCTTTCACCTATGAGGATATGGAGAAATTCTCCTTGAAATGACATCCATTGGATAACAATAGCAGTAGCCTTTAGGCTTATATACTGCCCTATAACTCTTTACACACTTTCTGGGCAGTTTACAATGTAGAGGCATTATTTGCATGTCCCCCCAACAATCTGGGTCCTGGATGCAATTGATGATAATCATTGGCCCAAAAAAATCTCAATTGAACTGTCCTTTTTAAGCACACTGAATGAATTAATCTCTCATAAGCACAATCCAACCTGTAGTGAACTTCTTGTAGCAGTATCAGAATGTATTAGCTGATGGTCTTTGAGGTCCTGTCTAGATTTAACCATTAATCTCTTCTGTGTCTTTGCTTATGAGAAGAGATATTGCTGAACTACAATTAGCAGTATCCCTCCTTACTCCCTCTAGGGGGATGCTGTGACCATCCTTAGTGTAAAAAAACACCAAAAGTCCCTTTTTTCAGTGCCATTAAACAGTCAGTAAATGAATGGTTGTTAACTCGAGAACTACCTGTATTGCAAGTGAGCGAGCTTTTTCTAAAAACAACCACATTTTTTAAAAAACTGGAAACCCTATAGGGATTTTTTGGCTGAAATAAAAGAAAAATGAATTGAATTATGCATTTGAAGATTTAGAAAGATGAGGGTTAACGGGTGGGCTGAGGGGATTTGCAAAATATTTAAGAGGCAGAAGGGATAATAATATTGTAATGATCTGTTGAAGGGTCAAAAGTCATTTATAATATTTAACTTGGGGGGGGTTGCACATGTTTTGTTTTGTCTTTTTCTTCCTTTCTTTTGGCTTGTCTTTTATTATATGAAAATTCTTAATAAATATAAATTTAAAAAAATTAAAATATTCATTTTATGCTGGCCGTTGTCGTACAATAGTCTACAGTATTCCAAGAATTGCTCATATATGATTGGCTATTCTTGTTTTAATATTGGTGGCCGGGAAGAAGTTAAAAGTCAGTCTATGTGAGTTGCTTAGTAAACAAAGCTCTGATTGTTGCCCTCCCAGAACAGAAGACTAACCAGTCATTGAAATTCAACACATGTTTCCTATGGAATAACCTTTGGTTGCTGTTGAATCATGCTATTCATGAGTCAAAACGGCCTAAACCCAGCCCCTTGGTACTGGCTGTTGAATTATATTCCTCTTAAAAACCCTCCTTTTCTTACAACGTTGGAGGGGGGAGACGTTGCACTAACAAAATCTGATTAGAACTTTAACTTGAAAAGAATATACACATAACAGAAATTTAATTAAATTTAAGCAAGAATGCCTTCCCTGTATATTATAACTCATGCAGAAAGGGAAACACCTAGAGTTTCTAAAGGTTTCTAAAGTCTGTGTTCATAAACACTATAAATCAGTTGGATTACAATGAAGGGGGAAGTCAGAAACCAGATAACTTACCTATGCTATTTTTAGTAGATATTTTTTTCTCTGTTTTGTTTTTCCCCTTTCCTTCCTTTTTTTTAGCATCTATAAATACCAACACAATGGATATTTTGGCTCTCAATTCCAAGTTTTATATGCCTTTTAGGCCGTAACAATGCACTTGTCTAGTATGGTCAATCTTTGACTAATGTTATATTGAGCATTAATTTTTGTCTTTTCAGCTATTAGGAAGCATGTTCCTATACCATATGGAATTGATGTTATGCTTGAATTTACAGGTGGGAGCATAAGACTAAACTGCCTAAATGGATCTGATACTCCCCCCCCTTTTTTTTAAAAATGAAAAGGCAGAGTTTTTGGCAGGGTGGAGGACAGAAAATATTTTTTTTTCTTGCCAACTGAATGTGTAAAATTGCCCGCTTTCATGACCTGAGTTTTAGGATGTCTATTCCTCCTTTCCTCTTCATTGTGATTCTTTTTTTTTTTCCCCTTTTGGCTGGTTTTATATCATGAAAAATCACTTAGGGGGAAAAAAACACCAATTTTTTTTGAAGAGTTTTCCAATTATTAGTTCTTAGTGCTACCACCTGGGGAGCATCCATCATAAAGGTTTGCGTTGGTTTAAGCTTTTAAAGGTAAATGACTTAATTTCTGGTTACTTGGATGCCTGCCTCTCTTCCTGGGATGAATAAAATCAGTACAAAAGGCCTTGACGATTCTGAAGGAGAGTGCGTTTTCCTTTTGGTGGGTATTCTCTTAAGAGCAGCATCAGTCCCTCACTCTCTTTGTTAGAATCTCAGCTTTTTAACCAGGTACTCAGAGCTGATTTTTCAATGGTGCAAAGATATGTTTGTATATTGCAATTAGTTTCGCCTGATCTGTCTCTGGCTCTCATTGGATTATTAACTGCTTTGATCGATGTGTTTGAACTGAAAAGGCAGGAGGAGCTCAGTCCCAACAAATATATAAATAATAACAACGTATTCCATTGTTCCTTCCTTAATGTATTTTCTATGTTAAGCGAGATGATAGATAGATAGATAGATAGATAGATAGATAGATAGATAGATAGATAGACAGACAGACAGACAGACAGACAGACAAAGAATAGACAGCGGATGGATGGATAGACAGATAGACAGATAAACAGACAGACAGACCGATAGATAGATGATAGATAAAGAATAGAGGATGGATGGATAGATGGATGTTTGGATAGACAGACAGATAGATATAGATAAATAGACAAAGAGTAGACAGAGGATGGATGGATGGATGGATGGATAGATAAGATAGATAGATAGATAGATAGATAGATAGATAGATAGATAGATAGATAGATAGATAGATAGATAGATGATGGATGGATGATAGATAGATGATAGATAATAAATAAAGGATAGACAGACAGATGTTAGATGATAGATAAAGAATAGAGGATGGATGGATAGATGGATGTTTGGATAGACAGACAGATATAGATAGACAAAGAATAGAAAGAGGATGGATGGATGGATGGATGGATGGATGGATGGATGGATAGATAGATAATAGAAGAAGTAGTTCTCGACTTAAGAAGACAATTGGAACCAGAATTTCCATTATTAAGCCAGATAGTTGTGAAGTGAGTCGCACCCAATTGTTACAACCTCCTTTGCCATGATCATTAAGTGAGCCACTGAATTTAGTGAAACACACAGTTTGTTAAGGAAATCTGGCTCCCCCTATTGACTCTGTTTGCTAGAAACCAGCTGGGAAGGTTTCAAATGGCAATCACATGATCCATCATAAACGACATGCCAGTTGCTAAGGTTTGGATTATGTGACCACGGGAATGCTGCAATGGTTGCAAATGCGAAGACTGTAATTTTTTTCAATGCTATTGTAACTTCGAACCAACCCTAAATGAATGGTTATAAGATGAGGACTCCTTGTAATGACAAGAAAATGCAAATTATACAGTGGAAACAAAAAAACAAATCAGGATGGAAAAGTGTATCATAAAATTCTCTTTTAATGCAATTTATAGATAGTCCTCGACTTATGACCACAATTGAGCCCAAAATTTCTGTTGCTAAATGAAACATTTGTTAAGTGAGTTTTGCCCCACTTGATGACATTTCTTCTCACAGTTGTTAAGTGAATCACTGCAGCTGTTAAGTTAGTCACACGGTTGTTAAGTGACTCTGGCTTCCCCCGTTGACTTCGCTCGTCAGAAGGTCGCAAAAGGGGATCACGTGACCCCCGGGGGACCCTGCGACCATCATAAACATGAGCCAGTTGCCAAGCATCCAAATTTTGTTACAAGGGTCGTAAGTGTGAAAAACGGTCATAATTCACTTTTTTCAATGTCGTTGTAACTTTCAACAGTCATTAAACGAACTGTTGTAAGTCGAGAACTACCTATAATTAGGTACAAATATCTCTCATTGGAAAGCTCAGGTCAGAAGCAAGTTTCAAAGGCTCAGCACTGGCACGCTTGCATAAGAGAACATCTTAGATCAAATCTTCCTTATAGAACACTACGCTCTGTCCCAAAATAGAAATACAGATGGCTTGTTTTCTGTGCGTCCTACACATGGCATTAAAATATATATATATAAGATCCGTGAGTTCTCTTGCTGCTGTTTTACTTCTTGAAAAGCAACAACACCCCTTTCGAAACAAACAAGTATTCAGGTTTTATATACTGTATTTATTACATTCCAAGAGTGAAAGAAATCCTTCAACAAAATTAATGTAGACAGGTTACAGCAGTGTTCCTCAACTGTGGCAACTTTTAAGATGTGTAGATTTCAACTCCCAGAATTCCTTAGCCAAGCACACTGGTTGGGGAATTCTGGGAACTGAAGTTCACAGCTCTTAAAAGTTTCCAAGGTTGAAAAATATTGTGTTAGAGTAAGGCAGTCAACGTAACAATGCAGCTGAAGAATTAGGTGAAACAAGGTATGTTACAGTAAATGTAAACTGCACTGGGGAACAGAAGAGAATGGAACCAAACAAGGCCAGAACATTTAATCCATGATTGGCAGCCATTCACCTTCTCCAGAAAATGACTTTTCCATTCAGATAAACTTATGCAAGATGTTTTGTACTAGAAATGGGTCAAAGCCACATCTGTCCTTTACTAAGTCTAGATTCCCCATCTTCTCACCTTATACAAAAGTAGGGCACAGGGCTGCTGCCTCCAGCAAGTTGTTCACTGCACAAAAGTGCTGTCATAGGACCCACCCATCAAATTAAGTTTTAAAAAATCAGTTTTCTATTCCACACTCCAAATGTAAATCTCTTGCATCAGATTTTACTTTTTTTGAAATAAGTGCTTTTCTAAGCAACAGTTCTGAAGCTGATGCCTTTATCATTTCTGGGGTGATTTTTTTTTTTTTTTGACTTCTCAATCTATCCTACTAACTAGATGCTTACTACTGTTTGATAAAAGAGCCGAGGTGGTGCAGCAGTTAGAGTGCAGTACTGCAGGCCACTTTAGCTGACTGTGTTCAGCAGGTCAGCGATTCAAATCTCACCGGCTCAAGGTTGACTCAGCCTTCCATCCTTCCGAGGTAGGTAAAATGAGGACCCAGAGTGCTGGGGGCAATGTAAATATATATATACATTGCTTACTGGTGTACACCGCTTAGAGAGTGCTTGCACTTAAAGCGGTATATAAGTCTCATAAATAAATAAATAAATAAATATCACCAAAAATTGGGGTAGAATGTGGTCTCGTTCTCTCTCGTCTGTCTGTCTGTCTGCCTGCCTATCTGTCTGTCTGTCTGTCTTTCTATCATCTATCCATCCAGCTAGCTATCTAGTTATTAGCTATCTATCTCTCTGTCGATCTGTCTACTTCCCTATCTACCTACTATCTACCTCCCTCCCTATGGTATCTATCTATGACTGAACACAGAAAATGGTAGCCCCCAGAAGCCTTGAATAATCTCAAAAAATGGGCTGGGCTGGGCTGGACCTGAAGCAGGGCTGGACCTGAACAACACTTGGATGGGAGGCCACAAGAATTTCCAGGAATATACAATAGATTGGGAAGTTGAGAAAACTCTCAAGGTAGCAGTGACAAACCACTCCCACATTGTTGTCAGGACCATATGGATGTGTTTATGAAATCAGCAGGGACTGAACTTCACTCAAGAAATCTTTCCTGTTTACTCAGATACATTCAGAATTCCCTGGCTCCAATTTGAGTACCTCTACTGAGCATCATGTAATAAACTTTCAAGAAAAAATTTCAAGTACACTGGCTGATAGACTCAACAATCCATACTTTTCAAATACCATATATGACGGCGTATTAGGCGACCCGGCGTATAAGACGACCCCCGTCTTTATAGCCGGGCCGCATTCCTAGAACGTTGTGTTATACGCCGGAAACTACCAGTATTTCCGGCGTATAAGACGACTCAGCATATAAGACGATCCCCGTCTTTGGCGCCGATTTCAGCGCTCGCGGAAGTCGTCTTATACGCCGGCATTTACGGTACCTCTTGTGGAATTCTTGGCCTTGATTGAATTCTCTAGGATACTGTAATAATTCACTGTTTTCCTGCCAGCCCCACTCTGTAATAATAGCAATAGCACTATATACCACTTCATGGTGCTTTGTAGCGCTGTCTAAATGGTTTACAAAATCAGCATATAGCCCCCAACAATCTGGGTCCTCATTTTATTGACCTTGGAAGGATGGAAGGCTGAGTCAACCTTGAGTCAGGATTGAACTCCAAGCTGTGGGCAGAGTTTGCCTACAATGCTGCATTCTAACCACTGTGCCACCATCGCTCTTAAACTCCTGTTTTCCATATATACCCACTGACTTTACTCTTTTTTGTTCAAGATGTTATGATACAGGATAGCAATGACTAGAAAATAAGGGGTACAGTACAGCAGTGGTTCTTAACCTTTTTGAACGAATCGCCCCCTTGAGCCAATGAGGAAGTTGTCATCACCCCCCTCCCCCAACATAACCTCTCATAGGAAATAATTCTTCAATTTATGCAAACACTATTTTTGTTTTCTTTAAAATTGTCATCAGGACATATCGATGCAAATAATTTATTTCCAGTTTTTTTCCCATATCTCAGCTGTGTGAAAAATTTTGGTGCTACCCATCACTTTATTCCCAAACTTCGTGATACATGTATTTCATTATTATCTTGTTTATTCAAGACACTTAAATGTAATGACCACTGAAAACAAAGTTCAATTGCAAGAAAGTGAAATGCCCAAAAAGAAAAACAGTAACATTTAATGACTGAATTACAAGTGAAATTTAAGACACAAAAAGAAATATAAAAAGGGCATAAGAACAAACTGCAATGCAGGAACTAAGAATTTCAAGACAAAAACTCTGAAACTAAATTAAGATTAAAGGAAAGTATATATAGTCACGCACGCTGTAAAAAGGATTAAAAAGACACAAAGAAAATATAATATCAAACTGGAGTGCACGCTAAAAAAGTACAATACAAAGAGACACACAAAATGTTTTACAGAGCACAACAAAAATTCTAAAACGAAGCTGATGTGTATTCACATATGTACAGTGTTCTGTACTGAAGCTAGCTGGAGGAACATTTGAAAACACAATTCAATCCACTAATAGCAAGCGATCTGATGTTTTTGTATGACAGATATACAGTGATTCACTGTACGAAAAAGTCTCAAAAGTGTCCCCAAAACTTCTTGCTCCATCACCCGCGTATCGCTCCCTTTTTGTTCCTTTGCCCCCGCATCGCCCCTTTTCGCTCCATCGCCTGCCTGAAAAACAAAACCGCCCCCGGGGGGCAATATCACCCAGGTTAAGAACCACTGCAGTACAGTATCTGAGTACAATATCCAAGAAATAGCCATGGTTATCTGACTTCCAAACCCAGAGCTTTCCACGCACAACATTTTGTGGTAGGACTTGCTTGGGCTGCATTCACACAATCCACTTAATCACATCTAGTACAGATAGTCCTCGAGTTTCAACCATTATTTAGCGACTATTCAAGTTACAATGGCTCTGAAAAAAGCGACTTACGACTGGACCTTGGACTTATGACCATCATAACATCTCCATGATCAGGTGCCCATAATTCGGGTGTTTGGCGATGCCCATGTATTTTATGACGGTTGCAGAATCTGTTCATCATTTGGCTTCCAAAAACAATGGGAAACATTGGATTCACTTAATAACTACATGATTCACTTAATAACTGTGATAAAGAAGGTTGTAAAACTGGGCATGGCTCACTTAATTACCATGTTGCTTAGCAACAGAAATTCTGGTCCCAAGTTGTGGTTGTAAGTCAAGAACTACCTGTAAAGCAGATGCATTCAAACATCCTACCAATTTCAGAGTTAACTTGCCTTGTTTTTTGTGACTTAGTGAATACTAAAAACCCTAACCCAGTGATGGCGAACCTTTTAGAGACCGAGTGCCCCAAAACTGCCCCACCCCCACACCGCACCGCCCCTGCTCCACCCCTGCCCTGCCCCCCCACCCACAGGGCTACCTACCACCTCCATGGCCTGCCGCAGATCGCCCAGGTGGCCCAGCAACCCCATGTGGCCACACCCTCCACCCATGCCCCTGCAGCAGCATCTGTTTGCGACGGGGCACAAGGTGGAGTCTTGTCCCTGCTGCCCGGCTGCCATGTCCTTGGCTGCACTGCTCCAGGTGGGCCATGCCTGGGGGGGGCTGCTGGTGTGGAGGAGGCCGTGGGGGGAGGCGGGGCTGGGGCAATGGCACGTGTGCCCACAGAGAGGGCTCCAAGTGCCACCTCTGGCACTCATGCCATAGGCTTGCCACCACTGCCCTAACCATTTGGTGACAATATTTGGTGAATCGTGAGGAAAAAATAAATTTAGCAACCCAGTAAAGAATGTTTTACCAATATACTGCCCTGTACATGTATTGGGGGGACACCTCCCACAATGCCCAGCAATGTATCTGGAGAACATAAATTTTGGGAAAGCTTGCCAATCTTTCAACCTCTTTTATAACAGTGAAGTCTATGGAAATTCTCAGTCATCCAGATCATGGTTGTCCCAAAGGTGCTTTTTTTCAAAAGGCAGCAGGACTTTGTTTTTTCCTTGAAGACGTTTCTCTTCTCATCCAACAAGCAAAACTGAAGAACTGAGAAGCAAAACATCTTCAAGGAAAAAAACAAAGTCCAGTTGCCATTTGGAAAAACTACCTTTGGGACAGTGAAGCCACAGGTTTAAGTTCAAACAAAGCTAAATCCCATTTAATGGATTTAAATGGCTTCCTTGGCTAAAAGGTTACAGCTAAACATAAAAGTCAAGTCAGTGAAAGCTGCTCGGAAATAAATAACGTTGGTTGCTCCTAAGTGAGTATGTAAAGCATGCCCACCTCAGCCCCTCTGGAGTAATACCTGTTCAACCCACTAGCACCCTACGGTGCAAACATTCAGAGGATCCAGCTGCAAGAAATCCTAACCCTGAGATTGGCCCTGGCTCTCAAACTGGAATACAGGTAGTCCTCAACATACAACAGTTCACTTAGTGACCGTTCGAAGTTACTGAGTATGACACTGAAAAAAGCGACTTATGACCATTTTTCACCCTTAGGACTGTTGCAGCGTCCCTGTGGTCACATGATTTACATTCGGATGCTTGGCCACTGGCTCATATTTATGACGGTTGCACCTGTCCTGTGGTCAGCTGATCATCTTTTGCGACCTTCTGACAAGCAAAGTCAGCGGGAAAGCCAGAGTCACTTTAACAACCGGGTTACCAATTTTCAAAACTGCAGTGATTCATTTAACAAACGTGGCAGGAAAAGTGGTAAAATGGGGCAAAACTCACTTAACTGATGTCTGGCACAAGAGATGCAGTTGCAAAGGAAAGCACCACAAAAGCATCCCCCAACCTCTGCAGCTTCGCCTTCAGCTCTTCCCTGCAGCTGGGAGAACATCCAGCCTTTCCAGATATCAGGGCCTCCCACAAGACCCCGATCAGGCCTCCAGCCTTTTTTTCCCCCCTTCCCCATCATCAAACCACGAATCTAGGTCTAGGAGCAAGACCCAAGCTGAATAATGATTGCTTCTCTCCATCCGCGCCGCCGCCGCCCCCCTCCCCACGACCCTCCAGAACCGAGGCGGATTCTTGCCAAGAGACCCGCCGCCCCTCTGCAGCCGCCTCCTGCGCTCTTTGCCCCGGGAAAGATGCTGTACCTGGAGAGGGAATCCGAGCTGGGCTGGCGGGTGGCCGGCGCCGCCGGCTTGGAGGCGAGGCTCTCGCAGCTGGAGCACTTCTCCATCTCGGGTTCGGAGCAGCGGGGCCGGCGGAGGGGCCCCACGGACGCGCGGGGGGCCAAGGGAGCGAGGGCGCCCGCCTGTCAAAGCATCGGGGAGCCGAGAGGGGCCGAGGAAGCTGCCATCTTTCGCCCACAGTGCAGCGCGCAGGGACGGGAGGCTGCGACGCGCCCGACGGTCCCTCCTCCTCCTCCTCCAAGCCTTCGGGAGGCGGCTGCCCACCGCCGCATCTCCAGAGCGCCGGGAGAGGCCAGCGCCGGAGGCTTGCAGCGGGATGCTCGTCGGCAGCGCGCCTGGAGGGCTCGGCCGCGCGTGCCCGCCTCCCCGCTTCTTCTCGCTCTTAGGAGCTGCCGGCCTGCGCGCGACAGGCCGGGGCGGGGTGGGGCGGTCGGGTTTGCTTCTCTTCGCTCTATCGTAGCATCAACTGAATAATAATAAATAATAATAATAATAATAATAATAATAGGTTAATATCAAGAGAGGAATATTTCAAGGAGATTCATTATCACCATTACTATTTGTTATTGCACTGTTTCCTCTGTCAACAAGATTGAATAACTCAGGACATGGCTATCAAACATCAAAAACATCTGCTAGACTATCCCACCTCCTTTACATGGATGATCTGAAGCTGTATGGAAAAACATCATCTGAAATAGAATCGCTGCTCAACACTGTCCGTCTATATAGCCAAGATATTGTAATGGAGTTTGGCTTGGACAAATGTGCCACACTTACTATCAAACAAGGAAAAATAATGAAAACTGAAGGAATCAAGATGCCCCACGAAAATAACATTAAGAGTCTGTATGAGGAAGAGTACTACAAATACTTGGGTATCCTTCAAGCTGACAACATCAAGCACACTGAAGTCAAGAAAAAGATTAGAGGTGAATACATCAAGAGGGTGAAGAAGATCTTAAAATCCAAACTCAATGGAGGAAATACCATAAAGGCAATCAACACCTGGGCAATCCCAGTTATTAGGTACACAGCTGGAATAGTGGACTGGACTCAAGCAGAACTAAAAGCAAGGGATAGGCAGACCAGAAAAATAATGACAATGAATCATGCCCTTCATCCACGCAGTGACATTGATAGACTTTATCTACCAAGGCAAATAGGTGGGCGTGGAATGCTACAAGTACATCAGATGGTTGAAGAAGAAAAAATTGGCTTTGGAAGAATATCTGAAGAACAATGATGAAGATGCACTGAAATTAGTATATCAGGAAGGCTTACTGACTACTGGAGAGACCAAACTGGCCTACAAGAAAGACCAAATGAAGAACAGAATAGAGGCATGGGAAGACAAAGCACTACATGGCCAATACATGAAAAAATTAGCTGGGAAAGCAGATAATAATAAAACCTGGCAATGGCTAAGAGCAGGAAAATTGAAGAAAGAGACCGAGGGACTAATTCTGGCTGCACAAGACCAAGCCTTAAGGACAAATGCATACAAAGTCAAAATTGAGAAGACAGCAACAGACAGTAAGTGCCGCCTATGCAAGAAGCTGAAGAAACAGTGGACCACTTGGTAAGCTGTTGCAAGAAGATTGCACAAACTGATTACAAGCAGCGGCATGACAAAGTAGCAACAATGGTGCATTGGAAGATCTGCAAAAAATATCATTTGCCTGTAAGCAAAAACTGGTGGGATCATAAAATAGAGAAAGTCATAGAAAATGATAAAATTAAACTGCTCTGGACTTCAGAATTCAAACAGACAAGCACCTGCAACATAACACCCCAGAATTAACAATTGTCGATAAGAAAGACAAAAAAGTCTGGATAGTGGATGTGGCAGTGCCTGGAGATAGCAGAATAGAAGAGAAAGAACTGGAGAAGATAACAAAATACAAAGACCTAAAAATAGAAATAGAAAGACTGTGGCAAAAGCAAGCAAGGGTAGTACCAATAGTAATAGGCTCCTTAGGTGCAATCCCAAAACAACTGGAGCACCACTTGAACCCCATTGGCATTGACAAATTCGCTATTAGTCAATTGCAAAAGGCGGCCTTACTAGGAACTGCTTCCATCCTGCGACGATATCTGTAATACCATCAAACATCCACATCTGCCTATCCCAAGTCCTGGGTAAGGACTCGATAGGTAGACAAAATGCCAAATCCAGTCTGAACATCTGGCTGACTGTGCGATGATCGATAATAATAATAATAATAATAATAATAATAGTAATAGAGTTGGAAGGGACCTATGAGGTCTTCCAGTCCAACCCCCTGCTCAGACAGGAAACCCTATACCATTTCAGAAAATGATCAAGATTTGGTCTATATGTTTGGGGCTAGGATGGGAAAGAGCCCTGCAGTTCCCCCCAGTACCTGAAGCACACAAAAGAAGAAATTCCTTGATGGCCCCATTCTTTTTTTAAAAAAAAATAAAATAAAATTGAGCACTGATGTACAAAAGTTTGTTTGCTTATTTATGTATTTAATTTAGATAGCCACCCACCTTAGATGTTGTATTCTGTGATGTAAATATAACACAATAACAAAGAGTGGGAAGGGACCTTGGAGGTCTTCGAATCTAATCCAACCCCCTGCTCAAACAGGAGACCCTATACCAGTGATTCTCAACCTGTGAGTCGGGACCCCATTTGGGGTCGAACGACCATTTCACCGGGGTCACCAAACAAGGCTGTCCGCCATTTTTTCCCCCCCTTTTCTTTGGCCACGCCCCTGGCACCCGGTGATGTATAAGTGGTTGGGGGTCACCACAACATGGGGAACTGTATTATGGGGTCGCGGCATTAGAAAGGTTGAGAACCACTGCATACCCTTCCAGACAAGTAGTTATTTATTTATTTATTGAACATATCTAGACCGCCCATCTCACATACTATATGCTGTAATATATTTATTTTTTAAATTTATTATGGAGCTGCCCACCTCACAGCTTGTAATGTAGTTATTTAGTGATTGAATCTAAAGAGCCAGCATTTCATATATTAAGTGTTATAATAGGTTTAGTTATAGTAATGTACAGAACCACCCATCTCACATATTATATGATGTAATAGAGTCAGTGGCTTGTAAAAGTATGTTTGGTAGTTGCTGTTTCTGTTGAGTGGAAGAAAAAAAACCCATTCCTTTGACTAGCTGCACTTCTGTGAGAGCTGAAATAAATAACGCTGCCATTTCTGCTCTGCTCCATGAGAAGAAAATGGAATACTTAAATTGAAGATCTGAGGAAATTATCCTTTAAGAGTTGCATAAAGAAATTTTTAGCTGGCTGCCTCAATGGCATGCTTGCAAATGCGAAATTACCAGGAGCCAAATGCCATACACTAAATAAATATATAAATTCCAGGAGCTGAACATTTGTCATGGGAGTCCTATGTAGGGCTTTCAGATATTCAAAACATGTCATATGCATTATCTGACTACTACCTTATAAGGCAGTTGGCTATTACATGTAGTCCTCGGCTTATGACAACAAATGGGACCAGAATTTCTGTTGCTGAGCAAAGCAGTGTTAAGTGAGTTACACCTGAATTTGAAATTTGATCATATGACTATGTGGATGCTGCAACGGTCATGTCACTTATTTCAGTGCTGTTGTAAATTCAAGCAGTCACTACATGAACAGCTGTAAGTCGAGGACTATGTGTATTCTTACTCAAAGTGCTGATGAGACAGGCTAGAACTTTCTCATTCATAGTTTTTTTTAAGCATCACTTTTCAAATTGGCAAAATCTTGTATGAATGTACAGAATCTTCTCTGGATTTCTTTTTTAAGCCGACAAAGTTTAGAGATTAAAGTGTTTTGCATATGCTGAGAATGTTTGGGGGAAAGGATAACTCTCTCCCCTCCCCATCACATTGCTAAAACTGGTATGGAATGATACTACTAAGGAATTTAAAAAAAAATGCACCATACAGCAGCAGTCTCCAACCTCTTTGGGTATATTGACCAGCAGTGGCAGCAGCAGCGGGGAATAATAATAATAATAATATTAGTACCAATAGTCATAGGCTCCTTGGGCGCAATCCCAAAACAACTGGAGCACCACTTGAACACCATTGGCATTGACAAATTTGCTATTAGTCAATTGCAAAAGGCGGCCTTATTAGGAACTGCTTCCATCCTGCGACGATACCTGTAATACCATCAAACATCCACATCTGCCTATCCCATAAGGACTCGATATAATAATAATAATAATAATAATATAATAATCTCAAGCAGAACTAAAAGCAATGGATAGGAAGACCAGAAAAATAATGACAATGAATCATGCCCTTCATCCACGCAGTGACATTGACAGACTTTATCTACCAAGGCAAATAGGTGGGCGTGGAATGCTACAAGTACATCAGATGGTTGAAGAAGAAAAAATGGCTTTGGAAGAATATCTGAAGAACAATGATGAAGATGCACTGAAATTAGTATATCAGGAAGGCTTACTAACTACTGGAGAGACCAAACTGGCCTACAAGAAAGACCAAATGAAGAACAGAATAGAGGCATGGGAAGACAAAGCACTACATGGCCAATACATGAAAAAAATAGCTGGGAAAGCAGATAATAACAAGACCTGGCAATGGCTAAGAGCAGGGAAATTGAAGAAAGAGACCGAGGGACTAATTCTGGCTGCACAAGACCAAGCCTTAAGGACAAATGCATACAAAGTCAAAATTGAGAAGACAGCAACAGACAGTAAGTGCCGCCTATGCAAAGAAGCTGAAGAAACAGTGGACCACTTGGTAAGCTGTTGCAAGAAGATTGCACAGACTGATTACAAGCAGCGGCATGACAAAGTAGCAACAATGGTGCATTGGAAGATCTGCAAAAAATATCATTTGCCTGTAAGCAAAAACTGGTGGGATCATAAAATAGAGAAAGTCATAGAAAATGATAAAATTAAACTGCTCTGGGACTTCAGAATTCAAACAGACAAGCACCTGCAACATAACACCCCAGACTTAACAATTGTCAATAAGAAAAACAAAAAAGTCTGGATAGTGGACGTGGCAGTGCCTGGAGACAGCAGTTTGAAGGGACCTTGGAGGTCATAGAGTCCAACCCCCTGCTCAGGCAGGGAACCCTACACCATTTCTGACAAATAGCTGTCCAGAAGGGGATGGCTGCACACACGCAACCTGATCCCGCACGTGAGCAAAGAAATCTTTGCATGTTCACCAGCCGCTTGGGCAGCCCTGTTCTCAACAAGCTGCGGACCGGTAGCAGGCCCCAGATCCCAGTTTGGGGATCTCTGCCATACAGGAATGATGGGAATCAATCAAGCCTGTATGCAAGATGGTCAAAATAGGGAAAAA